ATTTACACAGTCAACAAGATGGAAACTTTACACAAACCAAGGTTTCAATGCCCTTTCCATCAACTGAATTTGGCACAAGCTTGGAATCCGTAAGATTTAAGGGTGGGAATTTAAATGTCACAGCAGATCATCACAGAAAATCATTTATACAAGGAAAGAGAACTTCCTCTAAATTTAAATGGAATAGAAGTAGGTCAAGGCGAAGACATTTTAATTACTCGGTAAAGGTCGAATGAATAAAAACAAATATACATGGGTAAATTCAAATACAAGTTCTGAAAATAAGCCATTTGATAACAGATCGGAAAATCGAAAGCGAAGTTACAATAACGCATTTGTAGCGAGCGAAGCGGATCCAATGAACGTTATTCCTTCAACAACAGCAAATTTTGAGCGTGTAAATTTGGGCAATTTAGGTGACAAAAAATTTCAAAAATCGGAATATACGCCGGATAAGAGTTACGGAACTGTAATTAATGACGAATCGCTAATCGTTTCCGAAAGAAAAGAAAGACATAAATTATTCAAGAAGCCAATACCGCCAAGATCAGCTCTAACATATGTAAGAGAAACAACGGGCAGTAAAACAAACAAACAGTTGTCAAATATCAATCAACAAAAAAAGTATTCTCCGTATAACCACACTGGCATACCAAGCATCATATCAAATGACATTAGAGTTACAGTTAATAGAGAAAAGGGAATGAATTCCAGCACGGGAAGTCCTAAACAAAGAAGGGTTAATTACAAAACAGATACTAATATTACCCTTGATAACAAAGTGGTAAAAAAAAATTAACACCCAGAAGGAAACTTACACTGCCCTTTAAGAGGTAGGAAGAAGAAGATTCTCATCATGGAGGGCATGAATAAATATCATCAATTTTTATGCTTAGCCATACTCCTATATACACTCTGGTTTCCACATCATTTCGTCAAAAGGAGAGAGCATAAAATTTATATTTAAAACCAAACTCGATTTTACACAATGAGGCGATATAGTATGTGATACATTCACCGAAAACGTATTTTCCCGAACTGTTGAAAGCAAGACATTCAGACTTTGCGTATTTTATTTTTCTTCTTTCAAGTGGATGAAATATTTATCTATATAGTATGTTACATGTATTTTATGAATACAGTTATGAAACAGGTGATGTTGCAATGTTTTTTGTTTGTAACGATTTTTAAGAAGTTTTGGAATCCAGTACAGGTACGATAAATCAATCTCTTTTTCATTGACTGGAATGTCAAAAGTATTTAAGAAGAATTTCATCTTTTGAAATGAACTGTAAGTATTGGTAGGATTTCCAGATGTGGAATTAAAACCAAGTTCTTCTAAAATGCAGTTGTAATAAAGAACCTTACAAAAACCTAATATATTGTTACAATTAAGCTTTGTCAGGTGGAACCAAAGCATATTTTTCATGTAGTCTTTCTAATTCTTTTTATCACTTATCACTTTCGGTCTACTGAAAACAGAAGGATAGATAGATCGCAGTTTGTCCTTTAATTTTCTAATGCGATTATTTATGTCTAAAACGCTTGATTCATTCTGACAGAGTGTCAAGATCTTCCCATTCATATTTAGCCTATCGTCTAGCTTAATCGTCTACGAAATTCATAACAGAAATGAAGTTCTGAGACCATTTTAAAGATTTAAAACCTTTTAAAATGACACAACGGGTAACGATATTTAGCGATCGACAAGTATCCTTGGGGCCAGATCGTCCACTAGCAGAGATACCTGCTTATTATCTAATGAGAATAAATTAGTGTGGCTCATGACAAATGGAAATAGTGAAATAGTAAATCGTTTTGCAGAATATATATACTGTATTTAATTAAATATTTTCAAACAAGAAACAGTATTGTCACAGGATGAATTTAACCATTAATTACATGTATCTGAATTACTGAAATATATGCTGCTACTTGTATATGATTGCAGTCTCAAACTTTTTTTTTACATGTATCTATCTTTTGGATCTCTTATCCTCTGTATTAATTGTTCATTTGTTTGTTCTCTTATTTATGTTTGATGTTGTTCCCAAATGCCCTTAATGGGCCCAAAATTGGAAATAAAGAATTACTTATACTTATTATACTTGCTCAGTGGTTAAAATGTAAAGATGAAAATAAAGAACAGTGATCAATCTCATAAATCCAGTATAAACAAAGCGAATCGTGAACAGGGCATGAACACGTAACCCCAGAGGTGGGATCGGGTGCCTAGGAGGAGTAAGCACCCCCTGTCATAAATCCAGTAAACAAAGCCATTCGTGAACAAGGCATAAACACGTAATCCCAGAGGTGGGATCGGGTGCATAGGAGGAGTAAACATCCCCTGTCGACCGGTTCCACCGTGAATCCTATGTATTAATCAGGTACATGGAATAATCAGTAGTTGATACTCCATGCGTTGATTCGATATATCCCAGTGAACTCAAAATAAGAGACCCACCAATTCTAACACACCTGTTTCATATTCAGTAGATGTGTTATCAGATAAAAGAAATTGATGACAATGTAACTATATGAAAAAACCGTCATGGCTTCGAATTACGTATGTAAAAACAATCTGTCTTAGGTCGAATTCACATGGGCAAATTTATAAATGACAACATGTTATAGAAGTCATACACTCATATTTACATTTGCAAATGTTTTCTTTTATATAAGACTATTAAAAGCAACGCGTATCTATATCCGTATAAACACGGGTTCCTCGCGACATAAACGTTCGACGTAATTTTTCAGTGACGTCATAAAGGGTCGACGCGCAATCAATAGATCAAACTTGTGCCGTTGAGTTTGAAAAAATAAAACATTTCACGCGTTAACGTAGAACCTACGTCGTATGACGTCATACTGAGAAAATTAGTTTAGACTGTCTTTTTTGGTGCTAGATCCATTATGACGTCATAATTAATTTAATGTTACTTTTTCCCGTACTTTCTTCAAGAATGTCTCATGTAATGAAGTTACACAACTGTGATAATGTGAATGACATGCAACTATTTTGAAGGAAATCAAAAATCCTAAGAAATCTAAATAGTACAATATCTTGATGAAAAGTGTCTGAGTCAAAGATCTGTTAAAAATTGTGTGTAAATTTTGTAATGTCTATCATGAAATGACGTGCATTCCCTTTCATAATTATTTGTTAATTATTCATAATGGTTGGTGTATAATAATAATGTTTCCCGAAAATATTATCTTTTTAAATAAAAAAAGATACATATTTTTGATAAATATTCACATTGTAAATCTGAACGAAACCCCAAAACAGTAATTTAATAATTAAATCTTGTGTAAGTGCAAAAAGGTCAACAAAAGAAGTATGGATAAATAGAGTGTTCTCATTCGTTTGCGGGGAAAGGTATATATTTTAATCTCTTTTTGTAATTATTTGGGTGTGTTCTTCATCATATTAAAGATTGAAAACATTCTGACAAAGACTTTAGAAAAATATTTACAAATTTAGGTGGTTAATTGACTCAAAAAATATTGAGCACATTTGCCTAAATTCGTTGAAATGTGGACTTAATCTTTTATGTCAGTTGAATAAAAAAAGAATTTACTCTTGAATAATATTGCTAAATTTGGTTCAGTTAATAAAGTCTATAAACGACGATGTTTGAAGAAGTATTTTAGTGATTTATTATATTCTCACTTATGACCAGTACCCCTAAAAATGGCTGAAAATATGTAGTCGCTGTGTAAAATTATCCTTCCAAGTTGCACAGACTGCACTACATTTAATAACAAGGAAACATACCATATATTTTTAACTGATTGATAAGCGAGAGCTAATTTATCATTTTGAAAAGTTTGAAAATCTTGTGACAAAGACTTTTCCGACATAGGTTCTACCTTAAAGGTTATAATCAGGCTAATATGCGATATGAATAAGTCACAAATGTAAAATATAAGTAATAAGGTATCATTTTTAAACATCTATTGGGATATAAATACAGGTTGGTACGAGATCAAATTTACCATAAAACCCTTCGTTGAAATGAGCAATGTCATTACTGATTATTATACTGTTCATTGGCATATCTTTTCCTTATTAATGTAATAATTTCATACTTGTCTGTTCTAAATTAGAAATAAAGTTTTCTGTTCTGTTCATGGGGCAGCGCTGTAGACAAAAACATATAATTACAGTTTTGAAAATTTTTTTAAAGCTATATATGGCGTATCTGGGCTAAAAAAAAAATACGAAATTGAGTGTAGATAATCATGATATATGTTATTTACGTTCAAATTTTAATTTTCACCGACTTTAAACTTGAATAACCTCATGTTTCCTTAGTTAAATTGACTTTAAATTGTGTCTGTTATTTAAATGCGGATCGAGTCGGTAAATAAATCGGTTATTGGTTAAAATTTCTAATATCTTTGAAACGCGATTGATTTAAATTGTGTAATTTACAGGAAAGTCCTATCTTTATATAAAGTAATAAAACAAATAGAAAGATCTCTTTAATTTTAGTTCGTCTGAACTTATAAAAATTACGCCATATATGACTCTTAATGTTTATTTTTGAAAATTGGGGGAAATTGCTATATCTTAGCATCGAAAGCCTATTTTAGAATAGAATAGAATAGGATTTATTACCAAATCAGGGCCCAGTGGGCATAAACATATAACATGTATAATTACAGATAGGATAACAGACAGAATACAACATATAATGAAGAGCAATTCTTCCATTTAGTACATTGGTGGTGTTTTGAGTTTCATATGTAGACATAGGTTGTCTTGATTTAAGATATATCTGCACTCTTAATTGATACAACTATGTGCAATCATGTGTATTACTATTACCAATATTATACATATAACTGAACACATAAAAAATTAAAAATGTTGCCCCTGTATCCACGTAACATACTTATGTTATATACAAAATGTGCATACCAATCGGGTTCGGCCTACAAAAAATAAATTGAAAGATTGCACAAATTCAGTTTTGTTTTACTGGTTGTAAAAAAATGTTTTTTTCGTTTTAAGCAGAAAAGGATAAATATGAGTCTCTGAGTTGTTAATCGATGAAATAACAGGTAAGAGTCTTTTTATTTTGGAAATCAGCGAACGACAAGAAAAGGATTTCCCGCTTTCACTTTTTCTTTCCAACTATTAGCCTCAGAGCTTTAGTTTGATAAAGCTATTTATTTACAGTTTTTTTTTTGTTTTTGTTTTTTTTTTACAAACACATTTTTACAAGAAATTGGCAAAAGGTCGCAAGATTGACACTACTCATACTTGTACTGTGAACTATTAAACAGTTTAAAATACAAAAAACTGTACAAATGTTATAATAACTTTTGACCTGTTGACACTTTGAGGGTTCACATAATTTTTTATTTACATATGGTAATCATCTTGATGATCGAGCCCTAAAATTGAAAATATATTATAAACACATGTAAATATGCAAAGCAAGTAATTACAAACACAAACAATCATATAACACATGAAATATAATAGTATAACATAATGTTATTCATTACACTTTCCTTCATGATAAATACATGTATATACCTGCACTCTGAATGAAGGCCAATAATTCTTAATTTTAACTGAACCTATCCAAACGGCTTAACAGATAAAACTCATAAAAATTGAAGTAAAAGTAGATTTCGGGTTTAGCTTAGTAGATCAAAAATATTTGTCAAACATACTTCATAACCAATAGCTTTATTAACCAATTTAAAGCAATAAAAATAATGTAATATGTGTAATAAACATGGCAATTAATCCATGTTCTTACCAAACACAGAGTGCCTTGAGGCTTTTAATATATCATACACATGACTAAATCATGGGAAACCAGCACCTAAAGTCATCAAAATAGTAATGTAAAATATAGTTCAAGGTGCTGCACAGTGCATACAACAATGTAGTTTTTACATTCAGACTATTACTTAAAACTAATAAGCCTTTTAATCAAGCAATAAATATTAATTAACTTATTCAAATTAATTATGAGCTTTAGATAAACTTTGTATTTATGTCATTATAGTCACATGCCAGACCTGTAAAACGTAGGGTAACAACAATAATAATATCTGATTTATAGATGGATAATTGCGATATCTACAAAAAGACAAGAAATGCAGTGAAGTAAGAAGAAAATGACATTGCGTCAACAGAAGTTTGCTGAGGATGTCAATAGCGCTATTGCTCTCTGTGAGGAATATGATTGGCCATTTACAGGTTTGTAACTTATCGAGAGTTATCACATTTTATTTGCTACAAAGTGAGAGGTTGTGAATATTCAATAAATTACGGTCTAAAGCTCAAAAAAGAGGATAAAAATGATAAATATTTAAGATGATAATGATCAGTAGAGACAAAAATAACAAGGGTTTTGCCACTGCTTGAAATCCTGCATTATAGGCCTAACCCATGGGCTCCCAAGATTTCAAGAAAATCATGAACACCATTTTATATCACTTTTATCTTTAAAATTAACAAAAATGCTGCAATCAAGGACAGATGATATGTACAAACTTCTTTCAAAAACCATGAAATTAACAACTTTAGTCATGGTTATACATGTATAAGTAATTATGAATTTATTAAGTTTATTTGCATACATTATAATTTTTCATATAAAATTTCACAACAGTATTGGATAAAGTGATAAAAAAAAATTGTGTAGATTTATAATGATTATTGCAAAAGGTAGAATTTTGAACATCATAGAAAGTTTACAATTTCTTAATATTTGCATCATTTATAACCAAAATAGGTCCAAAGATACATACCAATCCAGGCATCCATCTTTGGGGGGTTGTTTGTATTAAATCTTTTGATTTCTACTTGCAAATTATTTAGAATGCTAAACCATTTAATAGCATTTTAACAGTAAAGCTTGTTTTTTCATTGTGCATTTAAACTGACTTCCAACATCTTGTATTGGAAGATAGCAGAGAGTGATCAAGTTTGTTTCCTTTCTTTGCAGACTTTCATCAGACAGATAATTCCTTGTCATTTGTTCTGGTAAAAGACAACTGCAAACAACCAGTCACCATCTGCATTTCTGAAGACTATCCCGGTAACCATTACACACTTTCTGATTCATTTATCAGAGATAGAAATATTGTAGCATGTATATATGTGTTTTTTTTAATACTTGAACAGAGAACACTTTAATAACCAGACCAGATAACCCAGACCATTCGGAGCATAGTAATGACACAATTAAACACATCATAATGAACCTAAACAGAGGTAGGAAACAAATGCTTGTAAAAGAAACCTTCAAAAAACATCATCATGACTTTCAACAGAAGCAAAACATATCCTCACTATCATGGTCTTCTTTAATACTGTAAAATCACACATTTTCTTGGGGTCAAATTTTCATGGTTTGAGGAAATAACTATGGGTTCGTGGGAATCATTGTCTCAAGCCACGGTCCGAAGTCCGCATATAGTTCTCTCCTACTAGTGGCTGCTTGATCACAAAAAGTGTTGTAATCTTGAATATATATGCCTCTGTGTTGTGACTTCATGTTCAGCCAGTGACAATATTTGTTTCCATCGCAATTGAAAGCAACAACTGACATCAACAGTGTACAAGAAATGTTTGGTATACTGCGATTGGGTATTGAAAGGTAGGGTAAAAGTTCATTATCCGACTATGCTTTACTTGCATTGGTTAATATTTTAATGAGCTACAAAATATTCTCTTCTCATTTAACCACGGCCAGAATGGGAGAGGATATCGTACATTTTGGCCGTGGTTTGCAACGATGCATGGGGGTTTGATTCCGTGGATGAAGAATTGTTGAGTAGTTATGTATATAACATTTTGCATTTTGTGGTGGACATAAATTTGTGAGTCTCTTCATGCCTCAAAAACAACAAAAATTAAATCCCCACGAAAATTAGTGATTTCACAGTATGTTGCTAAGAGATTGTTGATATCACAGGTTTGTAAACATTGCAGTTTTAAACAATAATGTGGAGAGATCAGAGAGCATGGAAACAGACGAGTCGTATTATGAAGATTGTCAGGCAGAGCTCAACTCCGACTGTGATGACGATGAGGAGGAGGATACCATGGATGATTACTATCAATTATCAGAGGTAAATAAGTAACTTAAGGTTCACTGACCCTCTGATATGAGAGATAACTGTCACTACAATAAATGTCTATTAATATTTACCTCAAAATATGTGTAAAAATTGTGAGCGTTTTAATTAAGAAGTAGATTTATTTTGGAAAATCATTAACTTAAAAGGGGCTGGGACACAGATTTGAAGCCCATATTTTCCAAAATTTCCTTAATAATATTATGACTTATATGTTGCTAGAGCATTTCACACAGAAATATATTAAAAGCATGTTTAGAAACTTCTTTTATGTGGAAGTTGAAGTCAACTTTATCCATCATACTTAAGAAGAGTAGAAATTTTGTTGTGTTTTATTGAAAAATATGAAGACTATAATCCAAAAAGTTCAGAGTAGAAATGTGAGAAAGCAAAACCAACTCACCAGTATCATCAGTCCATGCTCAGTGATGTAGGCAGGCTAAACAAATTGAACACACACGGTAAAGCATAAACACTAACAATAACAGAGCTCGTACACGGTTTACAAACACACGTGTTTGACATGATGTTATGAAGAATGCCGTTGTCATTGAATTCTTAGAATATTCGTGTAAGCTCAAATCAATAAACTGAAGTTATTTTTTGAATAAAAGTAGACATTTAAAATTGTAAACAATGCAACTGTGTCCAGGCCCCTTTAAAGCAAAATTTTAAATGAATGAGTGTTCAGAGGGATGAGAAACCTTAATACACAACTCCTTGAGAATCCCCATTAAAACCCTTCCAGCTTTTAATGATAACAGCTCATTGACAATCATAATTGAGCCTCTTAATAAGTTGCAGATACATTTTGTCCATATATGATGTATCTTAAATTCAAAATGAATAAAGTTTGGTAATTTTGAAATGCCGCCTTACAGGACACAAATGAAGATGTGGAGATAAACCCTGTGCTTGCCTTAGATATGGAAAAACTGACAGGATGTTATGGTGATCATGTGATGGACTACAGGTCTGTACAAAGAAGTCCTCAGAAATGGTATAGAAACTATCTCAATTCATGGAATACATGTATGTCAGAAATTATACACACACCATTTGCAGTAATTAGGAAATACACTGAAGTGGCACTTATAACTCTGCCAAAGACACATAGATCCCCCTGAAATAAGTACACATACACTGATTTATTTCAGGGGGGTTTACATATATGGTCTTTGGCACAATTATTAGTACACATACATGTACATTGTGCAGTATTAAATTTATTGAGCTATGTGTGAATGGTAAAAAAATTCAGAACTGTTACTTTTATTTGTACATACCTACAGGTATCTATCTATCTATCTATCTATCTATCTATCTATCTATCTATCTATCTATCTATCTATATATATGTATATAAATAAAGCACTAAAAATGACCAATGACACGAACAATAAAAAATTGTCAAATTTTTGACAAAAAGGTATTATGGTGGTATTATTTTGTGAGCTTGCACACAGTACATCTAGTTTGTTTTCGACACATTAGAATCCATTAATAACTTTATTTTACTTTTCAGGACGTTTGAATCCATCAATGAAATAGACATTGAAATAAGAATATTCCTCAGTTCATTATTAGAGGTAAGATAAAGAAGGGTTATTCATCCTTTAGATAAATTAGGTGTTTTATAATGCTCTCAGTTACTCAGACAACTTGCATCGGTCATAAATCTGAGAACATTTTCATTTTCCTCCTTCGAATAGCTTAGAAAATTTCAACCAATATTAGTATAAAAAATCTATAGGTGGAGGGGAACAAAACTTAGAATTTCATGAGCTCTGACTTCTGGGGTCTGAGGATCATTGCCAAACCATAAAAATTATACAATTTTCAAAAATCTTCTTTACTCCAGGACCATCCTCGCTAGCCAAGGGTTTCTGATCTGCTACTCTCCTCACAAACCCTTAGCTTATGTTGCTTTCGAAAGTCAGGATTTTTTCTCGAATTGTTTTGGAGTTAATTGACATCGTTCAAGCAATTGGTGATTCTTTTGTAAATGACAATATCTCCCTTTGGAATATATCTCGACTCTTTAGTCTCGGGAATGAAAAACACAAGTAAACAACGATCCGTAAGATAACATGTTATTCTATAAATACATGTAGCTTTTGTGTCATCCAACTTTAAGCCGATGTGCACATAATGTGATCAGGAATCTATATTGCAGATATAGATTTGCACCCTAAATAACAAATAAACATCACAACTGCTTGTTAGTTATTCTTTAAATACTTCAATTTTTTAAATATGCTGTTTATTTCTGTCGATGGCGCAATCTGTGTGCATGTGGTAAGATTCAAGATCACGAGATGTAAACAATACCATATTTTGATAGCACCATAGACCAAGAGTTTGTGAGGAGAGTAGCGGATCAGAAACCCTTGGCTAGCAAAGATGCTCCAGGACATCTAGAAGTCAAACTGCTAGCATGATTATATTGAGCAATGAGCCCTCTACCAAACTTGTGAGATTCATGACCCCATGGTTCAGGCCCCAGGGCTGGGGCTAACTTGGTCATCTATTGAAAATGCAATATATCTTGGAAAACTTTTTTTACTGCTGGACATCAAGAAGTCAAATTGTTGGCATGATTTTAACATTAAAGAACAATAAGAAGTTCACCAAAGTTGTAAAATTCATGATCCATGGGTTCAGGGATCAGACCATAGGGCAGGGCTAACTTTTCTTAGTTTGATAATGAATTTCTTTTTAGTCTCATAACGGTGAAGCCAGAGGGGACTAGAGGTTTCCTTTTGGTCTGTCCATCTGTCCCTATGTGAGTCTGTCTTACTGAGTTTTTCTGCACTTTTTCTGAATGCTTGCAGATATTGTAATGAGCTGATTTTTGGCATGTGAGTGTACCTTGATGAGTTACAGATCAAGTGTGCATTTCTTTCCATTTTGAAGATTTTTGACGGAATTACAGCTTTTTAAAATTTTTAAGGGGAATCAGATTTCTCACATTTGGGATTCCTCACTTTTTCCTAAATGCTTGCAAATATTGAGCTGATTTTTGGCATGTGATTCTAAATTAATGATTTAAAGATCAAGTTTGCATTTTGTACAGCTTCAATGATTATTGATGGAATTATGCCATTCTAAATTTTTTAAGGGAAACCATATTACTTTAGTATTCCTTATGCAATACTCTCCAATGTTTTTAACTTCTGAACAAGCAGGCAGACTATTTTTATGATTACAGAGAGTACTCAGCCCCATATCTAATTTATAAAATTGGCCCCTGGGTCTTATGTTTGAGGTCCCAGAGTGGAGCTAATTTGGTAATATATTGAAACTGCATCATACCTTTGAAAATCTTCCGCATATTGTTGATACAATTCTCACAATGAGTACTTAATCCTTTACCAAAACTGTAAAATTCCTGGGCCCAGGGTTTCAGGGTTTAGACTCCAGGGCGGAGCTAAGTTGGCCATAATACTGTGAAATCACTCATTTTTGTGGTGTCAAAAAATATTGCTTTGTGGGGACTTGATTTCATGGTTGGTGGAAAGTATTGATACTGTAGCATGGTATTTTAACATTTTGTGGAAGACATGAAATCATGGGTCTCTTCATACTGCGGAAGCATTGAAAATTAACTTCCCATGAAAATTAGTGATTCCAAAGTAATATAAAATTTATGACATTTTTAAACATTTTTTTAGCTTTACTGATCAAAGAATAGGAGAGCTCATGCATAGCTAAGATGTTGATAATGTGAATACATGTAATTGTTTATAGTTCAGTGTTATGTGTTTCAGAAAGAAGTGCTAGATGCCTGGAATTTGGATTGTTTACAGCCCTTGGTGATTAGGATAAATTTGTCAATGTCAACATACCTGGACGTGCCTAGTACGTAATTGTCTTAGACCAGATAAACCAACTTTCCTTTGCTTGCGGCTAACCTTCTGAAGTTTTGTTAGAACTGAGAAATTGCCCAAGTTCATTGAAGTGAAAGTCAATAATCCCACATCCCAAATAAAAACAATGTTGGATTGAAATAAATAAGATGGCTAATGACAAAATTGGGGAAGAAAGTAGTCTGAATACCACATTTAACATTCAAATCACAGAAGATAGATAGAGGATATCTATAATGTGTGATTTTATCCAATGAGTTGAAATGGTGTGCATTTCCTATGCTTGGCATGCAAATATATACATTATTTCAACAAGTTGGATAAAACAAACATAGAATCAAACAATTATAGGTGTTCTATTTATCTCATAGAATTTTAGATTTTTAAAAAACTTTGAGATAACCCCTGTAAAACTATGGTGATTGATTTCTGCTCAAATCCGATGATGCGTAAATTGATGATGTCATCCTGTTGATATGCAGAAAGAAAGTTATTTGTTGATACAAAATATGAAAACTGGGAATGATATCTGGTGTTTTAAAACGTGACAATCAGTCAGAGATTTATTCCATAAAAACTATTAACTGGAATCTGTAATACTGTGAAGATTTCAATAAGAATTGAGGAATCATGAATCTGTACTCTTATTTTTGTACTTCTGTCAGGCTCATTTGCTCCATAACATCAGACAGAAAATATATAAATTATACATGTATTTATATTTTTTCTTGTTGAATTCTACATAAATTTACTATTTTCAGGCCCTCCAAAATTACAGGTGTTGCATTCATCAAAAAGTGGCATTGTGAGCCAATTGCAGAAGTAAGAAATTGTTTCCCTCTTACCAGAAATGTTGAGATTTACATTAAATGTAAGAATTGTTGGTCAACATATACAGAGAGATTCATGTACACATGTACCATTAAATTTCCTGATTTGTAGGATATTGACAACCTTTGTCAATGAACAGTGGCCCAGAGTCAGCAATTCCTTATTACAACAGATGTTTGAGGAGGCAGAGCAGAAATCACAGGCCACCAGGTACGATCTACAGTCTAAGTAAGCTACAAATCAAAATCTGTCCCAAAGCAATCAATCCAATCTATAGTCAAAGTAAGTTACAAATCAAAATCTGTCCTAAAGCAATCTATCCTATCTACAGTCTAAGTAAGCTACAAATCAAAATCTGTCCTAAAGCAATCAATCCAATCTACAGTCTAAGTAAGCTACAAATCAAAATCTGTTTCCTAAAGCAATCAATCCAATCTACAGTCTAAGTAAGTTACAAATCAAAATCTGTTTCCTAAAGCAATTAATCCAATCTACAGTCTAAGTAAGTTACAAATCAAAATCTGTCCTAAAGCAATCAATCCAATCTACAGTCTAAGTAAGCTACAAATCAAAATCTGTCAAAGAAGCATACAAATCAAAATCAGTCCTAAAGCAATCAATCCAATCTACAGTCTAAGTAATCTACAAATCAAAATCAATCCTAAAGCAATCAATCCAATCTACAGTCTAAGTAAGCTACAAATCAAAATCTGTCAAAGAAGCATTCAATCCAATCTACAGTCTAAGTAATCTACAAATCAAAATCTGTTTCCTAAAGCAATCAATCCAATCTACAGTCTAAGTAATCTACAATTCAAAATCAATCCTAAAGCAATCAATCCAATCTACAGTCTAAGTAATCTACAAATCAAAATCTGTCCTAAAGCAATCAATCCAATCTACAGTCTAAGTAAGTTACAAATCAAAATCTGTCCTAAAGCAATCAATCCAATCTACAGTCTAAGTAAGCTACAAATCAAAATCTGTCATAGAAGCATACAAATCAAAATCAGTCCTAAATCAATCAATCCAATCTACAGTCTAAGTAATCTACAAATCAAAATCAGTCCTAAAGCAATCAATCCAATCTACAGTCTAAGTAAGCTACAAATCAAAATATGTCGAAGAAGCATTCAATCCAATCTACAGTCTAAGTAATCTACAAATCAAAATCTGTCCTAAAGCAATCAATCCAATCTACAGTCTAAGTAAGTTACAAATCAAAATCTGTCCTAAAGCAATCAATCCAATCTACAGTCTAAGTAAGCTACAAATCAAAATCTGTTTCCTAAAGCAATCAATCCAATCTACAGTCTAAGTAAGTTACAAATCAAAATCTGTTTCCTAAAGCAATCAATCCAATCTACAGTCTAAGTAAGTTACAAATCAAAATCTGTCCTAAAGCAATCAATCCAATCTACAGTCTAAGTAATCTACAAATCAAAATCAGTCCTAAAGCAATCAATCCAATCTACAGTCTAAGTAAGCTACAAATCAAAATCTGTCAAAGAAGCATTCAATCCAATCTACAGTATAAGTAAGCTACAAATCAAAATCTGTCCTAAAGCAATCAATCCAATCTACAGTCTAAGTAATCTACAAATCAAAATCTGTCCTAAAGCAATCAATTCAATCTACAGTCTAAGTAAGCTACAAATCAAAATCTGTCCTAAAGCAATCAATCCAATCTACAGTCTAAGTAAGCTACAAATCAAAATCTGTCCTAACGCAATCAATCCAATCTACAGTCTAAGTAAGCTACAAATCAAAATCAGTCCTAAAGCAATCAATCCAATCTACAGTCTAAGTAAGCTTCAAATCAAAATCTGTCAAAGAAGCATTCAATCCAATCTACAGTCTAAGTAAGCTACAAATCAAAATATGTCCTAAAGCAATCAATCCAATCTACAGTCTAAGTAATCTACAAATCAAAATCTGTTTCCTAAAGCATTCAAGCCAATCTACAGTCTAAGTAAGTTACAAATTAAAATCTGTTTCCTAAAGCAATCAATCCAATCTACAGTCTAAGTAAGCTTCAAATCAAAACCTGTCCTTAAGCAATCAGTCCAATCTACAGTCTAAATAAGCTACAAATCAAAATCTGTCCTAAATCAATCAATCCAGTCTACAGCCTAAGTAAGCTACAGATCAAAATCTGTTTCCTAAAGCATTCAATCCAATCTACAGTCTAAGTAATCTACAAATCAAAATCAGTCCTAAAGCAATCAATCCAATCTACAGTCTAAGTAAGCTACAAATCAAAATATGTCCTAAAGCAATCAATCCAATCTACAGTCTAAGTAATCTACAAATCAAAATCTGTTTCCTAAAGCATTCAATCCAATCTACAGTCTAAGTAAGTTACAAATTAAAATCTGTTTCCTAAAGCAATCAATCCAATCTACAGTCTAAGTAAGCTTCAAATCAAAACCTGTCCTTAAGCAATCAGTCCAATCTACAGTCTAAATAAGCTACAAACAAATCAAAATCTGTCCTAAAGCAATCAATCCAGTCTACAGCCTAAGTAAGCTACAGATCAAAATCTGTTTCCTAAAGCATTCAATCCAATCTACAGTCTAAGTAAGCTTCAAATCAAAACCTGTCCTTAAGCAATCAGTCCAATCTACAGTCTAAATAAGCTACAAACAAATCAAAATCTGTCCTAAAGCAATCAATCCAGTCTACAGCCTAAGTAAGCTACAGATCAAAATCTGTTTCCTAAAGCATTCAATCCAATCTACAGTCTAAGTAAGCTTCAAATCAAAACCTGTCCTTAAGCAATCAGTCCAATCTACAGTCTAAGTAAGCTACAAATCAAAGTCTGTCCTCAAGCAATCAATCCAGTCTACAGCCTAAGTAAGCTACAAATCAAAATCTGTCCTAAAGCAATCAATCCAATCTACAGTCTAAGTAAGCTACAAATCAGAATCAGTCCTAAAGCAATCAATCCAATCTACAGTCTAAGTAAGTTACAAATCAAAATATGTCCTAAAGCAATCAATCCAATCTACAGTCTAAGTAAGTTACAAATCAAAATCTGTCCTAAAGCAATCAATCCAATCTACAGTCTAAGTAAGCAACAAATCAAAATCAGTCCTAAAGCAATCAATCCAATCTACAGTCTAAGTAATCTACAAATCAAAATCTGTCCTAAAGCAATCAATCCAATCTACAGTCTAAGTAAGCTACAAATCAAAATCTGTCCTAAAGCAATCAATTCAATCTACAGTCTAAGTAAGCTACAAATCAAAATCTGTCCTAAATCAATCAATCCAATCTACAGTTTAAATGAGCTACAAATCAAAATATGTCCTAAAGCAATCAATCCAATCTACAACCTAAGTAAGCTACAAATCATAATTCATGGCATCCATGGTAACAAAGTAATCACAATTCAATGCAACATCAGCAAATCAAGATCCAAGACCACTGTTTCCAACCAATGAAAGAATAGGGAGAGGGTCCTCTCCCATCTTGGTAAATTTCAGTGTAAGTAATTATAAATTTACACGGGATAGTACTCTTAAAATGATTTCAGATATACTGACTGCAGGAAAGGTGGGTCACTGCAACTGTTTTACTGCCCTTAAGAAAAACTTAAAACATACAGCACATATCTTTATCTTTAAATGTTGTCAAGGTCAACAAGAGACTGATATATTAATTACATGTATTTATTTTTAGGAGGCCATACAATTTGCATCCAAATTATATGCATACATATATACCATGTATTTATAATATTTTCTCTGAGCAATAAAGGTAAATAAGCTTATTTGTAAAGATAAATACATGCTCCTGTATGTAAGTGTGAAGTTTGTTATAGCATTATGAGATTCTCTTTACTGCCTTCAGTGCTGACAATGCAGCAGTGACAAGCTATGATAAGAACATCGCACGTTTGATGGAAATGGGCTTCACTGCAAACCAGGCCATTACCTCCCTGCTACACAACAACGGAGACATTGTACGGGCACTGGAATTCTTAATGGACAACAAAGGCAGAATTGAAGGGTAGGAAAATTGGTCCTGGTTTATAAAGGTTTTAGAGGCTGGATTAGAGAAAGGCTTCAGACAATGCATGTCATATTTAGATACAGAGAATGGATGTAGAAAACATGTTGATGTTCTCTATTTTACAGATTGACAAATAAGGCTCCAGATGATGAGAGTTCCACATCCTCAGCCTCAAGTAAAAATGTGCTCTACAGTCGCCAGGCATCTGTCCCTCTCAGCAAAAAACGCATTAAAAAATTTAGTCGACTGCACTCTGTGGAGTCGAAAAGCTTGATCAGTGACCAAGAAATCATTGATTTGACTGAAGATGAAGACAACCTCACCCAAGTGGCCACGTCTTCCTGGTTTGGGAAAAACTCAAAAAGAATTCCCAGTCCAAATCTTGGTTTCCTAGTCCAGGTGAGAGAAAAATATTATTTATACCCCTTGCAAACAAAATTTGAGGGTATAAAGGAATGATCTTGTCAGTCTGTCTGTCTGTCTTTTTTGAGCAGTTATGCTCTTGCTATCACTTTGAAGTAGGGAAAGGATGATAGTTTGTACTTGACACAAAAGTTGCCTGTCATTTGAGAGTGCATTGTTCAGTGGCTTAAATGGCAATTTCAAGATAACTGGAAGAAAAAAAGAATAATTTTAGTATGTACTGTATATAAAGAAGAAGGTACGGTTTTAGATTTATTGTGCCCTAAAAATTTAATGTTATCAAAAAGTTATGAAACTGGCTTTAATATTAGTTGAGTATATGACTGTGATAAATCAGGAAAGAATATGGCATGAAGGAGTACCATTCTGGAAATATGACGTCATTAATTTGATGCATTTCTCTATTTTAAACAGAATAAGCCTCAAAATGACCAATTTCAAGGGTTATTTTCCTTAAGAAAATAGTGTCCACAGCCGTCGCCCACTTTAACTTTTGGATATGTTGTGTAAAATTCTTTGAAAAATCACATATTTCAAAATCTTAGTGGGCGATGCCTGTGGACAATATTAATTGAAAGAAAATTCCATTGAAAATTGGTGTCTTCTGCAACTTTTTAAGAAAATACGGGAAAATGCACAAGTTTATGATGTCACAATTAGCATTTAGAAGGAATTTTTTGCATTACTTTCATTTTTAAGAAAAACACAGGGTAAGATTTGTATTGAAACGGTATTTTGTTTTTTGTTAGGGAGAAGCTCTAGAAACTTTTTAATTATTTCACTCTGAACAAATTCAGAGGGACATAATATTGTTCAACCTATTTTTCTGATCTTGTACAGTCTTAATGAAACTATACAGTTAAAATATTTGTGTATGCACCATTCAAAATGGATATTGAGGAAGGTTAGTTTGGGAGACATATGCTTTTTCTTGCAATAGCAAGGTTTTATGTCATGTCTATATATTTAATTAGAGTAAGAAACTCTTGGATCTCATAATTAATAAAAAACTTGCTTAAATTCTGATGGTATGTCAATGTCAGGATTATGATTGGCAGGTACATGTAAATGTAATGTTCAAAACTAAACCTTTTATAACGAGGAATATAACAGATAGGAATGTCAGAAGCAGTCTGAACTCAAAGACACATTAGTAGATTACACCTGACATAAACATTGTATGAGGATCTGTCATAAACATGAGTCAAGGTTATTTACTCAAGGTCAAGGACACAGAGAAAAGGTTTGATGAGTTATAGGATTTGTAATTTTATGAATTTTCTCTTGGTATTTTCTGGTTATTTTGAAAATGATATCTTTGGTGTAATTTGATTCATATTTAACTAAGTAAAAATAAATACATTGCAAGTGCATGTTAAACATGTATACATACATATAAGTAGAATTTATGTTTCTTATGTGTAATGTGTTGATAGTTATGTTACTTATTTTTGGTAAGAAAGAGTCTTACAATTTGTATATTACATGTAAACACAAGCAGATACTATAATACATGTATCACAGAAATTTTTTTAAATTAAATTGATCTTTTTTTTCAGATCTACCAGTATGCCAGGCAAAGATTACCTACATTAAATGAGTTCTGTGTTGTTTGTGATGATGCACATGTGTTTCAAAATGGAGCTATGTTAAAGGTAGGTACAAAGATACATTATTCTAGTACAAGTAATTCACCTTATGAAATCATATTGTTACCATGTTCTTTCAAACTTGCATTCTCCAACAGTATCTCCTACTTTTATGGCACTGTGTTTCACTAGTTTCTGTGTTCGTATCAGTACAGTCACAGTAATGTCACATTTACATGTTGGGAGATTCTAATTAAGCCTTGTCTTCTTTCAGCCATCTGTATGTTCCAGGGAGCTATGTGTTTTTGCATTCCAAACTCTAGGTGTCATGGCTGATGCTGCGGAATCCGTAGCAACTGGGGCACAAGTAAATATCGAAAGCATTAAATGATATTTAAATTCTCTGTTTTCACCTTGTGTTTGTTATACTATTTTTTAATTTGTGAATTTATTCTATAATTTAGGTAGTAGATTTGCTGGTTGCCATGACACGAGCTGCATGTAATTCTCCAAGAAAAGATGCTATATTTACTCCTTATCCAACAGTGGTGGACCCCAACTGCTCCACAGAGTTAGCCCTCAATCCAAAGGTAAAAGGGAGGACACTGCTTTTTCACTTACTAAGCAGAAAAGCAATTACAGTACTTCATATATCTCAGCCTTTTTGATATAGGGTATGGAGCACTCGTGATTTTCGTGCCATTTTTTTATTATAACAAGGATGACATAGAAGCCCTTTAGACTCAAACAACACATCCCTTAATAGTACACAAATGTTCCTCTTCAAAATAAACCCTTTTCAGCTACCTTACATTTTCATGTTGAAAATGTTTCATGCTGAAAGCAGGGCCCTTTGAGATGGCCACCATCTCAATGATATCTAGTTTTGAATGTAGGCAGACAGTCAGTGCTCTAATGATGTCTGAATTGAATAAATTAATTTGAAATACAACTACAATTCAATTTGCCAAAAAATATGATGCCTATTTTTACATATAATTTTAAAGTAAAATAGAGACAGAGAAATATCGGTGATTATTACATTTTCAACAGTGAAATACTGTGATTTATTTATTGAATAAAAGTGATATTCTCTCACAGTGTGAAAGGATACCAAAATGATATTCTCTCACAGTGTGAAAGGATATCAAAGTAAGTAAAAAATAATTTCTGGCCTGTCAAAAGATAGAGCTAGTAACTAACCATCTTGATAGAGCTAAAACGGCAAATTTCTTCCCAAATATATTGCTAAAATCCATGTTCTGTGATGTTTTCAAGCTCACAACTGCTATGACGTCTCAACCGCTCAACTATGATGTCAAGCCTACGACACTGTGTTAAGAAAAGACAGAGGCAAAGGGAAAATGAAAGAAAATGTAATAAACAGAAAATTAAATGTTTTGTAGATGAATATGGAATTTATTTCACTCATGAGACAGGATTTTTTTATATTTTCACTCGTGCTTCGCACTCGTGAAAACATCAAAAAATCCTGTCCCACTCGTGAAATAAATTCCATATTCATCTACAAAACATTGAATATCCTCTATATATTATACTTTCATGTAAATTATTTGAATCTGATTTGTCTAGAAACATTTGTTAAAAAACAGTTACCCTCTGAATGATGAAACCACGCCCTCCAGTGTGATAGAACGTAGCAACAGTCAACTTTGCTTGACAAAGGGTGATATTTCAAAAGAGCGTGCACAGTTCTATGTTAATTGTATTAATATTAAATGTTCAGTATAATGTAATGAATATTGCATCTAGTTGAGGATAGGATTGAAAATTTTCACCCCTCCAAAACCATTGTGGAGGGAGCCAAGGTTGACAATGGTTTTCTTGGGGTGAAAATTTTCAATGTTATCCTCAACTACATGCAACATTTATGTAGTGTTAACTGAACTGAATGGACTTATGATTTTGTGGAAAGATTGTTAAAGTCTTACCTAACAGCCAGATTAAATTTGGTTATAAAGAATTAAGGAACTGTAAAGAAATATATAAGAAAATTGTGAACAAACCAGGTCTCTGTTACATATAATAATATATCTCTTATAACAATAATAATTCTCCATACATGCACACAACGAGTAAGTACATCACAGCAAAAAAATAAAATTAAACAGATTTTCAATTTCTTTGTATATGAATGAAATGTTTATTAGAGTGTGCTGAACTAGTGCATATCATTTTATTTTAGTCGAAGGATTATGATCTGGTGAAGAGAATCTTGGGTTGCATCCCTCCCACTGAACAGCTGGCGAAAACAGACTCCTCAAATATAAAGAAGGGCCTAGATACCCAAAATAAACTGGCATATCCTTTACTTCAGTGGTAAGACATGTGATATCTCTGCATGTATCATCAGTGATAGTCCATTGATATCTCTGCATGTATTTTTATTGGTAAGACTAGTGATATCTCTGCATGTATTTTAGTGGTAAGACTGGTAACATCTCTGTATGTGTCTTTAGTGGTAAGACAAGTGATATCTCTGCATGTGTCTTCAGTGGTAAGACAAGTGATATCTCTGCATGTATATTTAGTAGTAAGACTAGTGATCTCTCTGCATGTGTCTTTAGTGGTAAGACTAGTAATACTCTGTATGTGTCTTTATTGTGAAGACTAATAATGTGGTAAGACAAGTGAGATATCTATGTAAGGTTAGGATAATTAAATGATATTCTCTATTATCAATATAATATAATATTTGATGTCTATTTTATTATTTTGAAAAAATACTTTTGCATATTTTGAAAAAATCTAATGATGGATATTAAAAACTGATAAAATCAAAATGCTATTTTACAGGATAATTTCAAGTAACAGATCACATATTGTAAAGCTTCCAAAAGAAAGGGTAAGATAGTTTCAGTGGAATATGAAATAATTAAATTTGATATGCAATACAGTGGAATATGAAATAATTAAAATTTGATATGCAGTATACTGCACAATGTCATATATGAACTGACAGGATAAATAACAAAACCATACTGTCGTTTTTCATCCCAACACTTTTTCATTTTAAGCAGGTATCTGTCTTCTTTAGCCTAAAGGTTAATAATCTGTCCATGAAATGTATTATAGAGTTTTATAATTACCTATGTCTAAATATAGTTGTCCACTACAATTTCACATTCTAATTGGCATTGCTCATGTTGCTTGTTGAGTAAATCTGTGATAAAATAAGCATTTACAAAGATTACTAAATTGCTTTACATTTGACAGTGCCTTTACAAAGATTACTAAATCTGCTTTACATTTGACAGTGCCTTTACAAAGATTACTAAATTTGATTTACATTTGACAGCGCCCTTACAAAGATTACTAAATTTGCTTAAGTTTACATTTGACAGTGCCCTTACAAAGATTACTAAATTTGGTTTACATTTGACAGTGCCTTTACAAAGATTACTAAATTTGATTTACATTTGACAGCGCCCTTACAAAGATTACTAAATTTGATTTACATTTGACAGTGCCTTTACAAAGATTACTAAATTTGATTTACATTTGACAGCACCCTTACAAAGATTACTAAATTTGATTTACATTTGACAGTGCCCTTACAAAGATTACTAAATTTGATTTACATTTGACAGTGCCTTTACCGGTACAAAGATTACTAAATTTGATTTGTGTTTACAGTGCCTAGAATTCATGCGAACCCCTCATCAGTACCTGTTGTTAAACAGTCCTCCAGCAAAGGAAAAGGTCTTCAGAGAGCTGAAAAAGAATCATGGCAGTACATTCGCCTTCCAGTGAGTTGTAATTAGCAACAAGTAGTGTATGTCTTAGACATTACTATACCTCCACTTGAAAAGGGGGGGGGGGGGTAGTGATGTTTTTTTTAAGATTTTGATTGGACAGATATTTTGGGTTTGCTATAGAAAACATGGACACTGCCATTCTTTCTATAACATGGGTGGTAGCCATCTCTTATTTGCAACTCCTTCTTTACCACTGAATTAAGTTTTGTGAGACTATCACAGAATCTTTATTTCATAGTTCCACTGTGTACCTCCTATTTTTTGTTTTGATCGGACAGATATTTTGGGGGTTCCCCTAGCAAAACATGGACACTGCCATTCTTTCTGTAATATTGGGGATACCCATCTCTTACAAACAACTTGACGTATACCACTGAATAAAACTTAATCAGATTTCCACAGTCTTTATTACATAGTGCCATTATGCAGCTCATCTTCTATGTTCTGCTTGGACAGATTTGGAGTTTTCCATTGTAAAACATGAGCTTTGCCATTATACTTATATGGAGGGAGGGGGTATCATATTGTCAGCTCATTGCTCACAGTATCTTTAGTTTTGTTTTCAGATGTAAAGTGCATTGCACATGTATCTAAAAGTATCAAATATAAGGATTAATTCCTGACGAGAGGGTGGATGTATTACTTATTTTAACATAGTCAAAATTTAGTGCAAATATAGTTCAGGGACTATTAGGCAGACGTGAATAAGCACTATACATATTTGTAAGTAAGATTATGTTTACATGTATTTATATATATTTAAAAAATCTTATTTTGGTGTCATTTATAAATAAAAACACATAGGTGTCAAAATACATGTCCCACTAAAATAATAAATATATCATTGGTATAATGTACTCAGGATATCTGATTTAAACTTTATTTACATTGAAATCAGTAAAATATCTAATCTGATTTATTTCAGTGGGTCTAGTATAGAAAACTGGCACTCCATTATCAGAGAAGGTTTGATAGTGGCATCAGGAACAAAGCTACAGGTAAAACACATGTATCTTACCACAAATGTAAACAAAGCTACAGGTAATACACATGTATCTTACCACAAATGTAAACAAAGCTACAGGTAAAACACATGTATCTTACCACAGATGTAAACAAAACTACAAGTAATACACATGTATCTTACCACAAATGTAAACAAAGCTTCAGGTAAAACACATGTATCTTACCACAAATGTAAACAAAGCTTCAGGTAAAACACATGTGTCTTACCACATATGTAAACAAAGCTACAGGTAAAACACATGAATCTTACCATAGATGTAAACAAATTAAAGCTACAAGTAATACACATGTATCTTACCACAGATGTAAACAAAGATACAAGTAATACACATGTATCTTACCACAGATGTAAACAATGCTACAGGTAATACACATGTATCTTACCACAGATGTAAACAAAGCTACAGATAACACACATGTATCTTACCACAGATGTAAACAAAGATACAAGTAATACACATGTATCTTACCATAGATGTAAACAACGCTACAGGTAATACACATGTATCTTACCACAGATGTAAACAAAGCTACAGATAACACACATGTATCTTACCACAGATTCTCTAATAGAACAAGGAAGTTTAATCACAAGTTCAGTGTATCTAATGCTAATGGCACTATAAACTGCATTCTCTTAATATAAGACCCAGTATGCAAACCTTGGGAATTACTTCCAATTTGATGATTATTTCATTGATTTATAAATGATTTATTAAAATTTGATTTATTTTCAAGGCATTTATTTTTAAGTATAGAGAGTTCAACATTACAACAATTTGGATTTTTATCATATTGACTATATTTGGTCAGTTTTTAGCTCACCTGAGCCAAAGGCTCAAGTGAGCTTTTCTGATCAAAATTTGTCCGTTGTCTGTCGTCGTCGTCGTCGTTGTCGTTGGCGTTGGCGTCGTCGTTGTTGTAAACTTTTCACATTTTCATCTTCTTCTCCAGAACTACTGGGCCAATTTCAACCAAACTTGCCACAAAGTATCCTTGGGTAAAGGGGATTCAAGTTTGTTCAAATGAAGGGCCACACCTTCTTCCAAGGGGAGATAATTAAGAATTCGTGAAAAATTAATGGCATCATTAAAAAATCTTCTTCTCAAGAACCACTGTGCTTGAAAATATGAAACTTATGTGGAAGCATCCTCAGGTAGTGTAGATTCAAGTTTATTCAAATCATGACCCCTGGGGGTCGGGTGGGGCCACAATGGGCGATCAAAGTTTTACATAGGAATATATAGGAAAAATCTTTAAAAATCTTCTTCTCAAGAACAGCAAAGCCATGATTGGTCATATTTATATGGTAGCATCCTCAGATAGTGTAGATTCAAGTTTGTTCAAATCATGACCCCCGGGGGTCGGGTGGGGCCACAATGGGCGATCAAAGTTTTACATAGGAATATATAGGAATAATTTTTAAAAATCTTCTTCTCAAGAACAGCAAAGCCATGATTGGTCATATTTATATGGTAGCATCCTCAGATAGTGTAGATTCAAGTTTGTTCAAATCATGACCCCCGGGGGTCGGGTGGGGCCACAATGGGCGATCAAAGTTTTACATAGGAATATATAGGAAAAATCTTTAAAAATCTTCTTCTCAAGAACAGCAAGGCCATGATTGGTCATATTTACATGGAAGCATCCTCAGGTAGTATAGATTCAAGTTTGTTCAAATCATGACCCCCGGGGGTCGGGTGGGGCCACAATGGGCGATCAAAGTTTTACATAGGAATATATAGGAAAAATCTTTAAAAATCTTCTTCTCAAGAACAGCAAGGCCATGATTGGTCATATTTACATGGAAGCATCCTCAGGTAGTATAGATTCAAGTTTGTTTAAATCATGACCCCCGGGGGTCGGGTGGGGCCACAATGGGCGATCAAAGTTTTACATAGGAATATATAGGAAAATCTTAAAAAAATCTTCTTCTCAAGAACAGCAAAGTCATGATTGGTCATATTCAAATGGAAGCATCCTCAGATATTGTAGATTCAAATTTGTTCAATTTATGACACCCCCTCTCCCCCCGAACCACTTTTTTATTCAAACTTTTCAACCTTTCAAGACTGAACTGATTTCTGCTTTTTCCTAGCCATAGTGCTCAGGTGAGCGATGTGGCCCCTGGGCCTCTTGTGCTAAAAATAATTATTCTGTATTTACAAAGACTTGTCAGTTGACAAAGCTTAGAATGAAGAGATTTGTCACAACCCACAAGGTCATGAGATTGTCAGGTAATAATCTGAGTAGACTCGGTATCGTAGTGCTGGATAGTGGATATCTACCTAGCACATAGGCAGGTCCACGATAAATAACATCCGTAAGCTGATACACAGTGACATCTATCAATTCTTAGTGTTTTTCTTCATTCTTAAATCACTGTGAAATCATTTTAATTCCTGAGTTTCCATGTTAGTGGGAGATCAAAATAACTGGTTACTCGGGATGTAATTTCATGGGTAACTTGTATGTATTGAAGATTCAGTGAGGTGACAAAGTTATTGTCAGTGGGGATGTAAATTCATTCGTAAGAGTGACTCATGAAATCCATGAACATTGGTCCCCCACAAACAGTCTTGATTCCACAGTATTCAGGTAAGCAATTGAAATCCATAGGAACCTTTTATATATTTTCTTTACCTTTGTTTGGCTTTAGGTGAATGGAGCGGCCTATGGAAAAGGGATTTATCTGAGCCCTCACTCCAGTACATCTTTTGGTTATTCAAGAATGGGTTATGGCTACCAAAAACAGAAATCAGCAGTGGTGAGTCATTTTCATTTGTCCATAGTGTGAGTTTTACTCATTCTATAATGCAACATTTATAGACTTTACTGTACCTACAGATATTCAGCTAATTATAGGTGTGTAAATGTATATGTGATATGATAAATTAAAGATCAAGCTTGTAGACAGCATTACAGATAGACTTATTCAGTACAATATGTCATGTAGCAATGACCAGACATGTCAAGAATAGGGCAGTAACAGACTTTTTATATTAGTTTTGCAGATTTTTCTTTCAGTCCCAGATGTTTTAAAAAAAATCATTAAAAAGAAATTTTATGTTATACATGTATTTTAATTGTTTCACATGTATTTTGTAACTTGTATTAGTCTGCTTAGATATGCTTAAGATGCTACATGTATTTATGAACAGGTCGGCATGTAACATAGCACACTTTAAATGTACATTTTTCATGGGGTCATAATTCCATAGAGTCACAATTTCTGTTGTTCTGGATTTCTTAGACTGCCAAGATATGCCTTAAATGTACTTTAAGTATGCTGGGACAGATTTCCTTTGAAAATTTGTAACCATGTAAATAGCATTAATTAATACAGTCCCTGAAACGTTCTACTGTCCCATTTTTCCGTTCGCTCACCGTTCGTTCACCGTTCGTTCAGCGTGCGTTCACCGTTCGCTCTCCGTTCACAGTTTTGCGTTCTGCGTTCACCGTGCGCTCGCGTTCACGTTCACATAGCGTTCAGCGTTCGCTCTCCGTTCGTTCACTTTGCGTTCACCTTGCGTTCAGCGTTCACTTATCGTTCAGTCTTCAGTGTCATTCGGAACTCCGAAGTGAAAGACTTATCTGTTTGTAAGTAAGGATTTACGGGTTTTTTAATTCAATAATTAACATTTCGTGTTTAAAGAATCGTTATCTTATTGGAAAAAATATCCACAATATTCTAACATTATTTTTATATTATTCTAACTTTACTGTAAGGTTATTTATAAATCTATTCTGGGAAATAAATGTTGTTATAAGTATGTACCTACATGTATGTAGAACGATGCTGAAAAATTTAATTGAAATACATGTACGGGCGATATAATTAGATACTTCAAGCACTGCAACAATTTGTTGTTATGTTATAGACGACAAATCGTTAATGGAGAGATAATTATTCAATTTAATTAAGTTACAAACTGCAGCAAAATTTTAAAAAAAATATTTATTTCTAACACTGCAGCAAAATTACGACAATATTTATTTCTATTTAAGCACATTTTTTCCCAATAACTACAGAAAAACATGATAGAAATAGTTATGAGAATTATACATAGTACTGCGGATATCTTGTTCATTAAATATCTTTGGAGCGAATTAAATTGATAGTGTGGTTATAAAAATATTTATTTTAAATGTAATACACTACAGATTTTCTCTACTATAATAATATAAAGTCTATAGTTATAGAGAAAATAAAGTCTTCCTTCACTGTAACTTTATATGTTGCCATTCGATATGATTAAGAGGCCCCCCCCCCCCTTTTTGCCCCCTAAATCGGTTACTTAGTCAGTATTTCCAGTATATTTTAAAAGCATTTAAAAAGGAGTTAATGTGTTCTGTACCACAAAGATTTCAGTCTCCAAAAAAAAAAAGAAGAAAAAGAAAAAAGCATGCATCTAAAAAAAAGTCATTAAACAATAGGCCTTAGTACAATGTAGTTCAAAATATACACGTGTCGGCGGTGGTATTTTAAATTCACAGAGAGTATGTTTCAAATGGAAGTGTTCATGCCCAATGTATTTTAATTATTCATTTATTTAGAAATGTCGGAATCAAATCTAAAAATGATTAACAAAAAAAAAATAAAACTAGTGCTAATTCTAATGGGAACCATTACAGATGTTCCCCAAACGGCTCCCCAATCCCTTATGATGCCCCATTCCCTACAAGCTTCAATAAATTAGACAATACTTTTGTAATATAGATGGACACTTTATTTTTAAGGGTATTTCATTGGAAAACTACTCCTATATAGCCATATGGGTATTAGCCAATCAAATTTCAGCGCATGTGCTTGCACATGTTTTCTATATTTTTCACATTAATTATCTTATAGTGTCTCACAATACATACATTTGTTTTAAATATTAAAGAATTTCATTGAAAAATAAGAGTGAAAAATAAGAGAGCTGTAACCCTTTAAGTATTAGCCAATCAAAATTCAGCATACGCGCATGCATGGCCTTGCATTCAATTTTGATAGTATCATAATCTAGGAGCTCTATGTGCCTATCCATATCATAAATTTCATCCTGTTTTGTTGAAAACCAAGGGAGTTATAGACATTTAAAGTTTCAACCAATCAGATTGCAGCACACCTGCATGCGCGTGTTTTCAAGAAATTTCCTATATAACATGTTGTAGCACCTTATATACTTATATTCTAAATTTCAAAGTATTTTGTCAAAAAACAAGGAAATTATTGAGATTTTTGTATCAGCCAATCAGAGAAGAGCGCACGTGCATGCGCGTGAGTTCATGCTAATTTGACCATGTTATCTTGTCTAGACTACTAATATATCTTTATATTTTGAGTTTCAAAGCAATTCATCACGAAATATAAAAGTTACCGCTTCATCAAGTATATCAGTCATTTCACTCATTGCACGCGCGCGCATGTGCATGCATGTGCGCGCAAAATGACCTTCGTTCCGAACACCTACACAACATGCCTATTAACCCTAAAAAGGTTTCATGTCAATCGGATGAGTGGTTCTATGAGAACACTCCCGAACAAAAAAGTACCGGAGAAGAAAGTAGAAAAAAAGAATAATAATAAGAAACAGAGTAAAAACAATATGTTCCCAAACTTTGTTTGGGGAACATAATAAAATAAAATAAAACTTGTTGGAGATACTAGCACTTCGTCTTCGGTGTGACGAGACTTTCACACCTGCACAGTGTCGAATGATTTTGATTGACAGGACAAGCACGTGGACTTCGTGTGAACTTGAAGCAGGAAAAAAAACGAGTATGACCGTCAAACAAATGGATTTGTTGATAAAAAGAAACTTTCTTTCATTGCCTGATATATTTAGAAAAAAAATGAAGAATTTTTGTTTGATATCGGTACAAAAAGCCTGAAAAGGGGGGGGGGCTAAAACGGAATCTCTCTCTCTCTCTCTCTCTCTCTCTCTCATTTGTCTGTTGGATAAAAACTATGACAGCAGATTGCTTAAATATCGAGTTCTGAAATTTTAATCTATATCAAATGATATGAATATGTATGCCTCTTTGTATAATCTTGTTCGAGTATAATCACAGGGAAATGTCTATAGGTACATGTACATGTAGATGTTTGCTTAATAAATTATAAAAAATAGAAATGACACATGAAAATATTATTGCATTAAAAATCTAAAATGCGAGTGTATTTATGCCTTGGCACGGAAATATATATGAATGGGTGTTACCACCGTTACAATTCATTCTATAAGTCAGAAGTTTTCTCTTATTTGTACTGTTTATTTTTATATCAAATAAGAATATACATATTTATTTTTAAAATAAAATAATTTTATCTTTTATACTACAGCGTTCGATAACAATTACAATGTTTTACAGCGATAAAAATCGTGTGATTAAAAAGTTGAATTTAAACATCATACAAGTAAAAAACTAGTTTTACTTAATGTGCATGCATCATCTTTAATTTCTTAGGACAATTTTGTAGCATTTATTTTATTTATTTATTTATTTATTTATTCATTAATTTGTTTATTTTTTTGGCACCTGACATTAGAATACAATAGAATAGTTTCAATGCAAGGAAAAGATCAGAGGGATTCCGAATAAATCGTTCATCTTGCGTTCACCGTTCGTTCACCGTTAGCGTTCTGCGTTCGCTCACCGTTCAGCGTTCACACATCATTCACCAAGTTGCGTTCAGCGTTCACACATCGTTCACTCACCATTCGCTCTGCGTTCGTTCAGCGTTCGTTCACCGTTCACTCACCGTTCAAGTGGGAAAGTAGAACGTTTCAGGGACTGTACCAAACTGAAAAGTACTTGGATTTGGAAACTTTCATTTTCCTTTGTGACTGATGGGTTTGCATTTTGCAGCAGTTTTACCTGGGGTTACAAACTGATGAAATCATGAGGGCCCCATGTTCATGAGCATGAGTTTATAAAATTGGAATATCAATCCCATAATTAATGCACACTTGACTAGACAGTAGGACTAATTGTTACAAGATGTTTACCAAATAGCCTATTAATGACATGTCTGGATATTTGACATTTTTGTTTTAATGTTATTCCATCTTTATACCATTATGAAAGCATAAGGATCCTTTGTTGTATGTGGAAATGTGTAAGAATAATCACATGCTTTCATTTTGCCAAATCAACAAGTAAGCATTACTAAATCATGTAGATTGTAAATGTGATTGTGTAGGCCTTGTAGACAGCTGGCCTCTTGTTTATCCTTGATGAGGTTTATATTTGTACATACTACTGAACAGTGTTCTTATTTATATTTTGCAGTCCGAATCCCATTTTCTAGACCATGGAGTGAGCATGACATGTATCGCATTGTGTGAAGGTAACTAAATGTATTCTGTTCAGGCAATGTTAAGTAAAATCTTTTTTTCAGTAAAGGTGTTGGTACAAGAGACAGTAAACAGTTGGTAGTGACTCTCCTGTAGATGTTGACCTCATTTCCCCCCAATTTTATTCAGTTCATTTTAAAAATATTGTTCAGATTTTAATGCACCCATAATCGAAGATTCGGGGGAATATAGTTTTGCCCTGTCCATCCGTTTGTTTGTCCCCATAAACTTTAACCCTGCCCATAATTTTTGATTGGTTGGAACTATGGCTTTCATACTTGTAAAAGCCCTAGTACCAACTGTTCAAAAGTTATGACCAAGGTTTAAGTTTTATAAAAGTGGGTCAAACTTGAAGGTCAAGGTAAAAAATAATTATACCAAAGGAAATGTCTTCTCACAAGGAATACATATGTGAAGTATGAAAGCCCTAGCACCAACTATTCAAAAGTTATGGCCAAGGTTAAATTTTGGTAAAATTTTGCAAAAGTGGGTCAAACTCCAAGGTCAAGAGGTAAAAATTTTGGTACCCAAGAAAGGTCTTGTCTCAAAGAATACACATGAAATATGAAAACCATAGCTCCGACCAATCAAAAGTTATGGGCAAGGTTAAAGTTTTTGCAGACAGACAGATGGACAGGGCAAAAACTATATGCCCCTGAATATTTGATAACAGTGAACATACACATAAGATTTTATTAATATTTACATTTCCAATGTCTTTGTCCGAGATAAAATTACAAATTGTAAAAATACTTTATTTCTACATAAATCCACTGGTTCATCAAAAAAAAAAATCACGTGCGGGGCGGGACAAATAGAGACAGAAGCGGGGCTATTAGCACGGGAATTTGCAGAATCAGGAGCATGTAAATATATGGAATAACTGTCAGATTTTTTGGATTCATGACGATGATCAATCGATTGGCTTGCGTGATAATTTTATGCATAAACGCCTTCGGCGTTTATGCAAATTATCACGCAAGCCACTCGATTGATCACATCATGAATCCAAAAAATTAGACAGTTATTCCTTAAATCAAATACTGCCCCATAAAGATGGAAATGTTAAAGAGGGGAAACAGCACCCAACGCTGGTGACCCTAGATTGACCCTGGAAAGGCAAATATCTCTTGTACAGTAAATGTGAAAGTTGTCTATTCTAAACTAGAAGAACTCTTAAAAGACTTATAAGTATGTTATTCACTTAATGAAAATTTTTAATCAAAATTGTGATCTGTTCTACATATATATAGAGAGTTTTTATTGATCAAATGTGTCTAAATACACTTTTCTTAAATGCCCCCACCCTGAAGTGTAGAAATTGTTCTTCTGAACAGTAATGTCAATTTGCAGACCACTATAGGTATGAGTATTTACACTTCATGCTTTACACTGAGTTACATTTATTTTAATTTGTAGTGATCACACATCCCTCTCTGAAAAAGTCCGGATCAATCTGGGTATCTCCGGAGTCCGATTATGTCTGTACACGTTTCTTTTTTGTGTAAGTACCCTAGGTACAATAGATATTACTTTTATCCTTAGAATTAAGTTTAGTTCACTTGAACTCAAGGATACATTATCAGCAATTTGAGTTTTACTGCTTGTAATTGTCTGTTTTAAAGTTTTCACATTTTAGACTTATTTTTCAGAACCTCAGAGTTTATTTTAAGCAAATTTGGCACAAAAGATCTAAGTGTAAAGGAATTCAATTTTGTTCAAATGATATGTCATGTTTCCTTTCACATTGCATTACAAAGGAAAACACTTTTAAAAAATCATATTTGTAAGAAGTCCATAATAAGTCATATCAATATGCAAGCATCCTCAGGTAGTGCAGATTCAACTTTGTTCAAATCATGGCACTGGGAGAGGGGGAGGTTTGGAAGGGGACAAGAGAAAATCATTTTTACATGGATTGCATATAAGAAAAAATACCTGTATTTTAAAATTTGGTTATGTCATTATCTATTGGAGCTAGGGTGGGGCTACAATATGTGATCAGAATTTTTCCTAGGAATAAAGGGGGGAAAATATTTTGAAAAATCTAATGAAGAACAGTAGGGTCAAGATGACTCAGGTGAGCATTTTGGTCCATGGGCCCCTTGTTTAAGTAGACCTGAACTAAGGCTGTGAATGAAAAGTTCCTGATATTGCTTTTACTCAGTTATTGAATATTGTAAAAGGTCCATTCACTTAACTTTTCACACAGATACATCTTCCTTTGTAATCAGCCCAAATAGCATCACTTTGACTTCCTTAATGACATACTGTATATACCAGTATTCATCTATAAGTCAGATTTTTAGCTCTTCTGAGCCAAAGGCTCAAAGAGTTAATGCTATGGCTATTTGTGCGATGTGCGTGAACTTTTTAGAATATGGGCCATAACTCAAGAACCCCTTGGCCAATTATTGTCAAATTTGTCACAGGGTATCCTTGGCCCAAGGGCTCCCATTTATACTAAAACTAGGGTTGTGACCCTTAAACAAAGGGAGATAATTAGGAAAATAGAAACAAAAGTACTGGTTGCTAAAAAATCTTCTTCTCAAGAATCACTAGGCAGATTATCACCAAACTTACACAAAAGGATGAGGATATGTTGCAGATTAAAAATTGTTCAAGGCATTACCCTGGGGCAAAGGGGGTGGTCTCGAGGTCACTTCAAAGTTGACCAAATGCATCTTGGGTCTTGGGAGTATGTCTACTGAAAAGTAGGTCACCGTGACCTACTTTTCAATTTATATGACTATAATGAAATATTTTCGGGTACTAATTAGCTTAGAATCATCAAACTTTGTCAGTTGATACATTTTGGGTCTTTGGAGTAGATCAACTGAAAAGTAGGTCATCATGACCTACTTTTGAAAATTTATGGCTTTAATTAAATATTTCAGGTACTAATGGGCTTAGAATCACCAAACCTTGTCAGTTGATGCATCTTGGGTCCTCGGAGTATGACAACTGAAAAGTAGGTCACTGTGACCTACTTTTCTATTTATTTGGCTATAATGAAATATTTTGGGTACTAATTAGCTTAGAATTATCCGACTTTGTCAGTTGATGCATCTTGGGTCCTTGGAGTAAGTTGACTGAAATGTAGGTTACTGTGACCTACTTTAGAAATTTTATGGCTATATTTAAATATATCAGGTACTTATTGGCTTAGAATCATCAAACTTTGTCAGTTGATGCATCTTGGGCCCTTAAAGTATGTCATCTGAAAAGTAGGTCACTGTGACCTTCTTTTGAAATTTCATGGTTATAATTTTCAAAATATTGTAGGTATTAGTTGGCTTAGAATCATCAAACTTAGTTGATGCATCTTGGGTCCTCAGAGAATGACAAGTAATAAGTTGGTTACCATGACCTACTCTCAGGTACTAATTGGCTGAGAATCATCTTGGGTTCTCAGAGTGTTTCATCTAAAATGTAGGTCATGATGACCTACCTATGGAATTTCAAAGCTTTATCTAAATACATGTATACAGGATACTTAGAGGCTTCAAATAGAAGTGATAGGTTGTACAGTTTATCAGAAGAGTGATTCAAGGCATTGGGCCTCTTGTTGGGAAGTAAATTTTGGTCCAAAAATCTATGTTTGACTTGAAAGCAATTCCTAGTAACATTGGCATTTTTCTTGAAGATGAAATATGGTATTCCTGAAATCTCTAATGATTATCATTGCCAATGGTAGGGACATGTAGAAAAGGTAAATCTGAGGTTACAATACGCATTGCATGCAAGTCTTCTCAAATTTTCATGATGTTTTTTTTGTTTACATAGTTAATAAAAAAATCAAATATCCATGTCATACATTCTGGGGAAAAAAACATACCGACTTGTAGTGGGTCAGTAAAAAATTCCACCAAGAATTTACCTTTAAACAAGAGGCCCTTAGGCCACAACACTCACCTGAGTAAATTTGGCCCTTCTGTTCTTCACCTGATCCTCCTCCCCCCCCTTGTAATACCTATTGTGGCCACACCCTACCCCCAGGGGTCATGATTTGAATAATTTAGAATCTACACTACCCCAGGATGCTTCCACTTAAGTTTCAGCTTTTCTGGCCCAGTGATTTTTGAGAAGAAGATTTTTCCTATATATTTCAATGTAAAACTTGGATTCCCTATTGTGGTCCCGCCCTACCCCCGGGGGTCATGATTTGAACAATTTAGAATTTACACTACCCCAGGATGCTTCCACATAAGTTTAGGCTTTTCTGGCCCTATTTTCACCTATTTTTGTCTTTTCTTGGTTATCTCCCCTTGGAAGGGGCTTGGCCCTTTATTTTAACAATTTAAACTCCCCTTCACCCAAGGATGGCTAAAATTGGCCCAGTGGTTCTTGAGAAGGAGTTGAAAATGTAAAAAGTTTACAGACGGACAGACAGCTAGACAGACAATGGGTGATCAGAAAAGCTCACTTGAGCTTTCAGCTCAGGTGAGCTAAAAATACAAGCAACTTACAAGTGAGTACCGGAATATACGGTAAGCCTCAATTCTCTTGATTTACATAAGGAATGCAGCCTTTAGTGGGGCATTCATGTACCTTGTTGTGGCTCATAGGCCTCTAGTTTAATTATGTTGTACATGTATTTTGCTGTATTTTAAGTATGCAGTATTTTGAATGTGGTCCATTTTTTGAAATTCATCTCAAAGGGATAACTGTACATTTTTCCTTATTTTTCTCTGGAAGGTATGAGTCTGGTCAGAGAGGAGAGGACGTAGATACACAGAAGAAGCAATACATAGATCCAATCATGGCAGCCGTTAACTACAGAGCATGATTCATACAATGGAGAATGAAGGTCTCTGTTGTGAACAGGAGGAGGCAACCATTGTAAACCATTAGGTGTACATTACATTGCTTATTAGGAATGTAATTACATGCAATATACTAGACAGATGCAATCATTTTTCAGACAATTTTTGAAATTTATTCACTCAGTTGTCATAATTTTATTTTGGTACTCATGTGATTTAATTAATATGCATATAAGCATGACAAGGGACAAACATCCTAGTTTTTGCATTCCAAGTTGTGCGTAGTTTGTAAATTTGCAAATGTGAAACATTTTGAATGGAGTTTTATCAATAAGACAAACATTATCTGTAAAAATAAAAATGAAAATAACAAGGGCAAAAATAATCTTGTAAAGAGTAAAATACAATATGTATTAATTGATGGTACCTAAAATACTAGCTATTTTGATTTTCAGTAAAATGACATGCATTCCACATTCATTTATTTCATCATTTTTACATGCACATGTTTTAAGTATTTTGATGTGTTATTGTGCTAGTGTACAAGCACATGTGATTTATTTTACAAAACACTGTTAATGTATAAATTTTTAATACTATGCATATAAACTTGTCTCTCCCATTACCACTACATGTTTCATCACTCCCATGCAGTGATTTTTTTTTGTTCTCTAACATGTTAGTAATTAATGCTTTGTGAATGTTCCGTGCAGTCAAGGGAGAAAAAGGTTCCATAGTGTGTGCTCTTCAGCTTAAGTCACAGGTTTTCTCCAACTCTCTTTCCTGAACTTTTTATTGGTAATTATCAATAGACAGTTAAACACTTGGTAAGCCTTGTGTCTATTGACTATAAAAAAAAAGTTAAAGTAGGAGAAAAACCAGTAACTAACTCGCACAAGTTACAGAACCTGTATTTACACACTTCACCTGTGCAGAGATTAGTATTTTTTGTGTGGAATAAAGGGTATACTTTGTGATAAATGATGAAATTTTGGTATATTAGCAAAATGTCTTTTAATGACTGATGTATGATATAATAATTTAATAATCTACATGTTACAGAGTTTTACTATGTACATCAATGTACCACAGTATATTCACATCATGGTATTCATATTAAAGGCTTATAGCATATATTGTTTATTTAATTACAGTAGCTTTTTTCACATGTGTTTAATTGAAGATTGCTCAGTTTTATTGTAATATTATATTTTATTGCAGTGAGGAACATGTTGAACTGCTGGATTAGATTTTTTTTCCAAATGAAATTCATATTTGAAAAAAAAAAATGTTTTTATGTTTTATATTTACTTGACCTAAGCTGGAGACTAAAATGAATTCAGGTAATGACCATCAGTGTGATGTACTGTGTTAACTTCGTAGGTCACCTGGCTCCAGTGTCTTAATACTATGGACACATAGTGTACAAGTTTACATATAGTACTTGATTCAACTTATCAAAGTGTACACGTAGCACTTGATTCAACATACCAAAGTATACAGATAGCACTTGATTCAACTTATCAAAGTAAACAGATAGCACTTGATATCAACTTATCAAAGTGTACACGTAGCACTTATCAACTTACCAAAGTATACAGATAGCACTTGATTCAACTTATCAAAGTATACAGATAGCACCTGATTCAACTTATCAAAGTATACAGATAGCATTTGATTCAACTTTTCAAAGTATACAGATAGCACATACTTAATTGATTCAACTTATCAAAGTATACAGATAGCACTTGATTCAGCTTATCAAAGTATACAGATAGCACTTAATTGATTCAACTTACACATTTGTTAAATATCAAATAAATACTTTTACTGAACAGTTACTTAATAGTATTGCTGCATGATTAACACATTACATGAGTAAACTTAGTAACTAGGAGGTCTGTCCATCCCTAGACCAAGATATTTTGTTATAGATCAGAGGAAAAACTTTCCTGTATGCCATTTGCAATGTACAGGCTTTTAAGAATAGGCTGAAGAGTTTAAAGAATCTGAAAATAAAGCTAAAAATTATTTCATTAAAAATAATAATAAACATCCTTTAAAGAGTAAAAATCTCTTTTCTATCATTTTATGCTGAATAAGAGAAATATTTCATGCCTCTGGCTGCATGCCAGGGAACTCCCCGTGGTGCTGGAGAGTGAATGTCAGCGGCACTCAGCCTATCTTTAAGATTATTACACGTTTCAACAAACTGAAAGTAAAATAAAAGTTTTTAGATCAATTCTTAGTCACTCAGTAGACCTGTTGCTAACTGTTTTTGCCGTGCATTGTGTGTCATGGTCATCAGTTGAAACTTTTGAAAATTTTCAGCTTCTTGATAATTTAGGTGTAAAGTATCAATGGGCAAATGGTAATATAATTTTGAATTTCATGGTCTCTTCCCCTTTGGGATGAGGAGTGGGACTAAAATCATCAAGATACAATCTTAAAAAATCTCAAGCTGTGAAATTGTTGGCATCATTATAATAAGGATAAAGGCCTCTACCAAATTGTGAAAATTGTGGCCCAAGGGTTTTGGGTTCTGGGGTAATGGAGGGATATCGACTCTACTGATCATAATTACCGTGGTATAGTGAAATTGCATAAATTCTTGAAAAATTTACTCCCCCCTGTATATTTTGTATATTTAATTAGTGGATATATGATGCCTTTTTGAAACTCAATGAAATTCATGTCTCCTGGGTCAGGTTTTCTGGAGTTAGGATATGGCTTCTATTGATTAATATATAAATTGAAAATCTTCTCTACCCTGGGTGTATATATATTATAATAGCAGGTAAACTTACTAAGGGCAATTTGGTATATATATTAGATGAGGAAGTGTACCTCTTTCAAAATTCTTGGCCCTGGGTCAGGGATTCTGGTGATTAGGGGTGGGGCTGTATTGACTATATAGTGAAAATGCATTAATTCTTTGAAAATCTTGTTCTCTGCCCTTGCATGGATATTAAGCAGACTAATATACTCATGACAATGCAATTGGTAGGGCCGGTGACTCGATCTTTCAAGATTGTAAAATTCATGGCCCCAAGGTTACTATAGGGATGGGGCGCTGTATTGATCATGTAGTAAAAATGCATAAATTATGTGAATAACTTCTCTACTTCAGGGTATTTAGCAAAGTAATAATTAGTTTAGTGCATGATTATGATCAGCAATGGCAGCCTCCAAAATATTATGAAATTCATTGCACCTGGGTCACTGGGGTCATGGAGTTTGGGTGCGACTCTTTTGATAATATATTGATGCTGCCTACGGGCACTGAACCTCCGAGAGTGCTGGAAAGTGAAGAACTGCCAAAAAAAAAAAAAAATCGCCAAACTTAATATAGAATTCTTTGAAGAACTAGCTCCATTGAATTATCTTAGAAAAATATTGAAAAAAGAATTTTTTTCTTTCGGGGTCATATAGTTTTTGGTATGCCAGTCCACAAAAAACTCTTAACTCAATATATATTCACACAGAAGATACAAGTTTAGAACTTTAATGTTTATAGCATAGTAGATCTATATTTTTTAACAATTAAGCTGGGGAGTGCCTATGCTTTAATGAAGTAAAGCGAATGATTCCACGTACAAGTTAACCAGATACCCATTGATATTCCGGGTACGCAGTAATTCCTAGGTGGCCGACTTCCGCAACACGTCGCAACAAGAAAAACATCAACCTACCGTCGTGTTTACGGAATACACGCTCTAAACACTTATGGCAGCAAACGGTAGAGGGACCATGAGGCCACAGTCGAGATCACCCCCATTTCTGATAACGGGCCTCGTTGTTGCACTGGTTATCCTGGGGGCAAATTACTGGAACCTGTCATCCAGTAATGCCTCGCTTTCAGCTGAGGTGGCAGACCTACAGGACCAGATACGGATTCTCTCATCCAAAAAAATTAATTCAGAGAGAAAGAATGAGAATGCTATGCTCAGAATCAGAGATTTTGAGAAGAATATTAACTCGAAAGAACAAGAGTTGACGAAACTGAAAACAGACCTCGGTGAATTAGGCGCCTCAAAGGACGCATGCACAGCTAAACTGGTCAGTATATCACAATATTTAACGCATACAATGCTATTTATTATGAGTAAGTGTAATTTTGTATTGTGCAATTACATTTTTTTTCAAAGTGCAGAGAGTGCATTTCAGATGGTGTCTTCATTTGTGAAATAAATATGACTTGCCACAGGGCACAGTGGCTTGTATTTTTTTTTTTTTTTTCTGTAGAATAATTCATATACTAAACAGCTAAGGGTAGACTTTACTTTACCAGACCCCAAATTCGTAGGATCCTTGCACTCATTGTACTATGACACAAGATTTATGTCAACTGGTTGAGGGTTAGTCCTGCACACTAATCAACTTATTAGGGTTTGTCTTGCACCCACCTGAAAATAGGCTGAAAGATTAGGGTTAGTCCTCACACATTACTTGACTGATAAGCAGTGTTCGAAATTAGCGTCGGCCCGTCGGTCCTGCGCCGACATACAAACTGAAGGACTCACGAATAGTATGACTAAATGGGTCCTTGAAATAATTTTGGGCCGATGATGTTTGCCGGGAAATAAGTTAACGTCAATCTTCTCAGACCTTTCTGGTGAGCTTGGAAAAATACACCGTTGTTTTTCTTTACCGCTTGTTGAAAAGGTTAAGAAGTTGCGATTGAAGTTAAGGTATATTGTTTTATGTATTTACATTAACTTTTATATCTTTCCTGCATTTTAACATGTTTAAGGATACACCAAAGGCTTTTTTCAAGATTTTCAACAATTTTGAGATTTTTGGCTAAGAAAAAGAAGTTAATCACTGCTTTATAATGCATGTAAAATTTTTGGTAATTATGAAATGGTTTTCTAATTATTTAAGAATAATGAAACATAAACACTACCACATGTGAATGTTCCGTTATTGGAGCTTCTGATTTGATCTGTGACTGCCTGCTCATGAAAGACGCAATAAATCACTGTGACCACTTGGGGAATTCTTCACTAGCCACACAGAGGTTATCAGTAATTAAACTACAGGGACTCTAGATTTAGAGAAGAAGATCTAACAGATCACTAATGACCATAAAATAGGAGGTGGAGCTTAGCTCTTGCCATTTTGCCGGGAAATCTTACTGATTCAGAATTGAACCTATTTTACTTAATTAAAAGCATCTAAATACAGAAAAGAACCTCCCATTCTTGTGAATATGCATGGAAAATATGGCTAAGTGACAGGCATCCAAAGCTGAATCTCCAAGGTGTCATATATTCCTAGCTTTGGCAGATTTTGTTGTGTAATGGGTTTTTGCCCTCTACTGTAAAGTAAGATCAGACAGTTTGTGGTATTATTTCAAAGGATTCGGCTCCCTTATTTATTGACCAATTTCTCTGAAAATTGGATGGGTTACTTCTCAAATGTATGTTCACAAAACCGTATCTCAGATTTTTGATATCTAGCTTAGTTTTGGAATTATTGAGGGAAATGTTAAATTAGGCTAATAAATTGTTAACATTGAAGGACAAATGGCTGTAACTTTTGAATTAGAAGATTTATCAAAAATCTGAGATACAGTTTTTAAGTTTAATCTTTAATCTACCTTGAGGCAAAATTAGCACTTTGAGGGGTTAAATACAAAAAAGTTGATTTATAAAATATTTATGCACTAAAATTTACATTAATATTTAAATAATTTTTAAATAAGTTACTAATTAAAGTTTAAATTAGGATAATTAAATAGTAAATTTAACAAGCTTTCAAATGATATATACTTTTATTATGTTATCTTTGATAATGAAGGAATTACATGCAAATTAAATTCCGGCATTTGGAAACCTTTGGTGTATCCTTAATTGGATATATTAAACAAATTAACCAATGAGCGTCTTTAAACCCAATTGGACTTATGATGGGTAAAACTTGTTATTTTTATCAAGATCGTATAAATTCTTCTTTTCATGTGTATTTTAAATAAATACTGAAGATTTGAATTTTTTTTCTGTATGGAATAAAGTTACGTTATATGTATGCGGTTACATTTTATCAACATATTGTGGCAATCTATGAAACCTGCGTAATTTTTTACCCACGGATTTTAAAACAGAAATTATAATTCCAAGGAAAAGTATGTTTACAGTAATATAAACACATTAAACTCATTAAATGTTATATATGACCAAGTAAGACAGTGTGAAGATTAATATCTTACCATTTCAAATCGTTAATACTTGCGAATTGTAGATACCCTTTATTAAATTGGCATATTTCATATGAAGTGATAATCTTACCAAGAACATCGATACGTAAAAGTTTATTTTCCCAAAATTTTAATGGTATTATTTTTTGGCCTACGCTGCCCTGAAAGGACTCATGTATTCCCTTTATCTGTGGGTCCTTTGGACCCATAGAAAATAATTCTGAATTTCGAACACTGCTGATAAGGGTTAGTTTAGCATCCGCATGGGAGATTTGGGTTAGTCCTTGCATACCATCTGAGAGATTAAGGTTAGTGTCTTGTTCTTTAACATGTTTAAAGTCATATGTGGCATATTTTATGATAAGTTCAGGTATCCAAAATTAAAAAAAATCTTTCTATTTGTTTTATTACTTTATATAAAGATAGGACTTTCCTGTAAATTACACATTTTAAGAACCCTCTATACACTGCACACTAAAGAGTTCTGATTCTGTGGTATTTTTATGTAAATTGAGTAATCTGCCCTTAGATCTAAAATAAAATAAATTGAAATCTACAGTTTATCAATCAATTTCTAATCAATTCAAGCATTCTTAACATTTTGATACTCCAAGATAAATTAATTTAACAACTCATTTGCATGCTTTTTCCCCACTTAGGTAAACAACAGTGATTTCTGTTCATCAAAACTTTGCTGACTTTCAACATTTTTCCTGGGGGTAAAAGCCAGGCACCCTATTTTGAAATTGATATTAATAAACTGAATATTTACACCTTTATACAATATAATTTTCCCAATGTCCAAAAAACATTTTCGTTTAGTGTAGAGAGGGTCCTTAAATCAATTGCGTTCCAAAGATAATATGTTTTATGGTGTGACCGTTGGGGCGAGCGCAGTTGTACCATCAAAAAGCTATAGCAGCTTACACTTGTAATGTTGATCCGCCTCTTCAAATGTCAAACAGCACAAGACACAGTCTAGACTGTGACGTCACATGATGTAATTTACGGAGACAGCCGAGCATCTGGTTGAACGAGACTAAAGATCTTGTGCAAATTAATAATGAAATATGCTGTAGAGTAGATGTAATTATTTTTTGTTTCTTTTAAGCTCTCTGCAAAGAAAAGTAAACATATTTCTCAGTAATGAATGATATCCTTGGTCTTTTGTATGCATTGTAAGAATTTCGCATGGAACCCTGGTAGTGAAGGAATTCTGGGAATGTTGCACCAGAAAATTTGCCTGATGTGTGCACAGATTTCATTCCGAATTTTCTCTGTTTTTACATGTTAGTCTATTGAGCTCGCTGCACTCGCTAATAAAAATTTAAAACAATAACCGATTTATTTATCGACTCCACATTTAAATAACAGACAAATTTAAAGTCAATTTAACTATAGAAACGTGAGGTTATTCAAGCTCAAAATGTGTGAAAATTTTAATTTGAATGTATTACAAATAATATATATCGTATATTTACACTCAATCTCGTATTATTATTTTCAAGCTCAGATACGCCATATTTAGCTTTAACATGTTTAAGATTAATTAAGAAATTCAATTGCATCTGTAATTTTTGCAAGATGTTGATTCAGCTTCAACACCATCTCCTTGGTTTGTTTACTGGTACATGAAAATATGGCTAAGTATGGAAAAAAACATGCTCTTGGCATGTGCCGCACATTCTTCATTGAAAATTTTTTTTGGTGATTTTTTACTGAATAAACAATATTTATTAATTTTTTTCATATATGAGGTTGAAAACTTCGTTTAAAAACAATGTCTTAAACTTAACTATTAACAGTGGAATTTGGGGTCAAAAAGGCAATACCTCATACTTTTTATTTATTTATTTATTTTTTTTTTTTTTTTTTGAACACTCGAGCGATCTCATATTTATTGAGGTCGCCTACAGTGACATTATATTTTAGTACATTTTCTTGTGAGCGGTAAAGAAAAGTCATTCCACAACTAATACAGCATGAAATAAAGTGTTATTTTAGTTGTTACTTAGTATATGATATAATTCTTACCTACCTGAAGCAATCCCCTGTGAACAACATAATGCAGATTGAATCTTATATTAATTTTGTGAATTTTTTTCAAAAACATTTTATGTATTGTTGCTTTTTTTTTTGTCAAAAGAAACAAAATGAAGACAATATGAGTGGCATTCAGCAAGAACTAGCAACATACAAAGGTAAGGGAAAGGCTGTAATAAAAAAAATTACTAGATTCTCATCCAAATTTTTTGAAAAATTTCGGCAGATGGGGTTTGATATGTTTTATTTCATTCATTGTACAGATGTTTTGTTGACGTCATCATTTGTTGCAGATTTATTATGCCCAAATAAAAGTAATTGCAGAGTTCCACTTAAATGAATTTCTAGTATCTTGTATTATTCACTCTCACCAATCTTTGTTTAATACATATTGCTGCAAACACCATCTTACCAAGTCAAAATTATGATGACATTCGTGGTATTTAAAAGGTGAGTTGAATATACTGATCATTATTTGCATCAAGACATAGACTCTGTTGAAATTTCAGGATTCTATTGTTTGTAAAAACATAAATTAAAAAATTATGGTATAGATAAAAAGCGGGGAGGGTTGGGATGAGAATCAAGTTATATTTTTATTATTATCAATTTATGGCTTAGACAGTTTTATGTAATTCATTGTATCTGCAATACCTCTTCAAATTAGAGGTGCATTTGGTTGTCTAATTGGGACCAGCATGAAATAGCAGAGAATACAAAACATGCCTATCTCAACCCGATTTTGAATGTTAATTAAATGTATTTGTCATTCCCTTTAACATTTTAAAGAATAGAAGAACTAATTAGATAGACATGTGGGAGAGTATGAAAGTCCTGAATTTATCATCCATTGACAGCGTTTTTTTCCCTTATATAACTGGTACCGATAAATGGTACCATTCCCAATGCCAAAAAACGTTAATTTTTCCCAATTTTGAGACTAAAAATTCCCAATTCAACTGCCAAGCAACAGACTACGATGACATTGTATTACATTGTACAAGTGGACTAATTGTTTCACTTCCGCTAAAATTGAAAGTAGAGAGTCGAATATGGCAGGACCTGTGGTATAGACAGTGTAGTGTCATACATTTTTGACAAATTGAAAGCATGAAAATGCGAAAACAAGGGACATTGATATGAAAAACAATAAATACTTCTTGTTTATTCTTTAAATCATGGAGTAATAAGTAATGAGGTTGGAATAAATGCAAAATACGTTAACTTTCATTTGTTTGAATGACAGAAAATTCTCCTTTGTTCTACTTCTATGCTATTTTTCCCAATTGAACCGGTACCAGATCCTAATGAGTTGAAAAAAATCGCTGATTGATAAAGGTTATGATGTTTCCGAGACACGTACATGTACATTGTATTTGGAGATGGACCATCAATATTGTCAGCAACTTCCTGTAATAGATATAAATTGATATTGTTGTCAACTCTACTTCTGATACATGTAAAGTCTACAAGAATAAAGTGTCTCATTTGCATGTTTGTTAGGCATTTTTCATAGACATTCAAGTTAAAATACTGTTTACTTGTTATTACAATTGTCCCAGAAATCCCACGAGATTTTGTACATTTCCCATCTTTTTCACAAAAGAGCACACTAAGAACTATAACTCTTCCATGGTGGAAATAGAAAGTATTGTTGTGAGATTAAAAATTAGTAAACTTCCTCCCAATCTAAAAAATTGGATATTTCGAATCTGCTACTGCTTCTCAAACATCCAACAACATCCCGTACAGGGTCCCATCAGTGCGATCTTTCAATTTTGAATAAACATGAAAATGTTGGGGAATCAGGATCAAACATCTATATACGATTGGAAAAATAGTTACCTCTTAACATTTCTGATAAATGTCTGACAACAGTCTGTCATAAATTGATTTGATTTAATTGTGTTATAATTTGAATGTATAGAAAAAGAAATGCATCTGAACTACAAGCCAAGACTTTGGCAGAAGTGATATAATTGGCTAATCGAAAGGTTGCTCTGGCGTGACCCTAGAAGGATGTTGTTAGATGTTTGAGAAGGGGTACCTGATTCGGAACATATAATTTGAATTTGATTGACTTCCTTAATTTTTTTTTTGTTTTCATGTTTTATGTTATCCTTGTTTTCTAACTGTTTTCAAAACTATCGTAACAATACTTCCCAGACGCTACTAAATTGAATCAAGCAGAAGCCAGAAAACTTCCCAACTTATACACTGTAATGCTGATTATCAGTTTATATCTATAACTTATACACTGTAATGCTGATTATCAGTTTTATGTCTATAACTTATAAACTGTGATGCTGATAATCAGTTTATATATAACTGATACACTGTGATGCTGATTATCAGTTTATATCTATAACTTATACACTGTGATGCTGATTGTCAGTTTATATCTATAACTGATACACTGTGATGCTGATTATCAGTTTATATCTATAACTTGTCCACTGTGATGCTGATTATCAGTTTTATGTCTATAACTTATACACTGTGATGCTGATTATCAGTTTTATGTTTATAACTGATACACTGTGATGCTGATTATCAGTTTATATCTATAACTGATACACTGTGATGCTGATTATCAGTTTATATCTATAACTGATACACTGTGATGCTGATTATCAGTTTATATCTATAACTTATACACTGTGATGCTGATTATGAGTTTTATGTCTATAGATAAAGTACAGAAGTATGAAAGTCAAAAGTCCTCCACTGTCACAGAGCAGAAACAAGATTGTAGTTTGTAAGTACAGGGGTGACGTCATTGTAAGTCCTCTGTTATTGTTATATTTGTACTGTTGTTATCATATTCCAGAGTTTGATTACAATGTATATCCAAGACATTTATGAGAGAGAAAACACATTGTCAGAAATGCTTATAAATTTAAGAAGTAAACAATGAATTTTAATCATTTACTTATTAATGAATTATGCATAAAAATTAAATTAAAGTATATAAGAGTAAAAAATAGTGATACTTGATTCAAGTTAAGTCAAAATAGACCACAAAAATGTAATTAGAAGTTACTCCCCTTTTCTTGTGTGTCATTATGGTACATCATGTAGATCGGGCACTTGATCTTAAAATTTTAATCCATCAATGATTTAATTAATTTATCTGCACTGATTAATCCATGATTAATCATGGTGCTAACAAACTGATCACTTGAGAAAATTGTAAAATTAATAATAATTGAACAATCGTTCGTTGTTTATGGTACATGTATATGGTTGCACTTATATGAGGGTTATTTATATATAGATATTTATAATTACTTATGTGTTTCAGAGTTTGCACAGAAAAAAGGAAAGAGTTGTTTGCCCAGATGGAAAAATTGGGCTATTACCAAGCATTGCAGGGACTGAGTCAAAGTGGAGTGGATATTATGGAGTTTAAGGATAAAATTGGTTCTTTGTAAGGCAATGAATATAAATAGCCTGTAATCAGATATCATTTGATTAATTAATTCAGAAAAACAAAATGTACTGATGCAATATATACTTGGACAAATTGGTGACTGTAACTTCATTTCTTGTTGAGTAAGAAGCATGTATCAATCTTATTTGAATGTTGTGGTATAAGGTTAGGAGGGAAATCACAGAGGCAGGATTTAACTGATTTAAAACACAGTTGAACTTAAGTACATGTATCTCAAATACCATGGAGATGTCAAAGTGATTTTGAAGTCGCAAGCACTTATTTCTGAAATATTTTACCCTGGATATCTTGAATCCTCGAATATCTCTGAGTCAAAGTATTTTCTTGGTCCCATGAAGTTTGAGATAACGAGGTTTGACTGTAAATAAGTTTTTGGTAAAATAACAAGGCTTTTGGAGTACAGATATTGTGATAGTTATAGTCAGTCTTGCTCGTTGTTTGTAGACAAGGTAGAGAGGCTGGACAATCTCAAAGTGGCCAACAACAACAACAACAAATTCTACAGTCTGGAGCATCACAGCTAAATAAGCAACCACAAGTAGGAGGACTGCAAGATATATCACCCACAACTCAGCCAAGTAGAAAACAAACATCTACGAAGAAACCAAGAAAGCCTGCAACTGGCTCTATAATGAATGTTAAGTTTGGAGATGGATCTAGAAAATCTGTAAATCAGACTGCTTCACAGAAAATCAATAAAAACATGGATACTTTGAAGGGGAACACAACCCTTAGGCCTAAAGAGTCTTTATCTGGTGAAGGCAGAGCACAGAGTCAGAATAATACTGCCACAAGAAAAGGTAATCCAACAAACCACTCGGTATATATCACTTAACATCTTCCATTGATATGAGGTGGGGAAAAATTGTATCTAATTGTAAAGTACATATAATTGAAATATAGATGGAAAATGATTTTATTAGTAGGTTTATAACTTACATATGTTCTTATGCAAATATATACATGCATAGACTATAGATATATCTGTTGTGTTTTTCAGATGTGGCTAAAACCCAAGGTGCACAGCTACCAGCACCAGGTCTGATTATGTATAATTCAAGAAATAATTCAATAGTTGGTGATGGTATCCTAAAGGTTCTTCCTTCTTCGAAAGTTAGATTAATGAAAGGTGGTGAAAATATAGTAGAAATGCAGCAGAAAAACAAAAGACTTGATGCTAAAAAATTAGATTCAGCTAAAACAGAATATGGGAAATCAGATGACAAAAAGTATGATATTGGGGAAGAGGATGAATACATTGATGACAAAGCCAGTGAAAAAAATCCTAACACTAAGCTACAGAACCCAAACAAAGCTGGTGAAAAACAGAAAAAAACGAACCAGGTACAGACATATACAGGCATATCAAGTATCTGTAAATCTCCTTTAATGATGTACATGTATCCACTGTGCTGAAAAAAGTGTCCTTTCTGATAGCTACAGTATCCTGCAGGATAAATTGTGTTACCATGTCAAAGTAGCAAGTATTCACTAATAGCAAGGACATCTTATCTATAGGATATAAGAATTGATTCTAATGCCAATTCACTCATAGAAAGAGCATTGATTTCGGCAGAAAAGTCATTTACTTATTTTTGAAACATCTCGAGCAGTTTAAGAGAATTCATATAAAAGAAAGATAATGACAAGTAATATTGATTTAGTTTTCTGCCAGAGGAGGAATTACCGGTACATAGCTTTTTCAACAGCATGCGGTGCATGGATTTTATGGTGGCTGTGACTGGGCATGCAGACCAGTTCATTTTCTATGGACGTGGTTTTTTGCTCTACTTGTCAGAGACCAGAAGAGCTTATGCGATAGTAAGGTGTCCGGCGTCCGTCCGTCTAGCTGCTTGTCTGTAAACAATTTTTCAAAACACCACTTCTCCTACAGTTTTGGTCTGATTTCAATATAACTTGGCACAAAAGTAAACTACACTAAGATACATAATTTAGTGCATCAGTTTCTGATTTTGATGAACGGTGTTGCCATGGTTACTAAAAATAGAAATTTCCGTGAAATTCCTTTAAAACGCTACTCCTCCTACAGTTTTGGTCTGATTTCAAAATAACTTGGCACACAAGTAGACTGCACTAAGATACATAATTTAATGCATCGGTTTTTGATTTTGATGAACAGTGTTGCCATGGTTATTAAATATAGAAATTTCTGTAAAATTCCTTTAAAACATTACTCCTGCTACATTTTTCATCTGATTTCAATCTAATTGGCACACAGTTAGACTACACTATGTTACATAATAGTGTATATCGGTTTTTGATTTCAGTGAATGGTGTTGCCATGGTTACTTAAAATAGAAATTTCTGTGAAATACTTTCAAAATGCTACTCCTCCTACAGTTCTTGTTTGATTTTAATATAATTTGGCACACAAGTAGACTACACACTAAGATACATAATTCTATTTATTGCTGCATGTTGCAAAATTTCAAATCCAAGTGCTACTTTTCCTTTGTTATACGTACAGACCAGTAGAGCTACAGTCTCATCAGAGACTTCTGGATTATATTTGTTTTTAGTATTATGCATGTCACAAGGTTTACGGTATTAATACTTTTTATGCTGTTGACCCACATTATAGTATGTTTATGTTAAATAACAATATTTTTTAAGTTCACTTGGTGTCAGTTGCCAGTTTATAAATATTAAAGTGTTTGATGTGATTTTAAAAATGGCAAAATATTGTATTTATTTTTAACAGGAAACAGTAATTTTAAAAAAAAATAATTACAGAAAATATAAAAAGTATGTCATTAGTTCAGTGTGAAGTTGCTCAAAATTATAAAAATATGTCATTAATACAATGATAATTTGCTAAAACACTGACAGAAATAAGTGAGTAGTAGTGTTTAGATTTAGATGTGTACTGACCTGATGACCTGTGTTTGTGATTGACAGGATCCCGCAGCCGACTATGAAGACGAAGATGATGAGGAAATTGCTGGAAATGGACAGGTATTGGCAATGGGTACAATATAAAGGTTGAAGTTTTGGTACTGGCGCAGGTAGGACCTGCTAACTTAAAATACACGCTTGTTCTTGGAAGTAACTTTTAAGCTCACGTTTGCCAAAGGCTTGAGCGAGTTTTTCTGGGGGAGAAAAATGGGCGAGTCACCCAACTGTTACTTTCACATTTTTTGACTACTCCAGAACCAATTTCAAACAACAATTTTTCAATAAAGCTTACGGTAGGTGAAGGGGATTCAAGTTTGGTCAAATGAAGAGTTGCATCCTCTTTGAAAGGGAGATGATATATAAATAGTGCAAGTTTTTGTGGGTAACGGTGGAAATTGACACCCCCAGAGAAAGTCATTGTCAACTGACATGTCAGCGGAGAAGGACAGCAATTTTCTGAGAGGTGTCAAATTCAACTATTACCCTCCAAAACATGTACCATTTATTTTATTATATGAATGTCTCATTAATATAATTTTATGATGTCAATGGGAAAGTCAGAAATTGTAGTTAGGTTTACATTTGAACGGCTATCAAAACTTTCTTTTCAATTTTTCTCAATAGGAAAGCAAAAAAAAAAAAAATAAAGATTCACAAACTTCTTTATTGTTTGTTTAATTGTCAGAAAGTCCTTTATCATCTATAAAAGCTTTGTTACCTCTGCATTCAAATTTTTTTATCTGTAGTTTGTTGTTTTTCTAATCAAAATTTGTCCATTGCTTGTCATCGTTGTCACATTTTCATCTTCTTCTCCAGGAAGACTGGACTAATTTCAAACAAACTCGCCAGAAACTTTCCACATCTTTGGGAGATGGGGATTCAAAGGGGCATGTCCTCTTCCAAGGGGAGGTAATCAAGAAAATGCAATGGGGTTATTTAAAAATCTACCACTAAAGAACCAATGGGCCAGAAAAAATGAAACTTAAGTGAAAGCTTCTTGAGCTAGTGTAGATTTAAAATTAGTTCAAATCATGGCCCCTGGGGGTAGGGTGGAGGCAGCAATGGTGGATCATAGTTTTACATTGGAGTACATAGGAAAAAGGAAAAAATCTTCTCAAGAACAAATTATGGACCTTTGGGTTAGGGTAAGGCTTAAGTCAGGGATCAGTTGTTACTAAATGCATGTACATGTATGCAGGCAAGAAAGCCTTTCAAGGAACTTTTTTTTTTTGAGCATATGACTACCGGTATGTTAGTCAAAAGTCATATTAATCAGGACTTTCAAAAAGATTTGAAATAGGTGGTACTTTTACAAAAATAGAAAGTGCTGTGTGGACCTGTTTTTTATGTGTTATCAAATTTTCTCCAACGAGTATTTTGGTTGGTGCAATCATGATTTACGCTGGGTAAATACCGATGCTGGCAGATTTTAAAGGCCTGTATTGATAATGAAGCATTTTAATGTTATGAGGAATCAAGTTATAGTATGATCATTGGGGGGGGGGGGGGGGCAATATATGATCAAAATTTTTCATGATAATAGGAGAATGAAAAACCCAAAATCTTTTTCTTGAGAACAGCAGGGTCATGAGTCAGGTGAGCATTGTGGCCCATGGGCCTTGTCTTTGCTGGGAGAGAACTAGGCTAAATGAATTGGCATATTGAATGTGAATTTCATTCTTTTTTGTATGGTTTTTATATTTCTGAATTTTAAGTTGCTAAATATATTTTTACAGAAGGAAAAAAATGACCGGGGAGTAGACAGCATTGATAAACTGAAGAAAAAGCTGGATACTATATAACGAACAGAGTGGAAAACGTGACTTCCTCCTCAGAAATATTTTTATACATCTACTTACATGTACGGTATTATTGTTCAAGTTGTTTTTCATTCTTTTTGTCCATATTCATTTAGAGTGTTTTTGTTTCTTTTCTGATTTAATATTTCAAGGAAATTTGAATTTGACACCTATTTTTTTTTGAAAGGTACTGCCTCTATTCACCTATTATGACTCATTCACTTGTTATGAATGAAAAAAAAAGTTACTACTTATTAGAGTGTATTTTAAATCTAGCATATTTGTAGGTCTTGTACTAATAAGTGCTCTCTGTCCTTACACTCATTGTACTTAGGTGAAATTCTGTCTTAGTAGTGTTCATGACTTGGCACATTATATATAGCTAATGCGTTAAAATATGAAGAAAGCAAATATAAGTACACATACCATTATTTATTCAAGTTTTTGAATGAAATGGAAAAAAAACATTAATTTTGATTTTTTAATTACTGTATATGTAATATATTTCTGAAAATGGAAAGTTTTGAAGAGTATTTAAGATGTAATTAAAAATTTGTTTGTAAATGTTTGACAGTATCTAATAGTTCATGTTCCTTATTGATTTATCTTTATCATGTACTTTGATTTCTGTTATGACCGAGGGTCTCCTTGTCCTATTAGTCTCCTTTTGTGTTCAGTGCCGATTTGATACTTGGCATATTTGAGGGTAGAGTCTTGTGACTCTGTATCATCTCTAGTTATTTCTCTCATACCAGGCATACTGTACATTCATATTCTTATATTTAATTTATGTATGAAATTTGTCCATGTACGAAGACTACTTTCTACATATCATAGTCATTACATCAAACCATTCCTCTGATCTCCGGATCTGAAATATTCCAGTTATGAACTATAATATTTATATAAATACATGTATCTTTTCATAGCATAATATAGTTGTTATTGATACATGTTATTGGGTGTGTATGTGTTTGGTACTTAGATGTATTTTGTTTACATGCTGTGATCAAATGCTTATTGCTATACGTGTAGTTTATTGCCTTGGGATCACAAAATTCTCTTTCAGGCACAAGTTACTAAAATGTAATACATATAAGGTAAAAACTGTCTAATTTATCTGCAATCTGTTTCATTGCCAAATCTGATTTACAAATTCCCACTTTCCCACACCGCTTTTATTCATATATAACATTTGTATGTCCCAGTAGATGTCAGAATTGACAGGTTCCATTGATTTTTTTTATTGCTCACAAGACATCACCCATGCATCTTACTAAAAGTATAAAATCACACACACATGGAAGTTTTTTTTCTCTTCTTTTTTAAGAAATATGATGTACTATAATAATTTAAAATGATGTTTTGTAATGTAAATATTAAGAACTTATTTGAACAAATTCATTTTTTTTGTACTTGGAAAGAAAATTGTATACAAATAAAACCAATTTTACGTGTGTTGTTAAAACTTGTAATTAAAGTTTATCTTAAATTATATTGGACATCTGTTATTGGTATAAAGTACATATAGACTATATATGTATGCTTTTATTTATTAGTTCTTTTTTCGGTAAAATCGTATTGACTTGTGGTTTGTGATACAATATTATGCATTTGTTGTTGTGGCCTCTAATTTTTGAAGTAATGTTTGTTTCGTAGACTGTATTTTGGGATAGATCTATTGTTTGCACACATGATTGTTTCAGGGTGTTGATTCAATGAGTTTATTTATGTGTTTCAATCAGCATGTTAAAATGTGCCTGTTTTTAAAGAATGTTTGTGATTTTTTTCCCATTAGACTGCACTTTTTGTATGACACATAATTTACAATGCATCTTTTTGAAAATAAAAATACTCTTATCCATGTTTGTTTTGTGCCACCTGCAAAGCAGAGCGTGAAACCTGGGAAAACACGTCATATCTTGTTTTCTGTTTGTGAAAAGGATTTGACATTTGGCCTGTGGATTCCTTGTCACATGACATTTGAATAACTACGTGTACCAGCTGAGTTCCTAACCATGTGCACTTTTGACTTTTTCTTCCCTGCAATTTGCACATTATCTCTTGAACCCCGATGTCAGAGTTTGATGTTTTCAGAAGACCTGGCCATATTTACCACGGTCAGAAACCTCATGCCACAGACAGTGTTGCACTGTAGATCACCATGCAAATTTTGCGACACCTTTTTTCGTGAGATTGTTGTTTGGTATTTACAAGCAAAACAAAATTTTCACGAATTTTGGTTATTTCCCATGTATAATCTTTAGCCCAGAGAGCTATGATTTGATCAAAGCAGAATCTACAAAAATGTGTATTCCTTGTGGAATGCTTAATATCAATACAATCGACATGGCCCTGTAGTTTGGGAAGATTTTTTTCCTGTACACATGCATTAATACTGTGAAATCATTAAAATTCATAGGGGCCAATTTTTGTGGATTGCTTGAAGAGTAGTATATGATAAGTGTCTCAAATGGCCCTTAAAATGATTAATTTTACTTTATATTTAGAGCTATACACATGACCTTTATTCATAATTTTCAATTTTATGAAAATGCCATTAATTTAGAAATATGACATCATAAAGTTCACCTTTTCCTTCCATTTTAACATATTTTGTATAAAACTGCTTATTTTCAAGCAGTTTTTCCTCCAGAAAATATTGAGCGCAGATTTGAACAAACTTTATATTTTTACCAAAGATATATCTATCCAAGACTACTGAATTATTGACAGAAAAATTTTGCATGTTCAAAGCTGCACTCTATATTTCCCATAAGAAAAACGTCAAGAAAAAGGCACAATTTTGTCTTATTTTGATTGGATTGCAAAAATAGCATCATTTCAGACATCATTTACGTCCTGTGAGCGTATATAAATGTGAAAAATGTATTGGAAATATCTCTAATATAATCTCTTCTACAAAATAAAAAAACAATTATACACATCTGAATTACATTCTAAAATGTTGATTTTGGGGGGCCAAAATTGACTCTTGTCATATAAAATCTTTTTACTAATTTCATGTATTCTTTTATATCTACAAAAGAAAATACTTTTTTTTTACTTTTCAATTATCCCTCCCCCTCCAACTTTAATAAACAATGCTACATCCCTTTGTGAAGAAGATAAAAAATCAAAATATTGAATGATTTTTCAAGAGTTGATCACCTAAACCCACCCCTTAATGAAACCAGAACCCAGTGGCCAACTTTGGCACCATCATTGACTCAATTAAGTGTCATGAATTTTACAATTTTGGTAAAATGTTCCCTGCTCATTTAAAGTAATATGGAGATCCAAACCTCTGATCTAGGGGACATGATATTAACCATACTAATTTAACACCAGCTGCTCAATATAATCATAAAAATTCTAGGTGTCTGTGAGGAAAGAGGGTTTTCAAAGGTGTGATATATTTGCCATAAATTACCAACTTTCCTCCACCATGGGGCCTGATCCCAGGGGTTAAGACGTTCACAACAACTTGATGTTTAGGAGTTATGAAAAATATTTTTGAAGATTGCATTAATTGTCCCCCGCTTTCACTGAAGTGAGGATATTAATTTGGGTCTGTCTGTCCGTCCGTCTGTATTTCTGTAATGCTTTCGTTTCCGCGCGATATCTCGAGAACCCTTTGAGCTTTCGCAATGATATTTTGCATAGCAACTCCCTATGGCCTAAAGAAGAACCCTATTGATTTTGAGGTCAAAAGGTCAAAGGTGAAGGTCATAAATTCTGTCTGTTTTAACACTTTCGTTTCCACTTGATATCTCGAGAATCCTTTGAGTTTTTTCAATGAAATTTTACATAACAACTCCCTGTGGCCTAAGGAAGACTTCTATAGATTTGAGGTCAAAAGGTCAGAGTTCAAGGTCGTAAATTTATACATTCCGTCTGTGTGTAACACTTTTGTTTCCAGGCGATATCTCAAGAAGCTTTTGAGCTTTTGCAATGAAATTTTATACCATAACTCCCTAGGGCCTCTCTCACCCCTCTCAAAGTGTCCCGCCCGTTTTTTTAAATTATTATTTACATGTACTGTATTAAAAGTCGCATGGCACTATTTTTAATATATTCGATCAGTGCATATTATCTATTCAAGATATATTACTAAAGTCAGGTACTCTTCACACAATTGCTCCGAAGAAAATAGTTCCATTCATGATCAGTAGATAAAACATTACAACAAATATTAAGAATAATCATGTATATTTAATACGTTAAAGAAAACAAAATTATCGTTAAAAGATTTTAAGAAAATCACTTTTTCCCCAGAAAAGCAAATAAAAAGTTTTCATATTCCTACGCTCGCTGCCTCCTCAGTCTTTTTCACGAAAATATATAGGTCACACTTCGATTGATAATGATAAATCTTTTCACCAGTTATATTACTGTCATGATTATTGTTCGTTAATTGCCGTATATTTTCTTTTGAGTTAGAATGTTAATCATTAACTGTGTGTGTGTTTTTTCTCTCTTTTTTTAAATAACGGAATGGTTATTATGGCTAAACACAACGTGATTTTCCGAGCTCGGAAAGATCTTCGCACGTGTGTAAACCTAGGCTATTTGGTCTTGCAAGAACAGGTGTGCGCACCGTTCCCTAGTGACGCTTAGATCAGTAGACTGGGTATCAGTACTTGCTACGGACATAAAGAAGTTTAGAACTTTATACACCAGTTTCATAACAAGTGCAGGTTTTTTACTCAAGTCAAGGTGAAGCCCTAGACTGGGCTAGAGGGGCTGAGTTACGGTCATCGATCTAACACGAAAATGTACTATTTTTGTAAATAAAAAACATTTCTAGAAACAAAAATGAAGTTTATCTTCAAAACGTCTGTATATTCAAAATCAGTATATGGTGGAGGAATATTCAGTGATGCTCCATAGCCGCAACCGATCTCGCGCTTTCCTTTGCGTTTAACAACGGCCGTCAATGCATCACTGGACGAGTTCATTAAATTAAAAAATAAATTAAAATCTATCCTTGATAGATCTATAGTTTTGCTATTTATAAAAATGGGCTATCTTTGATAATCCATAACGGCTTGGACTTGTTTTGAATTTTTTTTACAGAAGATTCTATCATTGGAAAGTTAGATGGTACACATGTAGCACAGGCCCATAGTACGCGGGATTTTTTGGGAGTCCCCCCCCCCTTTCACTTTGAAAACGTTGCTATAGGCCTGTAACATGCTATTTGGATTAAATATTCCTGAAAATGAGTGAGGCGTTAAATACATTTTTAAAATTATACGATTTATTATATTTAGTTTATGTTCAATGTGAAATTAAAACTATTTTTATGCATGTGCAACTTTGTGATAAAGTCACTACATGCATGTAACGTTATATATGTACATGCAGTTTGTTTCCTACTATATGCATATTTTATTCAACAAAAGATGTTGAAACTCAGTAGCCTAAATATTATGTCATTTTAGGATATTTATGTATATGGCACTTTTATAGTTGACTTTCTACAGCTTGAGTATCTCTGACGTTTTGTCAGTAAATACTTGTTTTTTTTATTAGAAATCATCTGAACACAATGAAAATTCGAATAAATTAAAAGTCGAATATCTTGGATATGGGGTAACCCATATCTATTCTTGTTAACACAGGGGCTTGTGGAGAATTATTACGTATAATACAGGTTGTCGGCAGACATTATATTCTTATTACATCTATTAGAATTGTTTAGTAGAGGCTAAATTAGACACCATGTATTGATTAAAATTTTGACAATATCAAACGTCAATATAAACATTATATGTGAGTTAATGTTTGCATTTAATTTGCTTTCTAATCAAGTGCCTCCGTGGTCTAGTGGTATGTTGCTCGCTTAGCAAGCGAGAGGCCCAGGTTCAATCTCCAGACGATTCTCTCTTTTTTTTTTTTTTGATTTACTAAATGATACTATTCAACATGTGAATTGAAAAAGTTATGATGTATGGCGTGTACAAACTCATAAAATCATTATTACAGTGTGATAAATATTCTGTATATTAAAAATAATCTTCTATACACATATTAAAGAATAAGCAATGAAATCTTTATATCCATATTGCCATTTTTTAAATTTGCTTCAATATACATGTATACATTTAATAATTCTACAAATACCCCCCCCCCCCCCAAAAAAAAACTGCGCATGCTCTTCTTTTTTCCCTAAGCGGGGGACACAAATTCCCCAAACTGCGCATACTCTTCTTTTTTTCCTAAGCGGGGGACACAAATTCTCTGAATAAGCTTGTTTTGATGGGTTTTGGTCCCTCTCCTCCAGCCAGTGAGAAGCAAAAACCATATGAAATTCACAATTTTTGTTTCCCTTTGGCCATAGAATGCTACAATACAAAAATAGTTCAGGGGTTCCAGAAAAGAACTTAAAAATATTAAAAAGTTTACAATTGGCACATGACACACACCCCTGTGATGGATGATGGACAAAAGCAGATAGCAATAGGTCAAGTGAGTGACTCAGGTGACCTAAAAAAGGAAAAAAAAAATGAAAACTGGAAATTATTGAGAAGCAAAAAAGAGGGGGGGGGGGAGAGAGAGAGAAAGACATGAAAGGAAAATACCCAAATTCGAAAAATATATAAAGGGGGAAGGGTGGGGCAGTTGTCTCTAAGTTCAAGGTTCCGGCCCATCAAGATGGGGCTAATTAGTTAATCATTTCATGAAAATTCATTCAATATATGAAATTTTTTTAATTTTGGGATATTAAGCAAGATTGATGACAATAAGTAGCGAGTCCTTTGTCAAACTGTGCAATTTTGCCCCCAGGGCTCACATCCCAGACTAGGGCCTAACAGATCATATTTTTAAAATGCATTGGTACTGTACCATTTTTAGAGATGGCAGATGGCATTTCTCTTCTGGTCTCTAAACAGTAGAGCTAATAAAAATGGAATATTATAATAAAAGATGTGATTTATACTTTATAGTAGTAATAGTATTTTCTGATCTAGAATACTGAATTTGATCAAAATAAAATTATGCTACGTGAACTATCTTATTTATTTATTTAATTTTATTCATCAGAGTGTTTGTATATTATACAATTATTGCTGGTTTTTGAGGTCAATACGATGATTTAGACACCTGAGGAATACAATATTCACCGAGCCTGAAGGGTGAGTAGAATATTGTACTTCGAAGGTGGCTATATATACTTCTAACACGAAGAAGATTAATCCAGACATTCTTAGTTCATCATTCAAAACGACAAAAATACTTGCTTATACAATTGAAGAAACTAGGGATACCATATTAAGATATGAGGAAGCAGCACCAGATGTTGTTGTTCTTCATCACCTCACTAATGATGTAAAGACAAAAAGTCCTGAGATTTGTGTTAACGAGACAGAAGAAATTGTCAGCACCATCACTCAAAAATGGTCAGCCAAAGTGGTTCTGTCGCTATGTACTCCTCGTAAAGATGATGAATTACACAGTGCAAATAGTGCTCTGATCAATGCCCTTCTAAAGAAAAAATACAAAGATGACTCATTTGTGTATATTAGTGATAACATAAACATGTCTACTAGGCATGCCAAAGTCCTAGAAAGAGACAATGTCCATCTTACACAAGATGGTGTTGCCATGTTAGCCTCCAACATAAAAAGATCAACCCTTCTAGCACTAGGAATTGAGCAGTCTCCAATTCAGATGGAACAAGAATAGATATGGGTTACCCCATATCCAAGATATTCGACTTTTAATTTATTCGAATTTTCATTGTGTTCAGATGATTTCTAATAAAAAAAACAAGTATTTACTGACAAAACGTCAGAGATACTCAAGCTGTAGAAAGTCAACTATAAAAGTGCCATATACATAAATATCCTAAAATGACATAATATTTAGGCTACTGAGTTTCAACATCTTTTGTTGAATAAAACATGCATATAGTAGGAAACAAACTGCATGTACATATATAACGTTACATGCATGTAGTGACTTTATCACAAAGTTGCACATGCATAAAAATAGTTTTAATTTCACATTGAACATAAACTAAATATAATAAATCGTATAATTTTAAAAATGTATTTAACGCCTCACTCATTTTCAGGAATATTTAATCCAAATAGCATGTTACAGGCCTATAGCAACGTTTTCAAAGTGAAAGGGGGGGGGGGGACTCCCAAAAAATCCCGCGTACTATGGGCCTGTGCTACATGTGTACCATCTAACTTTCCAATGATAGAATCTTCTGTAAAAAAAATTCAAAACAAGTCCAAGCCGTTATGGATTATCAAAGATAGCCCATTTTTATAAATAGCAAAACTATAGATCTATCAAGGATAGATTTTAATTTATTTTTTAATTTAATGAACTCGTCCAGTGATGCATTGACGGCCGTTGTTAAACGCAAAGGAAAGCGCGAGATCGGTTGCGGCTATGGAGCATCACTGAATATTCCTCCACCATATACTGATTTTGAATATACAGACGTTTTGAAGATAAACTTCATTTTTGTTTCTAGAAATGTTTTTTATTTACAAAAATAGTACATTTTCGTGTTAGATCGATGACCGTAACTCAGCCCCTCTAGCCCAGTCTAGGGCTTCACCTTGACTTGAGTAAAAAACCTGCACTTGTTATGAAACTGGTGTATAAAGTTCTAAACTTCTTTATGTCCGTAGCAAGTACTGATACCCAGTCTACTGATCTAAGCGTCACTAGGGAACGGTGCGCACACCTGTTCTTGCAAGACCAAATAGCCTAGGTTTACACACGTGCGAAGATCTTTCCGAGCTCGGAAAATCACGTTGTGTTTAGCCATAATAACCATTCCGTTATTTAAAAAAAGAGAGAAAAAACACACACACAGTTAATGATTAACATTCTAACTCAAAAGAAAATATACGGCAATTAACGAACAATAATCATGACAGTAATATAACTGGTGAAAAGATTTATCATTATCAATCGAAGTGTGACCTATATATTTTCGTGAAAAAGACTGAGGAGGCAGCGAGCGTAGGAATATGAAAACTTTTTATTTGCTTTTCTGGGGAAAAAGTGATTTTCTTAAAATCTTTTAACGATAATTTTGTTTTCTTTAACGTATTAATTATACATGATTATTCTTAATATTTGTTGTAATGTTTTATCTACTGATCATGAATGGAACTATTTTCTTCGGAGCAATTGTGTGAAGAGTACCTGACTTTAGTAATATATCTTGAATAGATAATATGCACTGATCGAATATATTAAAAAGACCAAGACTCTCGCCGTGCTTCACCAAAGAAGATGTACACGTACCATCGGAGATCGCGAAACTACCAGTTCGCACCATTTGGACCATGGGAAAGGAGATCTTACCAACCTGCCAGCTATGGCTTTAACTATAATTACTAACTTTTTTTTTAATCATCTTTTTAGGTTTTACCTATCAGTTACACAGATGATATATATAAACAATGTGTTCTACTCCAGTATATGAATTGTAGTAATACACTTGAATACTGCACCACCTTCACTTATCGGTGCACCTGTACTCATGACCATCATGTTTATTTGCAACTCCCTTTTTTTTTCTCACATAATGTTGTTAGAATATATTCTGTTTTATATGTGTTGAAGGATGTTGTACCTCTTCTCTTGATTTGGGTTTGGAAATTTGGTAGTTTTTATTTAGAATGTATCAGATGTACAGCAAGACAAATGTTAAATGTGCTTTTTGGAATATTGGAGGATTGATATCAAAAGGTATGAACAAAATGGATGATGAGCTTTTTCTATCAAGAATACTCGTATCAACACTTCATGTAAGCGCGTTATAAGCGGCCTCGGTCAAAGGTCAATCGGACATAGTAATTTGTAAACAAAGTCTTTACGAAGAAACAATTTTACAAAGTAATCAAGATTTTTGCGAGAATAGCGAGAGAACATCTTTTAAACCAATTGCAAATTGAAAAATCACGTAAGAATATTAGTTTTTAAGTACAAACCAGTAATGTTTCATTCATAAATGTTTTTTTTTCCTGCGTTTAAAATCGTGGTCTCGTTAATTTTTGTCGTGTATTGGGATAGTTACTTTTACTTTAACAGTTTGGTACAATCAATGCGTTTAGCTACGTAAGTTCTAAAAGACACAACAGTTAATTTGTGACTAAACAATTACTTCTTGAATGAAATTAAAAAAAGGCCAGTTCATAGATTGGTAATAATTCAGCCCAATGTGAAGTCCGTGCCTCACTGCACATATGGTGGTGTACAGTTACTCAAACAAGGAAAATACACATTTAGCTTAATAGTGTTCAAAAGCAGTCTTTGCTCTGGATTGCTTTAAGTTTTTTTAAAAAAAAAAAACCCTAGTTTAAATATTAGTAGTCACATATTTCTGGTTATTTGTCTACTTTATATAAAATGCAAAACTTTTGAAAACTTGTGTTGAAATAGTTAAGTAAATTTAAGCTACTTTAAGTTGCTATATGTACTGATTGTACTTAACCTGTTTAAGTATAAGAAAAATAGATAAAGTGAAAGGTCTTCAGACACCATAAATTTAAAAAAAATATCCATCTTGCATGTTTTTTTTTCAGGACATTTAAGGAATTTATGGGTAATGTCGTGGTTTATATTTTGCTTTATTTTTATTTATAATCTTTAATTTCCATTTATGTCTGCATGGAGTTTCAAGTTTCAACTTTGAATTTCAAAATCTACATATAATAATGTCAACTCGATGTTGTGCGTTTAACTTCTGCACAAATAATGCAACCAAGATAACAAAATGGAAAAGGCAGACATGTGAAATTCATCACATTCAATATGGATTGGGTTCATGCATTTGTGAACCCCCATTCCGTCTCTTCCCATTTCCAACTGAACTGAAAGATAATTATTCAAGACAAAAATGGACAAGCATCGTGAACAGGAAGAACGGGTCGGAAAACTGGAAACCCAAAGAAGATTCCAGGGTTTGTTCTGAGCATTTCTTGGATGGCAGGCCAACTCCTGCAAATCCCTATCCAACACTAAAATTAGGCTACACACCACATAAGCCAATTATCTCTAGACCACCACCAAAGGAGAGATCAACAACAGTTTTCCAGACTAATCAAGGAAAAAGAAGGAGACTGGAATTGACAGACCTTTCTATTCCTCAGAATCCAACCTCAGACCCTTGTGAAATGGAACAAAGTTTATGCAGAGGAACTGATGGAGAGGTAAATATTTCTCCAAATGACAATTATGATAAAAAAATTGCCCATTTAGAGGCAAAAATTAAGGAACTCGAGATAAAACTTGATTCAAAATCAAAGGAAAAGTCATCAGTACCCCTCAAAAGATTTTCTTTGAGTACAGTTATGAAGTCTGATGTAAAAGTAAAATTTTACACTGGTTTGCCGAATCTGGCATCTTTCAATGCAGTGTTTCAAACAATACTCCCTAATCTTCATAAAGTGCGCTACTGGAAGGGTCCAAAAAGGCTATGTAATCCCCTGAAACAAAAAAACAAGTTCTCGTGCCATTTAAGAACACTCAGTCCAAAAGAAGAAATGATATTATGCCTAATGAAACTCAGATTAGGGTATTTGAATGAAGATATTGCTGACAGGTTTGGTGTCTCATCTACTCATGTATCTAGCGTGTTTACTACTTGGATAAAACTCTTGAGCTCAGTGCTTGGCACATTGGTGTTTAATCCACCTAGAGAAGTTGTTATATCAAATTTACCCCCATCTTTCCAAAACAACACTTACAGAAATGTCCGACATATTATCGACTGCACGGAAATTTTTATCGAAACACCAAATAATTTGCAGGTAGCAGCACAAACTTGGAGTGACTACAAACACCACCATACTGCAAAAATATTAGTGAGTATTACTCCTGCTGGTATGATTAACTTTGTTTCAGAAGCATGGACGGGTCGTGCAAGTGATAAGCTTGTGACATTGAATTCTGGTTTTCTTAATATAATAGAGCCATATGACAAGGTAATGGCTGATAGGGGTTTCCCAATAAGAGAAGAGCTCACGTTGTTAAGGGCTGAGCTCTTGATTCCCCCAGGTAGACGTGGGGTTTCTCAAATGTCTGCCTCTGATGTTTCAAAAACAAAAGCCATAGCAAACAGGCGCATACATGTGGAACAGGCAATACGCCGTATGAAGCAGTTTCACATTATCAAAAATGAAATGCCAATTACACTTTTACATCACATAGATGATACAGTTAAAGTCATTGCTGGCATTTGCAATTTGTACCCACCACTACCAAGATATTAAGGACACTTGCCACAAAGAAATAAGATTCAAGGACTTGTATATATCTCAATATGATTTTAATTATTTGTAAATAAAGCATTTATTGAATTCCTATAATATAAGAAATTGTTAAGTTTCTACAATGCTCAAAATTCTCATTTTCTACAATTTCCATTAAAAATCTGTACAATTTTTCATCACTTTACGGAACTCTACTGAGAAATTTTAGATGAAAATTTAACATTACATAAATAATCTGATTTATTTGACTAACATTTACAACAACATAAATTGTATGTATTTTCATGGTTTTTTTGAAATGATGGTTGTATGTAGCAAGTGGCCTTAATTCTAAGGACTAAATTTTGTTATCCCTTGAATTTCAAACTCCTGAATAACCATTGAATTAATTTTATTGATAACACCATGGTTCACCGACATATAGCGGTAGTTATGATAACAACAAAACAATGAACAATAATAAGAATACATCAAATTATCTAATTCACAAATGTGTACTTCCTGTAGTTAAAAAACGTGTACTTACTGCAGTCACAACTGTCACATACATGTACATGAGCATGTTAATTTTTTGAAGTCTTTCCTTTATAAAAGGACTTCCTTAAAAAGGTACATAATCTTGATTAATGTTTCATTGATCATGGTCAAGTTCATAATTTCATACAAGTTCATAATTTTTACACTAATAATGAAAGCATTTTCTCTGTTACAGTTCTTAAGCATTTTCTCTGTTACAGTTCTTAATAAATACTTCAAAAGCCTCTAGTCTTGCAAAATGGTATTTTTAAATCTGTGCTTGAAAATAAACAACATTTTCTTAAACATATGTACCGGGTAGTAAACACACAATATGTGAAATACCTATATATGTACATTTAGTATGTTACAACTTCAATGTTCTTCAAATATCAGTTTTTCAAAGGCAAGTGGAAGTGCTCTTCAAAACTTGACTTTGCATTACATACACATTTTAAATGACACTATGCTGCCCAAAGGATATTACATATTGTTCATGAGTTTCACATGTACAGGCACATACATGAAATACAAAACAGCTATGTTACAACTTCAATAGTTCAAATATCATTTGTTTTACAAGTTTGACACAGCCATGTGGAAGTGCTACTCAAAACTGACTTTGACATGCCAACACATTTAAAATGATACCAGTTATTACATATATCACAACAAATACTACGCTGCCCAAAGGATTTTACATTTTCTTGTTCATGAATCTGATTTTTACATATCAAACAAAAATAAGTATCTCCACTGCTTTCAACTTCCATTGGTGTAGCAAGCATATCTTGCTTTTCCATAAATTTTGGGGCAATGAATGTTTTAAAAAAATCAATCAAATTAACCTGTACATCTGCATAATACTCTTCCTCAAAATTGATTCTTTTGTTGAATGTGCCATTACAAGAATAAACAAAAAAGTCACACCACATTCGCTTAGTAATGGCCATTTGCCCTTGAACTTGACAAAAATATCTATGATTTTTCTTAATCTCTAATTCACCATCAGTAGCAGCTGCTAAAAGATAATCTGGCAAATTACAAGTACAAAATGAAGAACATGAACTACATTTTGGTTTTAAGGTTGACTTCACCTCTAATAGCCCTTCTCCACAACAGTCACACGATACCAGCATATCGGGACTGGCAGCTAAAAAAGAGAGACCGGGATGTAAAAAAATCCCACAGTCCTTAAATGTGGCATTAATATGTTGATCTTTGTATACATTACAGTAGATCGACTTTGCCATTGGCTCAGATTCTCTGCCAAACTTCAATGCCTTGATGTTTGAATTTGGAGTTGTATCTCCCATGACCATTGATACAACTGAACTCGTGTCCACCTCTGGGTTTTTCCTGAATGAATTCATGCGTGTATGTATAGAATAATATTTTGATGCAGTAATCCTGCCTTTTCTCAGATTGTGCCAAAAAGTGTTACTACTCTGACCTATAGTCTTTTCTTGCAGAAATGTCACTTCCTTTTCCGTTAGAGTTGGTTGATGGTCAATGAAGTATTCTACTGTCAGATAATCTTTACTTATGGTGTCAAGATAGTAACCTTCTATAGCATCAGGTTCATCAGAATTTTTTCCATTATTCTGGGGCAGTTCTTTGGGTACATCTGTACCTGTTGAATAGGATGATGAGAATAATATTTGACATTATTATCTTAATACATAAACTTTCTCAATCCTATGTGTCAAGTGCAATAATGCTTCACAGAGATATTCGATAAACCATAGTATTCATCATCATGATCATATGCATATAAAACCAGCATTCCATGTCATGGTTAATATTATTTAGTTACTTTCTGCCTACAGAAATATATCAAGTTGATCAATCTCATCTTTGAGATTGATCTGTAAACAACAAACCTAATACATTCAAACCTCATTACCTCAAACTTTAATGGCTAAGAAAAAAGCAGAGAGATATCCAAGGAGCTTAAAAATGTTTAAAGTGGATGTAATTCCAAATTCAATTTATCAACATATCCTGGGTAATTTGTGTTCAAGATACATGTATTAATGTTCTAGATAATGAAGTTCAACTGTAAATAATTAATTTGTGTAAGTCTCTAAGACCATAATGCTAAAGACATAAACACTAATTAATTATTCCTTATATCGATATGGTTAGATATAAATTTTCAACTGCTTCACAAAGAAATAAATCTTACAGTCATGTGTCACATTTAGACCAAATAAAATGAACAATTTAGTAAACCATACCTTTCAGTAAACAGGCATTTGGCACTGCAATCCTCAGTTTTTCAAGGAATATATCTCTGTCTACATTTATAGACTCCAGTGGCTTATACTGGTTTTTCTGCTTGGAAACTAATGGTCTGGTTTTTTCTACATATTAAAAAAGAGTGGCAAATCATTATCAAATATTTTAAATATGTACCGGTATGTATTATGAAGATTAACACTATAAAGCTTGTACATGCTGGGTAAACATTTACATTCAGATGCACTTGCCCTTCAGACAAACTTTATTTGTCCATTTTTAAAACTTATCAATGTAAATCATATCAAAATTTCAGGGATCCTGATAAAACTATGTGTACTTAGTTTTTTCTCAGAATTAAACTTTTATGTTTTGAACTTGCCCCTAAATACTGAAATACATGTACCTTGTCCATATCTAGACTTTCTGATGGCCAAGTCTTTTATCTTGCTTGGCACCACCTTGGTTGCTGTTGGAACTTTCCATTGGCATGGTAGAGATGTGCATGATGTAATGCCTAGTCTATTCGCTGACTCAACTCGAAACATTAGGGCTGCTACATGGTTGCACGTCTGACCCATTCTAAAAAAATTACAGTAACATTGTATATAATTTGATATATTTTAAAATCTTGGCACATCAATTCTAAAGTATAGTTTAAAAAAATGTAGAAGACAGTATCTTAAATTTATAATATCAGTTCAGTAATGCATGACCTTTATAATTTCATGTCAGAATAATATTCTTTTAGAAATAAGGTATCATTTTAAAACATCTATCGAGATATAAATACAGGTTCAACTTCGTTACCTGATCAAATTCCATAAAGCCCAAAGGGATTTATAATAGTAAATTTGATCACGTACCAACCTGTATTTATATCTTGATAGATGTTTTAAAATGATACCTTATAAGTTTTATTTACATTTGTGACTTCTCTATAATATATCTTTGCCTGAGGATAATCGTTCACGGATGAAATGTTTTATTTTTCAAAACCCAACAGCTTAAGTTTGATCATTGAATGCGCTTCACCCCTTTATGACATCACCAAGAAATTTTGACGCGAGGAACCTGTGTTTATACAGATATAGATACCCGTTGCTTAAATAGTGAACATTATGTAAAAGAAAGGCATTTGCAAATGTAAATATTTATGCATTTTATGCCTCAAAGATTTAAGTATCTTAAATAAATTTATGTTGTAAGTATATGTAGAAAATGAAAAGTTACCCAGCAGCACAGGAGCAAAAGGCAGACTTTACACAGCCGAATTCCTTCGAAATTGCAACCCAAATGGTATGATTTTCATCTTTAAGCCTTTGACTGGGTGTACACTTAGCCTTCAGGAAGCATACAGGAGAAGTAGAAGAAATGGGATGGAAAAATATTTCTTTAATAAAATTTGCTTCACAATATTCAAAAGCCTTCCCAACTTTATAATCATTCATGTATGATTTTACTGTGGTACTGGCACCTCTGTCTATAAGAAAGTTAACGATGTCCGATACAAATAAAGGGGGCCACTGAGACATTCCACTCTTCTCGTCATGCCAACCACTTCCCATTTTCAAAGGATCAGGTAAAACTTTCCCATCTACACACAGCAAGTCATTATAATCTTTCTGAAGCTGGCCAACATACTCACAGTCTGTAGCTTTCAAAGGCAAATTCATGGCATTGGCGGCAAAGCACAAAGCAGCTAATTCAACTTTTGTTCCATCGGTGGACAGGCCTCTCTTGTTTAAAAAGTCCTTCAATGCTTCCACTTTCCACGAATTAAAAGTTTCTAAAGAGATATTACGGTCACCAGGATCCATTGTAAAACATGTAATAAATAAATACTATATATAAAACTTCTGTATCATTAAAAGGCGTGAAAAAACAAATCGACATCTGTGGCGCGCCATATTGTTTATAAATCCGATTTTATTGCCGATTGACCCCGTGACCTCGATAGGGCCGCTTACATCTCGCAAAAAAGTGTTGATAGGGGTATTATAGATAAAGATTTAGTATTCCTTGTGGAAACACACATTGGACCTGATACAATTGTTATACATGATGATTTTTACTGCCATACAATATGTAGAAGTAGATCTAATAATGGCAGATACTATGGAGGAATATCAATATTAATTAAGCATGAGATTAAAGATCATGTCTCTATAGTTAAAAATACATGTAGTGAATACCAGTGGATCAAATTAGAGAAAACTTTTTTCAATTTTGATAGAGATTTGTATATATGTACTGTATACAATCCCCCTGAAGGATCACCTGCAATTACAAAAAATAATATTAATATTTTGGAGCTTGTACAGAAAGATATTTTTCATTTTAAAGATTTAGGAAATATAATGCTTTGTGGAGATTTTAATGCTAGAACAGGAAGCGCAGTTGACTATATATTTGATGATAACATTCAATATTTACCTTTATTTGAAACATATAAAATTGATAATGATATTTCCAACAGAGTTAATAGGGACACTTGCATGGATAAAAGAGGAAAAGAACTAGTAGATTTTTGTATTGCAAACCAACTCCGTATTATGAATGGAAGATGTTTTGGTGACATCTTTGGAAATTTCACTTGCCACAATTATCATGGCAGTAGTGTTGTTGATTATCTTTTAACTGATGAAGAAACTGTACAACATATTTTGTTTTTTGAAGTATCAGATTTTATTTCCACATTATCTGACTGCCACTGTATGTTGTCATGGAATATTTTTTCTCAATATAGTTCTACTAATAGAGAAAATAGTATAGATAATAATCAATGCAAGACCCATTCATCCTTTAAATGGGGAGAAGACTCTGCTATAAAATTTATAGAAGCATTACAGTCCCAAAAAATAAAAGACAAATTTGATAACTCCATGAGCATCAATGACATAGAGTCTATAGAATCAAGGGTAAAAAGTTTAAAAGATTCCCTGGAAGCTGCAGCCATTATGTCATTAAAACCAAATTTACCTAAAAATAAAACATGTAAAAGTAATAAAAGCCCTGCTAAACATAAAAACAAATGGTTCGATAATGAGTTGATACATATGCGTTCAAAACTAGTAAGGAAGGGACATTTATTTGGCCACAACCCTAGAAATATTTATGTTAAGAATCAGTATTATAGAGCATATAGAATTTATAACAAACTACGAAAACAAAAATTTAGAACATATCATTGTAATATTATTAACAAGCTAAATACTTTAGGTTCAACTGATCCAAAAAAATATTGGAAACTTATAGGGGAATTAAGCAATGGAAACAAAGGCACAATTGATACATCAATCTCTAATAATGATTGGATAAACCACTTCAAAAAATTGAATAAAACTCATGAGGATTTCCATGATCAAGATCAGTTTCTCAAAGACCAACTAAAACAAACTGAGGAAACATCTACGCCCATTTTTAATGAACTTGACTACAAAATATCTTTGAATGAAATAAATAAAGCAATCAGCAACCTAAAAAATGGTAAGGCAGCTGGGCCTGACAGAATTTGTAATGAAATGCTGAAACATGGCCAAATGTTTCTTATACCAGTCTTACTGAAAATCTTTAATGCTTGCTTATCTTTTGGCTATTATCCTTCTTCATGGTGTGAAGGATACATTACTCCAGTATACAAATCTAATAACACTAATGATCCCAACAATTATAGAGGAATCACAATTACCAGCACAATTGGCAAACTTTTTAATTATATTCTTAACTCAAGACTAGATAAATATTTACAATGTAATAAAAAAATCAATCCATGTCAGATAGGATTTACAAAACAAGCTAGAACTTCAGATCATGTTTTTGTTTTGAAAACACTTATTGAAAAATATTGCAAATCAAAACAAGGGAAACTATATGCTTGCTTTGTTGACTTTCATAAGGCCTTTGATAGTATAAACCATGCTGGTTTGAAACTTAAACTATTAAAAGCAGGTATCAGCACAAAATTTTACTCAGTTGTTAAGGAAATGTATTCTAAAAGCTATTCGTCTATTAAACTGGGTAACAAATTAATTGGTCACTTTCACACATACAATGGGGTTAGACAAGGCGATAACTTAAGTCCAAACTTATTCAAGATTTACCTTAATGATCTACCTAATTATCTATCAAATTCTGAAAGTTTTGTAAAATTAAACAATGATTCATCTACATCTATTCATTGTCTCATGTATGCTGATGACATGGTGCTTCTCTCCCCCACTGCTGAAGGTCTACAAGAAAAACTCAATATACTAAATACATACTGCAAGGACTGGTGTCTCAAAGTTAATACACAGAAAACAAAAATTATAGTCTTCAATTCATCTGGCAAGCACATCAAAATCCCCTTCCATCTGAATAACAACAATATCGAATGTGTTAAACAGTACAAGTATTTGGGTCTGACAGTTAATGCATCTGGAACACTAACTAGCGCTAAAAATGATTGTTGTAATAAAGCAAAGAAAGCCTATTTCAAACTTCAAAAAGACTTTCTCACATTTAATCCATCAGTTAAAACTGCTTTAAATGTATTTGACCACACTATTAAACCCATTATCCTGTACGGTTCAGAGTTATGGGGTTTTTTTGACCCATCAACTTCCAAATTTAAGAGAAATCCAAATATAACATTAGATAAAATATACCAAACTTTAGAAGGCGAAAGTTTGCATCTTAAATTTTACAAACATTTATTAGTGGTTCATAGTAAAAGCAGCAACTTTGCTGTAAGATCTGAGCTAGGACGATTGAATGTACACTTTGATGTCATTAAAAATATGTTGTTATATTGGCATAGATTAGAAAATCTAGATGGGGAATTTCCCTTACTTAGTGAGGCTTATAAATGTTCCAAAACACTACACCAAAATGGAGTTACTTCATGGTATTCTTGTATTAACTTCTTACTTAACCATATTGATATTAAACTTAGTGATGTTTTAGGTATGTCACTCCCACGGTTTAAAATAAACTTGAAAAGAATATTACTTAACTTCTATAAAATTACATGGGAAAAAGACAGGAATTTGCATAAAGAAGGTAAATTATCTACCTTCACATGCCTAAAGACTAAATTTTGTTTTGAACCCTATCTAGATATTTTAACAAACAATCAACATAGATCAGTCATAACTAGGTTACGAATATCAGCTCACAGGCTTAAAATTGAAATTGGATGATATCAAAAAATACCTAAAGATGAACGATTTTGTTCCCTTTGTGATCTCAAGGAGATTCAGGATGAAATTCATTTTCTCCTTGTATGTCCTCATTTTAGTGTACAAAGACTTGAACTTATAAATATTTGTAATAATAAATGTAAAAATTTTCAGTCCCTATCATATGATAATCAATTTCTTTGGCTCATGACTAATGAAGACCCTGAGATCCTAAGATCTCTTGCTAGATTCCTTGATAATCTACCTTAACTGAAAAATTTAAATATATTTGGGGATGTATATACATGTAGGAATGGCAATATATCATCTCTTCTGTTCTTTAATATGCATATATGTATCTTTCCAGCTACTTGACTATATGTTATTATTATATTACAATATGTATACTCGTATACATCTCTTGTAGATGCATTTATCAATGATTATACAATTAAGCACTGCTCATTATATTTAAGATCATGTTTGTTCTATCATTTGGATCTTCCTCCTTCTTTGTTTCATGTTTGTAAATCTTTTTTGCTCCTCCGGGGGCCCAAATTGGACTAATAAATCTTGTAAATCTTGTAAAAATCTTGTATAAATCATCGTATTGACCTCAAAAACCAGCAATAATTGTTTTATTATATGATTAAATGACACACACTCATTAAGCAATCCGTGCCATCTAACTTGTTCACATAGACTGAAGTACTAACGTTATGTTCATATGAGTGGATGTCAGGTGCAAGTGAAATAACTTTCCAAAGCTATTTTCATCAATTTGGAATTTCCCTATCTATTTTTGGTCCATTGTAGAATAAATAATTCCTTATATTGACCTGGAAGATCATGTGCAGGTCAATATAACATAGTATTTTTCTAACATTGTTGGATCTCAGCCAATCAGAGAGATGGGAATTACTCAATCATATAATAAAATGAATGATCATGACTATCTGGACAAGACTAAATTAGTTAAATAGAAATTGATGAGATGACTCATCCATTAAAAGATGTGTAATGAAAACTAATAACTTCAGGATGTCACAAATGCAGGAGTGTCCTGGAGATACAGCTTTCTGCAGCAATGAATGATATTTTAGGGAGAGGGCTAAAATAGGCTATGCCTGCTGCCTAATCCCATTCACTTCATGTGAATAAAATTATGTATAAATAAAAAAAAAAAAATGAATGATATTTTGTTGAAACTTGTAATAACATATTTCAAAATCACTTTGGAAAAATCAATTTTAATTACTTAGGTTGATCAAATTTGTCATCATAAAAATTCTCAATGCAGATATTAAATGTTTTATGCTATAAACATAAACATTGCTGGGGAATTCCTCTTCAGTGAAACTGAGTTTCACAAGTCTGCACTGTTGACATGTCAGGAACTGTTGGATATCTTTGTATAATGTCTGTCCTCTGCACTTTGTTGACTAAGCTACACAGAGACTGCAGGATATCTTTGTAAAATGTCTGTCCAGGTTTGAGTTCTCCTGAAGTCTGCTGAATGCTTCAGGCCAATCTCAGCAGCTAGAAATCATTATCCAAAAAAATAAATAAATAAATTTTTAAATTGAAAAATATTAATTAGATTAGTGTTAGGTAAAACTTTACATTATTATAAGAAATCCATGATTTTTATATATGTACTTATCACTGAAATTGATAACCTTACTGAAACTAAACCTTAAATCTGGTACTCCTTGTTTTAGCTCACCTGAAAGAGAATGTGAGGAAGATGTCTGCCTTCGCTGCATTAATGCTAGCCAGTCCAGAACCTGAAAATACAGTTATACACGATCTAAGTGAACATAGATACAGTATAGAACATTCATCCATACAACAAAATCAGATATAAAGCTGTTCTGAAAATAATGAATAATTAACTGGACATATCATGTAACAGATATAACGAAGTGATTTTGGGTGTTCCAAGTGCTTCACTTTCACTGGAATTGACTGTATGTGTCACTTGATACTAGTATATTGTGGATAAATTCTTTTAAGTCATCAACAGACAAGATTTATTTATGCTATAATAAGTAAGAAAAAACGTTTTTAAATGACTGAATTTAAAAAGTTGTCATTTTGCTTGGTGAAAGATATACACAGTAAAACCTTGAAATCTTTAACTCAACTGTATTTTTAATTCTAAGGAATGGCCTGAATATCCTCTTGTCTCTGACCTTTAATGAAATCTGACTCCATGGTTCTTGTCCCAGTCCAGTTATGTATGATGGTAATAAATGCACAGGACTCTGTGGGCACTTGCTCAAGCTAAGGTCATGACCTTCTTGTAAAGGACTGCTAGGATAGCGCTCCATTAAGAACTGTGGGTTTATATTGTACACGAAAGCAATGGAGGATGAGGTCCATATACTGATGGCTGCTGCAACCAATCGAACCCCAAACTCTACAACCTGTCACGAAAAACAGAGCAAGTCAGAACAATTATTGGAACATGATCACATGACAGGGGAACAGTGTTAGGCATTGAACACTTGGTAAAACAACACAACCTTTCCCCCACTTAAGTGAGAGATTAATCAACAACACTAACTTATAAAGGAATAATAGTCATTAATTCCAGTAATATTTATCTCTCTTTTGTCTTTCTTTCTTTCTTCTTGGAAGTCCATTCTGTGAATTAGGAGCATGCACCCTAATTTGTAAAATTGAGTAAATATATTTAAATTGTACACCTATTTTAAAATAGACTGAGTACATCTAGCTTTATAGGACTTAGAGTAAATAATATCTATTAATGATACCTAGTTAAATTTGTGTTGTAAAATTGTTAAAAACAATGGTGAAGGATATATACAGGCTTATTAAATATTAATTGAAACAGAAAATGGTATTTATTTCTTGAACTATCCCAGTTTTGTTAGATTTTTGATGAATTGAGTTAACTATTGTGATGCCATAGCATTCCTGCACACTTATGAGTAATCAATTCCCAATATTTATCCATCTGAGAGTTATCTTTTGTACTTTTTTTTCCGTCAGTGTCCTTGAACTTACCAGAATGACATTACCTTTAGGGCACAAGTAATACTGTGTGAAGCAGAAACTTCAATGTTTCTCCATTAGTCTAGAATATTATAGACTAGACACATATTCTACTCTTTTAGAGAGTTATATATCAAACAAGAATTAATATTCACTTTTTTTTTTACAAGTAAAATTCAACTTGCTCAAATGATCTAGGGTCAAGGTCCGGACAGACTCTTGGTTCAGGACAGATAGCTACACAGATAGACAAAGTGGTTCCTGGCCAAAACTTTGTTTGACTGTCAATATAATTGTCATCTGTTGTTTGATTTTCCCAGGCACCAAGCCTGAACAAAAAAATTATACATATTCTGTCCTTGACCTTGAACTTGCCAGAAAGACTTAAGGTCAAAGTCATGAAACAGTCTTAATCATAAACAATTTTTGTGCCAAGTTTGAGCTTTCAATGATTCTCCATTTCTAAGTTATGGCCCAGACAAGAATTTTATACCTTTTCTGACAGTGACCTTGAACTTGCTTGAATGACCTTAAGTTAAGGTCAGAATACATCCTCTGGTCACTAACAATCTCTGTACCAAGTATCATCTTCCAATGATTCTCCATTACAAAGTTATAGCACAGATAAGAATTTCATATTTTTCATACTTTTTCTGTCAGCGACCTTGAACTTGCTGGAATGACCCTGGGTTTAAGTATGAAAAACCCTTTGGTCAAAAGCAGTCTTTGTTATTAGCATGAGCTTTCAATGATTCTCCAAAGTTAGAGCCTGTGCAAGAATATTTTGTTATTGATTATATATGTTCTATACTATAAATGTTTTTTTATGCAGTAAACTTTAAAAATCAATAATAATATCAATTGGACTTTCCAAAGAAAGGTGGGAAGATCTAATTATTACACAGCTGTCAATATTCTGGATGGAAGTTAGTCACCTGAGAAGCATAAATATCTTATAAAATTAAAAATCAATTTCAAGGTTGAGTCTAGTGTGTGCACCTGTTGATATATTATTCAATGTAAATACAATTGCTGTCTGAAAGGAATTGAAACCACAAATAAAATATTTTTAAGGAACATTTGCAAGTGAAACCTATACTGAAACCAAAAAGCCACACATCTTGCAAAGTACATTTATGAGAGAAATGAATGCTCTGTCATAAAATTGTATTCAGCAATTTGAAGGGCCATCCTTCTATATTTTTGCGAACTGAAAAAAAATTCAACTCATGGTTAGAAGATATGATGCCAACCAGAAGTCTTTGGCAAGACTATAGCCCTACTGGTTTATATTAAGAACCTGGGCTTTAAACTTAGCAGCAACGGCAACATCAATAAATGCATATTATGATCCTTGGTTTAGTTTACTTGTGCACCAAGTTTGATTAAATTCAGACCCAAAAAATATGAAGAGTAATGTTTTAAACAAATCCAATATTATTCTATTTTCAGTAAATGTTGCACCAATTTTTATCTAAACCCAATAAACAGAACTAAGTATCTTACATCAGTCTACTTGTGTACTAAGACATATTTTAAAATCAAACCAAAATTGTAGAAGCCTGAGATAATTTCAAAGAAATTCCTATTTTTAGTAACCACGGCAATACCCTTCACTGAAATCAACAAGAGGCCAATTAGGGCCTTAAAGATCACTTGAGTATAATACAGAACTGTAAATGATCCATGGATATATAAAGCAAAACTAACTGATAGATGAAGCTATGTTACCCAAGAATTTAAAAAATCTGGTAGAAATACTGTATGTGTACTTAAACAAGAGGCCCAAGGGCCTTAACGATCACTTGAGTATAATACAACAATTTAGAGGATCCATAGAGTATAAAATGAATTGAAAGGTGAAGCTTTGTTGCCCAAAAGCAAGAAAAATAAGGTGATCAGGATCAACAAAATAATTAGTCTAGTGTTCATTAACAGTTCATAAATTAGGTTCTAATCTATTCCCCATTTATCACTATCACCATACAGTATATTAACAAATTATCAGTGATTCTGTACTATTTTAATTCCTTGATGAAATCCCTGACATTGGACTCGAATAAGACAAGTTATTTTTGTCTCATTTTTATTTATCTATTACTTACAAGTCTACCTGATCATTTAAACTATAAAAGTACTTTTTGTATTATACAATAAAAAACTGCATAATTTTCCTTTTCTATTAACCTTTCAAGTACATTATTTACAGTGATTAATTATCAAAAGTAAATGGCAAAGGGGAATAACTCCTCTCAGTTGAATACAAATTAATAGAGCCCTGGCCAGGACCAGAACACTTGACCAAATGGTCCAGATGTTCAAAAATCTTTATTAAAACTTTTACTCTTTTTGCCTCTGATATGCCCAGGTGCAGAGAAGATTTTCAAAGAAATAATGCATTTTTACTACAGATTCACTATATTATCAATGGAGCCCCCCCAGCACCAGAACCCCTGACCTTGGGGCCATGAATTTCAAAATTTTGGTAGAGTCACCTTTGCTTATCATAACTATGTATTCAATTTGTTTCAATAATACCCAGGAGTAGAGAAGAAGATTTTCAAAGAAATAATGCACTTTCACTATATGATCTATATAGCCCCGCCCTAGCATCGGAACCCCTGACCCTGGCGCCATAAATTTCAAAATTTTGGTAGAGTCACCCTTGCTTATCATAACTATGTATTCAATTTGTTTCAATAATACCCAGGAGCAGAGAAGAAGATTTTCAAAGAATTGATGCATTTTCACTATATAAGCAATAGAGCCCCCCTCCCCCTTAACACCAGAACTGCTGACCCAGGGGCCATGAATTTCACAATTTTGGAAAAGGCATCAATGCGGAAATTGACATATTTTCTGACCTTCTTATGACCTCTGTGTATCCCATAACAGAACCAATGCTCATTTTGTGGCAGGGGTGACAACAGGTTTTTAACTGATAAACTGTTGTTGCATCACTCTAAAAGGCACCCCAAACCGAGGGCCAAAAAGGGGTCTTAGCCTATCTTGTCCTTTGTTATTAAGCAACCTTTTAAAGTGAGGCATGAGATTTTCTGCCATTTATACTTTTTATAGAGATGTGATGCATTAAACTTGGTTCAATGTCATTTTGCCACATCAAATATGACAATAAATTATTTTTAGAATTTTAAGAAATAACAAATGAAATGGATGGGAGCAATTGATTTCACATGATCTGGAAGTTCAATCCAACATTACACAAACAAACAACAAAATTCAACTCAATTTCTACGGTAACAAAAATAGTACCTGTACAACTATTAAATCTCTGAAGGGACTGAGAAAACTAAGACTTCAAAACCACAAAAAACGGTATATAAGTCTTCCTTCAAAGTACATAGTAACCCAATACAGATAATTCAAATATATTTATAATGGCTTTTACCTTATCAATATTGACTTTGTCTGACAGAGTAATGGCCCCTGTTGACACATTTCGAGTGTGGCCCAGGAGTTCTAGTAGCCACTGAAGTTGATGCTGGACTCCATTAGACTCGGCTTTGGACTGAGAGATGTGCCAGAATGTGTGGTAGAATAAAGCATGCAGATCTTCTGTATCACTGAAAAATATACATAATACATTTGTAGATGTGCAATAAAGAAATTGTAATGAAAATATAATCATAATGATTCAGGTATAAGCAACCCAGAAATAATTCAAATCTCTCACATGCTTCAAGAAATAAGCCCAACTGACAAGTCTGTGTAATTTATAGACCAATAACACTCACAAAACTAAAAAAAAAAACCCTTAACTATAGTCTGCACCAATGATTTACTTAAAAATAAACCTGATATACATGATATATTGGTGGTCAAGTTGTATATTACTTTGTTGTCACTAATTATGGCTATTGTGTACGTATCTCATTAAGGATGAAAAAGAAAAGATATTACTGAAAATTACTTACTATATGTGTTAAATCTTAATCTACCAAAAACTTAATCAAACAGTTTAAGGAGGTGAAGGACCCTGGACTAAAAAAAATCCCGTCATTCAATTTTTTTCATATTTTGTATATTTCTAATTAAGTATGTCCCACCTACATTAAATCATTAGGTTTCTTACCTTATTTTAGAGATATTGATTGACAAATACTATGCCTTACAGTATCTAAGTGGAGTTTTAATTCTCCATGTTTTCGGGTCCATTACTCTGTCCATAATTGGATTTTTTAAGCATAGATAAAAAATATTTAAGGGGACATGTATCTTTTAAAATATTTCAGAGTATGGATAGGGTTTAAAATTCGAAAAAGCAAATTTCTTCTGTCACACTGCATCTGGATAGGGAAAATTACGTACTTTTTAAAACAACTTAAACAACAAAAAACTAAATTTGCAAAAAAATTCTACCATTCAATATTTCTAAATTTACGTTCAAATGCAAGTCCTTCACATAATTGATTAACTGTAAAAATTTCAAATGGTGAAGCTGATCTCAATATTGCACAGGACACCGTTAAAGAAGACATAAGCATGACAAAAACGTGTCGTGTTTACATTTCCCGAGTACGGGAAAAACCAACTATGACGTCACACGTAAGCTGAATAAGCAAAATTAGATATACCTTCATCAGCCATGCAAAAATAATTTTTGTTCCCCGTTTCTCAAAATATTTCATCATATACTGATTATGACCTGTTTTTACATAATAATACCACCCCTGTACTCACTGAGTATGATCTTGCTGTACTAATAGATCATGTATGACGTCACCGACGTGTTGGATGCGCAGTTTAGAGAAACAGAGGAGTGGATCAATCTATTTCATAATTTGTTAATGTTTACAAGAATGTTATTTTTTAATTTTTCTATATAGGTTGGTAATTAAAGTAAAAACAAATTGTCAAAAATTTATACAAGAACTTGTGGTTTACATGTTTTGCACTTATATAAACAGAGACTATGACATAGTTTAACAGAGTCATGTGACCATGTGTCCTTCATCCCCTTAAGGCAATCTATTATGATGCAATCTTTATTCAATGATTGTCAAGTCCATAATTTCCGCAATTTTCATTGTAATACTTACTACCAAATTCTCTTTTTGAATGTCAATATATTTCTGCATGAAATTTTGTTCACCAAATGTGGCTACCTAGTCCCCATGGCCATACTTTTAAACCATACAAACCAGAAGTCTCTGATGAGACTGTTGCTCAGCTGATGTGTACTCATAATAAAGAAAACTTGAAATATGTCCATAGGACATAAACGCCCCAGCCAAGCTACATTTGCATTGAAACTTGAAAAGCAATTAGCATCCTTCTTTGGTCAGAGTAAAATATGATGAAAGTGAGATTATGGTCAGAAAAATATAACAAAGGTCTGGAATTATTTCAAATAGAATGGTTTCACCTTTCAAATTTAACATGTAAAATTGTAATTATTTATTTACTAGTTAATTAAGTTGCGGTGCTTGTTGTTTTTGTTTTTCTACTTCTTTGTTTTTTTAACTTTTTAATCTTTTCTTCGCTCTGAGGGAACTTCGGTATTTCGAACACGGATATCTGGAATACCATGGATATGTGTACAGTTTATTCCTTATTTCACATATGCTAACCTGTCTGCATTATTAAGACTGGCATCCACACAACGGTTCAACAGAGCTAATGGTTGTCTTCCTTGAGCCACCAGGTAACACCTCACAAAGCATGACAGGAAGTGGTTATCTTCCTCAGAAAAGTCAGATTCTGTCAGTTCATCGAACACTTCATCTGGAACACTGCCTAGGCACTCTCCAATCAGATGGAGAAGGTAAGGCTAAAAGAGATATTTAATTCAGTGTATATTTTATACTTTTTCTGTCTGTAAGCTTGAACTTACTGTAATGACCTTGGGTAAAGGTCAAGACACATCCTCACACTTTATCTTTGTACCAAGTATGAGCTTCCAATGATTCTCCATAACAAAGTCAGAGCCTGGACCAGATTGCATGGACAGACAGACAAAGTGATTCTTAATATCCCCCTAAACTTTGTTTCTGGGAGTACATATAACAAATTGCTATAGTAATGTAACAAGAGATTTTTTTTTTTATCTTAAATAATGAAAAAGTATTGTTCTGTACAAAATCTGTTCTGCATGTACATGTATATTGCAAAAAAAAAAAAATAAAATAAAAAAAAATAAATCAAGAACATCTCTTATTACATTAATTTTATATAATCATATAATGGTTCATTCATTATTAATCAAAAAACCTGAAGAATTCTTATCTTATTCAACCTGGCTTAAAGAGTTCTGAAATCAGCTATCACAAAGCCATGTCAATTGAAATGTTGGTTACCTTGAGCAGAAATCTAGCATTACTCCTACATTACATCAAAGTCAAGGCCAGTTGGTAGATGTCATTGATATTGTAATAAACTTTACAGTTTAATAAAATTTGTCTGCATATTCATTTTCTTGTATGTAACACTTAATCAGCCCAGATTAATGACATGCTACAGTAATTCATTATCTTGTTAAAAATATATTATCACTTTGTTGCTTCTATCTATCATTTAATAGTAATAAATTATCAATGGTATGAATGATTTTGACAGGAAATGTTGGGAAAACCAAACACAGCCCCACTCACTTCATTTTGTTGTGTTTTTGTTTTCTTGTACACAGACTCCAGACACTGTAGGAGTATATCTGATGCTGCTTTGGGAAGATTGTGAACTTTCAAAGCCCTGTGGAGTCCAAACAAACCATGGAGATATGGATCTCCAATTTCCTTCTGCATCAGGTCAAGGAGAGAGGTCAAGGTCACAGGAGACACAGAAGTGACAAGAACAGGTAACTCATCATAAAGAAGACAGCGGGAGGTGACCTGACAAATAAAGGTATTATTTTAACATTTGTGAAAAAAAGAGAAAGCTAGTATCAATATAAAGATAAAATTCAACATTTTCATTTTAACCATTCACTGCTTTAGGAATTGTTAAAACTGAGCAAATTTAAAAAAAAAAATGCACAGAAAATTAGGAATCATAAATGGTTTTAGATAAAAACAAAAAGGGATGTAATTTTTTTTTTCTATTGATGCCTTCAGGTGAAAGTTTCTTGGTGTACATTAAATTTTTTCTTGAAACTGCTCTTTCTCCTTCATAAATGCTCTATTTTGGTTATAAATTGCATTTCTAAAGCAATTTATTTAAATATCAAATTTTCATTTACATTGTTTGCAATTATATATCAAGGGCACTCACACTGAGAGAATGAATGAGGGGTTGAGTCATCCAGGAACTGACCAGCATGGCAGCTGTTGTTGAGGAGGAACTCTGGGTAATGGCTACATGGAGACACAATCTCCTCACTTCATCATCTACAGAACCAAACTTGGAATATCTACATTTCATTCAGATGGCAAGAAACGTTTCATTTCTTGTGACTAAAAAAATCTTTTTTACATCAAAAACCCTTACAATCAATGTTAAACTTAATGATGTTTAACATTAATTGAAAGGGCAAGAGTTATCTCCCTCACTGTTGTACATCCTCAAACCTCTTTTAGAAAGATTTGTTTATGATGCAACATGATTAATTAAACCCCCTTCTCCCCGACTTATTTTTGCACATGTAGTTGAAAATAATGACTGCATGTGAACTTGGAAAATTGTGTTCCTATATTCTGGAAAAACACATTTTTTGTAGAAAAAAAAAGTTTGAACCCTTTTGGCCCCATTCTTATCTTGAACCTGTTTAAACGTACTTAACATTTTTGAATCTATGTAAATGTAATATTAGGACATAAAAAAATAATTATTAGTTTCTCAGGCCTAAAAAATCAAAATTCAATGCGGCAGGCAGGTTCTTTTTTTTTTTTTTTTTTGGAAGCAGGTGTTATACCTTTTTTCATGTCAGTCATTCATCAAAATGATATCAACTGATTCTACTTTTTTTTGTTCTCTTACATTAATTCTAATTTGTATTCAACTTTAAATAATGTTATTCCAAACAAAGTTAATTCATAAAATACCTTATTATTAAGAAATGTATTGTTTATCTAATAAAAATGTCTATCTATTAGCATTTATGAAAAGGGGAATAACTCAATTTTCTTTTTCAACTTGGAAAAATAGAAAATTGAGTTACTGCGGAATCATCATTGTTCGTGGGGGACCAATGTTCGTGGATTTCGTGGGTCATCCCTACCCACGAATTTACATCCCCACATATGTTTATTTTGTAAACGCATTGATTCATTGAATCTACCTTATAAACGGGTAACCCATGAAATTACGTCCCCACGAACTAGTACAATTTTGCTTGCCCATGAACATCGACTCCCATGAATTAAAATGATTCCACAGTATTTCCCTTTTCAATACATCAATAAAATTGATCAATGCGGCAGTGTTTGACGTGATGCGGCAGTGCCTGAGAAACTATTCATTAATTTTTTTTGGCCTTAACATGTTTGTTTTTTTAAATTTGACAATTTGGAGCCCAGTAATCTTTGAGAATTTTTTTTCAGGAATTCTGTTCATGAGCCTATCCCTACCCGAAAGGAGGAAATTTGAATAACCTTGTCACTCTTGAGAAGCAGATTTTAATGATTTTTTAAATACATATCTACAGAAAACTTCAGACCTCTCCATGCCCCATCAATGGACCTTGGTTTGAACAAGATTCCATCTCCCTACATGAGAATGCTTTGTAGCAACCACTAATGATAAAACGCTCCTGAATGATAGAAATATCATTAAGCGTTGCAATTGCAATGCTTATTGCCATAAATTATTGCACTAATAGTTGACATTCTCAACCGCTAATGCTAAATTGCCGCTTAATGAAAGAATGATATCATGAAGTGGTTGAGAATGTCAACTATTTATGCAATAACTTATGACATTAAGCATTGCAATGCAATGCTTAATGATATTTGTATCATTAAGTGGCGTTTTATCATTAGCATTTGCTAAAATGCTTGCATATATTTTTGACATTTGTAGCCCCATAGTTGTTAAGATTTTTTCCTGATTCTGCAGAGGATTTTAAAACAGATCCCATCCTATTATCATTATTTTTATTCAAATTCTTCTTCACACAGGGCCTGACTCTTCCTTTGAACAGAATTATGGGAATTTTTATCGGTATACTGGTATATCGTCATTTTTAATTGCGTGATACGTATTGTGATATTGAGACTAAAAAACGGTATTTGGGTACAAAACTATAACTTCCAGAAATTATTCATTTATTTGTTCAAACTTTCAAATTACAATTACTGGATGTGTAAAAAATGTTGAAAACGGTAAAAGAACATTATCCTAGCATCCAATCTTGCTTTATATTAATATGTAAATAAAAAGAATGAAAAAAGTGCAGTTATGTTTTTCCAGCATATTTTTAGGAAACATTATGTATATTTTATAAAAATCATTGTAAAAATTGCTTGTTTTGAAAATATCATGATATTATCATGATATTTTTTGGGGAAAATCATGATATATTGTGATACGAAATTTTTGGCGATACACATCCCTACCCTTCAGTCAGACATGATTTGAGATGTTTGATTGGCTTGATGGCTTTAAGGAAGAAGTGAAAATGAAAAAAAGTTTTTGCACAACAGTCAAAAAAGGAAAGAATAGGTCATCTACAATGAACCAAATATAATTTTCTCTTGAATATAATGTAAATTGATTAAAATGTCTTTTTAACAACATTTCCTGACAGGACAATTAACACAGCAAGGCTGGAAAATCTCAAACACCTGCAAAGTTATTTTTGTTATTCCTCATTAACATGACATTCATCAAATTCTTTGATAGATAACCTTCACTGTAAATTTAGATTTCAGTTCTGAAATTCATTGACACTAAGCTCTGTAACAATCACATTGGGGCCACATGTGACATACTTACTGAAGTTGAGCCTCATTAGTGGGGTGAGGATCCACGCCCAGTTTACCGGGGGTAGGTTCTGCCTCACCCTGTCCAGCAGACTTCTGAGGCAGCACTCAACCTGGGAGTCTGGGACTGCCTCTGGACCTACAAGTAATCCAACCTTATTTAGAAATTTTTTTGAAGTCAGTTTCCAGTTGAACTTCAGTATCTCCAGCATCAATATCTTGAATAGCATGGATATGTTGAAGTGAGTTGGAGGTCTAAACCATTGTTTTCTAAATGTATTATAATTTAAATATCTTAAATCCTCAAATATCTTGAAGTTTTTTTTTTTTGGTCCCATCAAGTTCAAGATGACAAGAGGAAGAATTATTCTAATTTTTTATTTAAATCACATTGTATATGTAATGGAGAGAGTTACGCCCCTTTTACATGTTGACTAGGTACCCTGTACGATGTTCTCCACAGAAATATTATCAGGTTGTACTTTGAACACAAAGTTCAATGGGGATATAGAGTTGAACCTCCCTATCTCAAATATCACCATGCTGAATACCAGGAATATATGACTGTTGAACTAACAGAGTTTTGGTCCAGTGAAGACTCCAATGCTGCCTACTGAAAACTCGCACAAGATTTTGCCCCTGCTGTACAAGACTGTGCAGACTTTGCTCCTGTCTTCATCATGGATTCACAAATAACCATTAGACATGGTCACTATCCCTGACTTGGAGATGCTAAGGAAGTGTATTTATAAGTTTCACATAAATTACAACTATTACAGAGTACAAAGATTGTTATTAAACAGTTACCTCTCTTGCCTGCATCAATAAGGAAATCTACCACTGCTCTCAACAGACTCGTCTCCGGCAGGTAGCCCAGGCTGGTTGGCACTAATGACACAAAACATACTCTTTAATTTTATACTGATACTCCTAATACTTCGTATTAGACAATTACTTGATTCTTTCTCATGAAAATGTTGACAAACAAGGCTGTTACTTTTTAATACATATAGTTAGTTATGGGAAGTGGTATTGAGTGTGTATGTATGTGTGTGTGTGTGTGTGGGGGGGGGGTTATAGTGATTTGAATCTCCCAATCTTAGCCTATATCTTATATCTTTTAGGATAAAAGTTTTTTGCAGGTTATTTAAAAACAGTTATTTTTCTAAAGGGAGCTAATGATGAATTTTGAAGGGTAAACAGACAGTCCTGGGGTGCATTCAACAGCGTAGCTGCTATGTAGCCGCTACGTAAAGCTACGCTCTTGAACGAATAGCTAACCTAGCTGCTATGTAGGGAGAGCTAGCATAAATTTTTGATGCTAAGTACCAAATCCAAGATGGCCTCCTTAGTAACAACTTTGCATCACACATGATTTTAATAAAAAAAAAAAAAGGGGGGGGGGGGAATTATTTTCCACATCTAAGCAAATTAAACGTAAATTTACATATATATTTTTGTTTGAAATAAACTTTTTTTGTTCCAAAAATAAGTTTATACCGATATATTTATATTCAAAATCTAACACTTAGTGGCTAGGCTAGCTGTCTGTTCAATAGAGATAGATATCTAACACCTAGCTGCTAGGTTAGCTGCTACGATCTTGAACACAGCCCAGGACTATTGTCTATAGTACTGTGATACTGTGGTTTTAGTGAGAGAATGTGTTACTAATTGGCACCTATAGTTTGATAGATATAATCAATAATAAGAAAGACATACATAAACCAGACAAAACAAGATGTGTTTGTGAAACACTGATGCCCCCGTATGGCAGCTTATGGTGAAGGTTAAAGTTTCTCAAATGCAAGTCAAAATCCAGGCCAAACGATAAAAAATGTTGGTACCCAAAGAAAGGTCTTGTCTCGAGGAATATACCTGTGAAATTTGAAAGCCCTGTTCAAAAGTTATGGCGAAGGTTAAAGTTTTTTAAAAGTAAGTAAAACGTCAAGGTCAAGGTCAAAGTTGTTGGTATCCAAAGGAAGGTCTTGTCACAAAGATTACATATGTGAAGAATGAAAGTCCTAGCATCAACCATTCAAAAGTTATGGCCAAGGTTGAAGTTTTTCAAAAGTAGGTCAAACTCCAAGGTCAAGGTCAAAGTTGTTGGTATCCAAAGGAAGGCCTTGTCACATATAATATACATGTGAAGAATGAAAGCCCAAGCACCAACTGTTCAGAAGTTATGGCCAAGGTTAAAGTCTCATAAAATTTTGCAAAAGTGGGTCAAACTCCAAGGTCAAAAGGTCAAATATGATGGTACCCAAAGAAAGGTCTTGTCACAAGGAAAACACATGTGAAATATGAAAGTCATAGCTCCAACCAATCAAAAGTTATGGGCAAGGTTAAAGTTGACAACAGACAAACAGACAGACAGACAAACAGTTAAACAGACAGACAGACAGACAGGACAAAAACAATATACCCCCGGGATCTTTCGATCCGGGGGCATAAAAATAATAAATACCACTGGTTCTGGTCTCTGATACTGGGGAAACAGACAGATAATGGTTCCCTAACATCCATGCTGCTGTGTTCTGAATGCCAATGTCATCTCCCATAGAAACGACTCGGGTCATCACCCTGACAACCTCATCAACATTTACATCACCCAAAGCCATAGACAAAGTTTCTCTGCTCTGAAAAAAAGAGAAAGTTCAATGTATACATGTAACCAGTAATTCATTGGATATATGTCTCCCTTTTAAGGACAAAACAAGAGTGAGGAAGATGCAAAACCTGCAGATAGAGAAATGGAACAAAAGACTGACCTTGACCTTTCATCTTTTTGCCTCAAATCAATAGGGATGTCTTTGTTAAGTTAAAGCAGGGAGTATATACCAACAGGATAGGCAACTTTCACAAATCTTACAATATCTCGTAAGTTGTGGGATTTCATGTCAATTTTAAAAATAACATATCTTCAATGCTATGAAATATTTCTGAACAAAACATTTATTTATCTGTCAAAAAATTATTCAAGATTTGATTTTAGCACTGTTTATACCCCTCTTATACCCCTGGTCTTGGTATAATTATGTTGTATATTCAAAATCAACACATGCTCCTGATTGGCCATATTTCCCAGAATTTGCCGAAGTTGGTGGTTGTTTTACTTTAAATTTATTATTAAATATCCATTCCAATAAACAAAAAAAAACAAAAAAAACAACAACAAAAAACAGATTACATTTATCAGAAAAAATCATCATCTGTGTAGCGCAGTGGTTTGAGCATTTGCTCTAGAGTCACGGAGTAAGGAGTTGACCCTTATGTCATGGGTTTGAATCCCACTGTCGGACATGGAGACCAGTCCTTCGGATGAGACCATACAAATCGAGGTCCCATGTTGCTGCTCAATGGCCCTGAGTGCAGAGTATAGGTCTAAATTTGTAGCCCTTCACCAACAAGTGGTGAAGTTTCAATATGAGTGCAAAATTCTTGAGAGGGACGTTAAACAACAAACAAACAAAATGGGAAAAAGTTGTAAAATAACATCATTTTTTTTTTTTTTTTTTGCAAAAACTAGGACTTTTTGAGATATCATTCAGAAACTAATGTGTTATACTCAGACAGAATGGCAGACAGATGGACAGATTAAAATTAAGGTCTACTATTCCTGCATCTAGCCACATCTTTCATAGTAAGCAATCATTAAGACAATTCTACATGTACATGTACCTGTAAAGGAGATCCTAGATCAAGGAAGGATAAAAGCCATGAGGTAAAAATTAAGGATACAAGTCAGGAACAAAGATCAGTAATGCAATACAAGAAAATTGTTAAATTCTTTCTGTTTTCTGCATATATTTTAAGCTGCTTTTAAGCACATGTAAGTATATATTTACAGATGTGAGGGCTTTCTGTGAGCCAATCAAAGCCATCAGTCCAGTCATGGCTGCCACCTTCAACAATGGGGAACTCTCCTGGTAAAGAAAAAATAGAAAGTAAAATTAACAAAATTCTGTCGTCCATACAGAATTGAGCATCTTCTTTCCACTTCTTAACAGATTAATCTCTCCTGTTATTGTTAAAGTTTCATAGTGGTTGCATATTTCAGTATTAGCATTTTAGTATGAGCACTTTAGCTACTGCTAGGGAAAAGCAGAAATCAGTTCTGTGAGTATTAAGAAGTTTAAATATACATGGTTCCATCTTATCCCCATGGCATAATGATTTGAACTAACTATAATCTACACTACCTCAGGATGCTTGCATATTCCAATGTAAAAGTTTCCTATTTCCTATTGATTTCTTATTGTGGCACACCCTACCTCAGACGGTCATGATTTGAACAAACTTGAAATCTACGCAACCCGAGAATGCTTTTGTAGTTATATGACTAATCATGGCTATGCTGTTCTTAAGAAGAAGATATTTAAAGATACCGAAAATCCCTTTTAACTGTCCTGGGCAGTTAGAAAATTGCGAAAGAGGGGCGGTTGTTATGATATTTAATGTCATATTTTAACTTCAAGATATCTTTTGAAAAAAAATTAAATTCACCGAACCGCTAAATATTTGTCTTACTTTCCTTTACCATGAGATAATCCATCCAAATTATGCTCAATGATTTATTTTTCCACTGAAAAAAATAAGAGAATAGACAAGGAGAACAAATATTGTTGGTAACTTTCACTTTCAGAAATACATAATTATTAGGTTTTAAGAATCTTTCAGTTCAGGAATACTTTACATACGAATTACCCAATAACCAAGTTTCATTTTCACTTTTATCCAAATTATGGCGGACTTTCGATAAGATTCTTGATATTTGTAATCACAGTACAGGGAGCTTTTATTGCCCGACAATTAAAAAAGTCCTAGGGGGTGCTTACAGGGGCAAGGGCAGTTAAAAGAGATTTTACGGTATTTCCTAAATATTCCTAAGTAAAGCTTTAATGCCCTGTTGTGGCCCGACCCTACACATGGGGGTCATGATTTGAACAAATTTAAATCTACACTATGTATCTTCACTTAAGATTCATTTTTTCTGCTCCAGTGGTTCTTGAGAAGAAGATTTTTAAAAGATGCCATTAAATTTACACTAATTCTTAATTATCTCCCCTTGAAAGAGGGCATGGCCCTTTATTTGAATAAATTTAAATCTCCTTTACACAATGATGCTTTGTGGCAAGTTTGGTTGAAAATGTCCCTGTGGTTCTTAAGAAGTCGAAAATGTGACAAGTTTACGGACAACAGACAAACTTTTGATCAGAAAGTTCACATGAGCTTTCAACTGAGGTGAGCTAAAATCAAGACTACTATTTACATAAGAGAGAAAGAGGGGGAGGGTCATATAATAAATTAATACAGTAAAAATACAGAGATAAAAGCTGTAAGCTGATTTAAATCCTACACTGTGATACATGGTAACATCTCTCCCAGGCAGTGTACATGTATATGTCCAATCAGCCTACTCGTCTCTCATATACAAACAATAACAGGATTTTTCTTTCAAATCAATATTTACATCACATCATGAATTCTTTTTAATCATATTCCATAAAATCATAAATTACATCAAATTCAATAAAAACTGTTTGTAATGAATAGTTTCCTTACATTTTTGTAAATTACTTTTGAAGTCTGTTAAGCAATATTTTCTCCAGTGACTTTGTTTTCAAAATTTAATAATGCATGCAATTTGAACAGAGCACATTTTGAAATAATCAGAAGTCAATGGTGAGAATTAGCTCTATATTGTACATGTACTTTCACCAATGGGGGAGAAAAGTTACACCTATACTTGAAACTTTGAAGTTTCAAAGAAGTGTGCATGTATCCTAATATTTACTTATAACAAGAACTTTATCTAAAAATAGGAATTCAACAATCCACTGTGCACAGTGGCTTATATAACACAAGCATTCTGAGAGTATTGCATTAGCAATACTAGTCCCCTACCGGCAAGTGTAATCTGGTTCCCGTTAAAAATTGAAAATGTGGGTGTATTTTGATGAGTTTTTTGAAACCTCTTAGCATCCTGTATATCAAGACAAAGCCTTAAATTCCAAAAGTAGGCTACTGTGACATTTTGGTTAACACACCCTGAGAACCCAAGATGCATCAACTGACAAAGTTTGATGATTTGAAGCCCCTTAATTATCTTAAATATTCAGATATAGCCATGAAATTCCAAAATTAAATCACAGTGCTAAACATAATCCGAGAAACAAAATGCACCAACCAACGAAGTTTGATGATTCTTTGCCCATTATTATTTAAAATATTTAGATATTGCCTTGAAATTCCAAAAGTAGGTCACTGTGACCTCCCTTTTGGTTTAAATACTTTGAGGCCTTAGGATGAATCAACTGACAAGGTTTGATGATTGTAGGCTTCAAAACATCCAAAATATGCCTCTAAAACAATTTGAAAATGAATTCCTTCAAAATTCAAGAAGTAGGTCACTGTTACCTACTTTTTAATAAATAGGTTTCTAGGCCCCAGGATGCATCAACTTACATGGTTTGATGATTCTACACCTCTCAGTATCCAAAATAATGACCTTAAATGTTTTGAAAATGATCAGCCATAAAATTCACAAGGTAGGTCATGGTGACCTACATTTAATTGACACACTTCAAGGCCCCACAATGCATAATCTGACAAGTTTTGTTAATCATAGGCCTCAAAATGTTTAAGATATTCATCAAAATCAAATTGAAAATGAATACATGCAAAATTCAACAAGAGGCCCATGGGCCACATCGCTCACCTGAGCACTTTGGCTAGGAAAATGCAGAAATCAGCTCAGTAAGAAAGAAGAAATTTTTATTGATTTATCCTTTATATTCCTTTGTATAACTATGATCCCATGTTTTGGCCCCTCTATACTCCTGGGAGGTCATGATTTGATCAAATTTTATCTACATTACCTGCAGAGGATGCTTTTATTTTATTTTGACCAGGCACAGTTTTGCTGTTCTTGAGAAGAAGATTTTTTAAAGATTTTCCTTATGTGTTCCTATGTAAAACTTTGATCACCCACTGTGCCCCCCCCCCCCCCCAGGGGTCATGATTTGAAAAAACTTGAATCTACACTACCTGAGCATGCTTCCACATAAGTTTCATATTTTCTAGCACAGTAGTTCTTGACGAGAAGATTTTTAAAAGACACCTTAAATATTTCATGAATTCGCAATTATCTCCCCTTGAAGAAGGCATGGCCCTTCATTTGAACAAACTTGAATCAAGTTTACCCAAGGATACTTTGTGGCAAGTTTGGTTGAAATTGGCCCAGTGGTTCTTGAGAAGAAGATGAAAATGTGAAAAGTTTACAATGACGACAACCACAGACAACAGACAAATTTCGATCAGAAAAGCTCACTTGAGCCTTCAGCTCAGGTGAGCTAAAAAGTAGGTCACCATGACCTACTTTCGAGTCATCATAATATGAGGTCCTAACTGACAAAATTTGATGATCCTTATAGTAAGCAAAATATCAGATTTTAACAAAATATAGTTTATGGTGACCTTGAGACCATGTCCTTTGCCCCATGGTGATGCCTTGAACAATTTTTAATCTACAACATATCCTCATCCCTGTGTGTAAGTTTGGTGATAATCTGCCCAGTGGTTCTTGAGGAGACTTTTTCAGAACAAGTACTTTTTTTTATTTTCCTAATTATCTCTTTTTGTTTAAGGGTCATATCCCTAGTTTTGATATAAACATGAGTCCTTGGTCACATCCCTAGTTTTTATATAAACACGAGTCCTTGGATATTCTTTGACAAAAATTGGCTAAGGGGTTCTTGATATATGGCCCATATTCTAAAAGGTTTATGCACACCACACAAATGGCCATAGCATTAGCTCTTTAAGCCTTTGGCTCACAAGAGCTAAATATTTGAAAAGTTTACAGATGGACAGATAGACAGACAGACAGCTAGAAAAACAGACAGATAGATGGATGCTGGACAATGAGTGATCAGAAAAGCTCACTTGAGCTTTTAGCTCAAGTGAGCTTAAAGAGCTAGTATTTTCAAGGTCAATATGCAGCTTAAATTTTACCTTTAAATACAAACTGTTACCTAGGACTGGAGTAATTTTGATGACCTTGATGATGTTTAGCCTTGATATCATTATCATCCGTATAAAAAAAAATCACAGAAGTTACCCTTTGTGTTTATAATCATTCTTTACACAAGAAAGTCCTCCGGGAAATCAAGCACTTGATTATTTTTAACCCCTGAATGTTTATTATTTGCCGTAAATCCAGAAGAACATGTGGCACCAGGAAATTTAATATCACAACATATTAATTTGATTTTCTTTCATTTTGCCTAGTTTACACTTAATTTTCTCTTTTTCAAATAATTTAACAAAAATAGTTCTCTAACATGCAATAAAGGGTTTTCTCTGACAACAAGAAAGGTCCAAGGGCCTTGAAGGTCACCTGAGTATAATACAACCCCTGTAAAGGATCCATAAGATAGCAACTGATTACCATATAACAGGTACTTTTTACATGCTGCTAATTTTTACGAGTTTTATGAATCTGTAAAATTTAAACGCGTAAAATTTCATAGGAGTAAAAGAACGCCTCGCATAAGTTTTCAATATCGTATGTGTGAGAGTAATGCTAATTGCCATTCAGCTCAGCAGTCCCTGGAGGCTATAGAATAAGTACTATTGGTACTTTTGAGCACTTTTAAGTTGATCATGAATTGGGATCATACAGGTAAATCTTAATTAACTTGCAAGAGTTATACAAACATCATCAATTATCTGGTTACTCTATTATTTAGTATTTTTAAGAGATGCATAATTTCTGATAATGATTTAATTATTACAGGTCTTCCAATTATACCCGTTTTATATGTCTTTGACTTTTTCATCTGTTTTATGTGCTTCGAATAAAAACTTTGACTTGTTAATACACTGTAATACTGTCAATTAAATCATGATGGTTTGAGTTGTCTCTCTTTGTTTCCAGTAAAATCAAGATGAGCACGTGGTGCACAGCAATAATGATACCTAGCAATGTGTTTGAAAAACAAGAGGCCCAAGGGCCTTAATGGTCACCTGAGTACAACAATTTTGAGGATTCATAAACTGACAAATGAAGCTTTGTTGCAAAAAAGCAAGAAAAAAAAAGTACGATTAAGATCAACAAAATAATTGTTCTAGTATCTATCTATCTGTCCCTAATTTATCACTATTACCATGCAGACTTTTAATAAAATGTCTACAACCTCTCACATTGACCTCACTTGGCCTTTGAAGAACATTTAAAAAGATAAGTTATTTTTGTTTCATTTTTATTCCTGTATTATTTCCAAGTCTACCTGATCATTTAGACTAAGAAAGTACTTTTTGTATTATACAATAAATGTTCTTGCATAATTCTCTTATTCTATTAACCTTTCAAATACATTACCTACAGTGATTAATTATCAAAGGTGAATGGCAAAGGGGAATAACTTCACTCAGTAGAATACAAATTAATAGAGCCCTGGCCAGGACCAGAACACTTGACTAAATGGTCCAGATGTTCAAAATTCTGGTAAAAATACCCTTGCTTATTAAAACTTTTCACTCTGAAATTGTCTCCAATATGCCCAGGAGCAGAGATGATCTTCAAAGAAATAATGCATTTTCACTATTTAACACAGCCCTTCCTTAACACCAGAACCCATGCATGACCTAGGGTCAAGAAATTTACAAATTTGGAAGAGGTACCCTCATCATCATAACTATGCAATTACATGTAGTTGAAGATTTCCAAAGAATTCACCCATTTTCACTATATTATCAATAGAGCCCCTCCTGACACAACAGAACTCCTGGGACCACAAGTTTTAAAAATTTTGTAAAAGCATCCTAAGCTTGCTCATCATAACTATACACTTGTTTCTTTGCTTTATAACCGGGAGTAGAAAAAATATTTTGAAAGAAATCATGAATTTTCACTATATAATCAGTAGAGCCCCCCCCCCCCTCCCCCCTTTCACCAGAACCTCTGACCCTGGGGACATGAATTGCACAATTTTGGAAGAGGTATTCTTGCTCATCATACCCATGCACTTCCTTTGTTTAAATAATACCCAGGAGCAGAGAAGAAGATTTTCAAAGAATTAATGCATTTTCACCATATAATCAATAGAGCCCCACCCTAACACCAGAACCCCTGACCAAGGGGCCATGAAATTCACAATTTTGGAAGAGGCACTCTTGCTCATCATAACTATGTACTTAGTTAGTTTATTTAATACCCAGGAACAGAGAAGAAGATTTTCAAAGAAATAATGCACTTTCACTATATGATCTATATAGCCCCACCCTAGTACCAGAACCCCTGACCCTGGGGCCATGAATTTCACAATTTCGGTAGAGGGCCCAATGCTTATTACAATCATGTCAACAGTTTGACTGCTTGGTATCCAGGAGTAAAAAAGAAGATTTTTACAGATTGCATCAATTTTGGTGGTTGTAGCCCAACCCCTCGGGCCCTAGGGGGGCAGGGACCATGAAATTCATAAATTTTGTTCCCCTTCACCCATAGATGCTATATGCCAAAATTGGTTGAAATTGGTTAAGTGGTTTTGGAGAAGAAGTTGAAAATGTTCAAAGGATAGCAATAGGTCACCTGAGTGACTCAGGTGACCTAACAACAGGAATAAATGAAGGGCATATGGTATATAAAGGTACAAACATATTATAATTGAATGAATCATTATCACGGGAACAATTTCTTTTTTTTATACATGGGTTTGTCCAGACACATTTATTTGTTTGTAAAAGTATTCACAGTGATAACAATTATTGATCTGGAATTTTACATGTACTTCTGATGATTTTAATTTTTATGGACATGCTCAATTCGTAAAAATTTGACACATAAAAATTTAAATCATCCTTATATTAACCAAAATTCATAAAAATTTACAGCAGTAAAAATAACCCGTTATATGGTTATATAAAAAAGCAAAATAAACTGATATATAAATATATGCTGCCCAAAAACATGGACAGAGAAGTGACCTAATCATACAGACTGATATAGAGGGAGTCTACCCTCCTGTAAATCTACAGAACAGCTAGACACACAGACTGATGAAGAGGGAGTCTACCCTCCAGTAAAACTAGAGAACAGAAAAGTAACCTAGACGCACAGACTGATGAAGAGAAAATTTACCTTCCTGTAAACTGCAGAATTGAATAGTCACCTAGACACACAGACTGATAAAGAGGGAGTTTACCCTCCTGTAAACTACAGAACAGAATAGTCGCCTAGACACACAGACTGATAAAGAGGAAATTTAAACTCCTGTAAATCTATAGGACAGAAAAGTAATCTAGACATATAGTCTAATAAAGAGGGAATCTATCCTCCTGTAAATCTACAGAACAGAATAGTCGCCTAGACACACAGACTGATAAAGAGGAAGTTTAAACTCCTGTAAATCTACAGGACAGAAAAGTAACCTAGACATACAGTCTGATAAAGAGGGAATATATCCTCCTGTAAATCTACAGAACAGAATAGTCACCTAGACACACAGACTGATAAAGAGGAAGTTTAAACTCCTGTAAATCTACAGGACAGAAAAGTAACCTAGACATACAGTCTGATAAAGAGGGAATATATCCTCCTGTAAATCTACAGAACAGAATAGTCACCTAGACACACAGACTGATAAAGAGGGAGTTTATCCTCCTGTAAACTACAGGACAGAAAAAGTAAACTAGACATACAGTCTGATAAAAAGGGAATCTATCATCCTGTAAAGTTCTGTAAAGGACAGAATAGTCGCCTAGACACAGACTGATGAAGAGAAAATTTACTCTCCTATAAACTACAGTTAAAAAAAGTCACTAAGATATACAAAGACAGAAAACCTCCCATGGGCAAAATCTGAACAGGGTTAGGTTCACTGAACATTCAGTGTTAATATAAAACATTTATGTCAAGTATAAAAGCTATTAATATATCTTAGAAGTTAAAGCAAAGAAAACAATTTTTAGACAGTGACCATGACCTTGCCAATATAATCTTGAGACATTATCAAAATATACTGTTTTTAAAGCAATATAGATGGCTGTTAACACACAAACATACATATAATAAAATGTGTATGCCATTTGGGCTTTCATATTTACAGAGGAAGTCAGGTTCTTTGTCCATGTTTGGTGCAGCTGTACTTGGCAGTCAGTAATTCCAGTTATCCCAGCCCTGGTTAGGTTGTACAAAAGTATGCCAGCAGCCATGGCAATTCCTGCACTCTGAATTAACAAGAAAATGGTCTATTTCACATTTATATAAAGCAATATTTACATAAAGCATTATAAATACAAAATGCCCTTGGCAGTCATCTGCCTACCAAAATTTTACCATCACAGTTGCATTGATTACATTTTAAATTTTTATGCTTATTCAAAAAATAAAACCAGTTAAATGAATTGATCTACACATGAATATTCTTAGAATTCATTGACAAGGACTTTTTCTTTACATCATGTCAAACATCTGTTTTAGTAAACAGGGCACAGCTCTGTTATTGTTAATGTTTATGTTTCACCAGGTTTGTTCAATTTGTTAAACTCTGCACACATCAATGAGCATGGACTGACAACACTGGTGAGTTGGTTTTGCTTTCTCACATTTCTTTGAATTTTCTGGATTATAATTTTAATATTTTTCAATAATACACAATAAAATTTCTACTTTTCTTAAGTATTTTAAATGAACACACTTTTATTATATTTCTGTGTGAAATGCTATCGCAACATTAAAGACACAATATTATACAGAAAATTTGAGAAAATATTAACTTCAAATTCTGTGTCCAGGTCCATTTAAAATGTTCTAGTAAGAGTGTTTTTCATCAAGGTAAAAGTCCTGCATTTAGTGGCCGCGGTGGGATTACAGAACTACAGAGTTTGGGAAATCATTCAAAAGTGTATTTAATACTCAATTAATGAATCTTCTGTTTAAAAGAAACAGTATTTTTTTTAAAATTTAAGTTATGTATTGACATATCTTCTCCATTCCTATTTCTTACAGAGGGATTACATCCATTAAATATTTGTAAATCACCTGTGGGGCCTCCCCCAGATCCCTGATGATTTTGTCTACAGTAGACAGCACTTTGTCTGAGGACACTATGTTAGCATTGAAGGCAGCACTGTGGATTAATGCCATCCCAACACTGAGTACCTGTAATTATCAGAATCAAAAAAAGGAGTCAGATTAATCAAAATATCTAACAATTAGCCTTATTTTATATATAACATAAAATTACTGCAGATTACTTATTTACGGTAGCTTTATGTACAAAACACCCATGAAATCTGTTTTAATTCATTTCTTATAAGTACAAAAAAGTACCATCACTTATAACGTATTTATACAGAATACTAGACATGAAACATGACATTCTGTGAAATTCTTTACCTGGTGAGCTATGTCCCCTGGTGAGGTTGATTGTTGGTGCAGAACCTGAAGTTTGTCTAGAACAGTGAGAACATGTGCCCTCGCCTCGGTCTTAGAATCATTACAAAGGGCAGACACTGACAGACCAAGTCCTAGGAGGCATCCACAACTGAAACACATACATAGCAAAAGGGGTATAACAAGGAACAAGATTTTAACAGAATATTAACAACTTTCAATCGCTCATTAATAAGTGAAGTACAAATATAAAGCAAACCTATCATCTCTTCCAGTAAAACAAGCATCTTCCAACTTATCAAAAGTATTCCACATCTGTACTATCTCCTTCAAGAAAAAAACATCACAGTTTAGGAAAAGCTTTGAAGGAAAACAAAATTCAACAAAAATTTTTATGTGAACGAGTTGATAAATAATACAAGAGTTAAGTTGATTAATTAATGAAGACACTTCTTCTCATCAGTTATCATCCTCATATACAAAAAAATAGACACATTACTCATAATATACAGTCAAACCTCATTATCTAAAACTCAATGTGACTAAGAAACAAGAGGCCCAAGGGCCTTAACGGTCACCTGAGTATAATACAACAATTTAGAAGTTAAATACACTGACAGTTGAAGCTTTGTTGCCCTAAAGCAAGAGAAGTAGGAAGATCAGGATCAACAAAATAATTAGTCTAGTATTCAGTATCAACTCATAGATTAAGTTCTAATCTGTCCCCCACTTAATACTATGCAGACTATTAACAAACTATTAGTGCTTCTGTACTATTTATAACCCATACTAAGACCTCTAGCATTGACCTCTCTTATGGTCTTTGAAGAACTTTTAATAAGATAAGTTATTTTTGTCTCATTTTTATTTATCTATAACTTACAGGTCTACCTATTTATTAAAACTAAGAAAGTACTTTTTTAATTATACGATAAACATTCTTGCATAATTATCTTATTCTATTAACCTTTCAAATACATTATTTACAGTGATTAATTATCAAAGGTGAATGGAAAAGGGGAATAACTTCTCTCAGTAGAATACAAATTAATAGAGCCCTGCCCAGGACCAGAATGCTTAGACCAATGGTTCAGATGTTTAAAAATCTGGTAGAAATACGCTTACTCATATCATTTAAACTTTTACTCAGTTTGCTTCCAATATGTCCAGAAGCAGAGAAGAATTTCACAGGTACAATGCATTTTCACTACAGATTCAACAAAGCCTTACCCTAACACCAGAACCCAAGACCAAGGGTCAAGAAATTTACAAATTTGGAAGAGTTACCCTCATCATCATAACTATGGACTTCAAAGAATTAACACTTTTCCACTATATTATCAAAAGCCGCCGCCCCCCCCCCCCCCCCCCCCCCCCTTCGTTATGCCAGAACCCCTGACCCTAGGACCACAAGATTTAAAAATTCTGTTCGAAGCTCCCATTTTCATCATAGCTAAGCAATTTATTTATCAGCTCAACACAAAGGAGCAGACAGGATTAATTAATGATTAATAGAATTAATGCTTTTTCACTATATAATCAATAGAGCCCCCCCCCCCCCCAAGAACCCCAAAAACTGAGGCCATATATTTAAAAATTTTGGAAGAGGCATCCTTGCCTATCATAATCATGCACTTAGTTTGTTTATATAATCTCCAGTAGCAGAGAAGAAGATTTTCAAAGAATCAATGCATTTTCACTATATAATCAATAGAGCCCCGCCCTAACACCAGAACCCCTGACCCAGGGGCCAAGAAATTCACAATTTTTGAAAAGGCATCCTTATGCATCATAACCATGTACTTAGTTTGTTTAAATAATACCCAGGAGCAGAGAAGAAGATTTTCAAAGAATTAAAGCATTTTCACTATATAATCAATAGAGCCCCGCCCTAACACCAGAACCCCTGTCCCAGGGGCCATGGCTTTCAAAATTCTGGAAGAGGTCCACCTCCTCATCATAACTATGTACTTAGTTTATCACCTTAATGTGCAGAGCAGAGGAGAAGATTTTCAAAGAATTAATGCATTTTCACCATATAGTCGATAGAGCCCCACCCTAACACCAGAACCCCTGACCCTGGGGCCATGAAATTCACAATTATGGAAGAGGTACTCTTGCTCATCATAACTATGTACTTAGTTACTTTATTTAATATCCAGTAGCAGAGAAGATTTTCAAAGAATTAATGCATTTTCACTATATAATCTATAGAGCCCTGCCCTAACACCAGAACCCCTGACCCTGGGGCCATGAAATTCACAATTTTTGAAAAGGCACTTTTGCTCATCATAACTATGTACTTAGTTACTTTATTTAATACCCAGGAGCAAAGAAGAAGATTTTCAAAGAATTAATGCTATTTCACTATATAATCTATAGAGCCCCACCCTAACACCAGAACCCCTGACCCTGGGGCCATGAATTTCACAATTTTGGAAGAGGCACTCTTGTTCATCATAACTATGTACTTAGTTCCTTTATTTAATACCCAGGAGCAGAGAAGAAGATTTTCAAAGAAATAATGCATTTTCACTATATATAATCAATAGAGCCCCACCCTAACACCAGAACCCCTGACCCTGGGACCATGAATTTCACAATTTTGGAAGAGGCACTCTTGTTCATCATAACTATGTACTTAGTTCCTTTATTTAATACCCAGGAGCAGAGAAGAAGATTTTCAAAGAAATAATGCACTTTCACTATATGATCTATATAGCCCCACCCTGGGGCCAGAACCCCTGACCCTGGGGCCATGAATTTCACAATTTTGATAGAGGGCTCCATGCTTATTACAATGATGCCAACAGTTTGACTGCTTGATGTCTAGGAGTAAAGAAGAAGATTTTTAAAGATTGCATTATTTTTGGTGGTTTTAGCCCCACCCCTCAGGCCCCAGGGGGGCAGGGACCATGAAATTCACAATTTTTGTTCCCCTTCACCCATAGATGCTATATGCCAAAATTGGTTGAAATTGGTTCAGTGGTTCCAGAGAAGAAGCTAAAAATGTTCAAAAGTTTACGACCGATTGACGACGAACGACGAACGACGTACGACGAACGACGACAGACAAAAACAGATAGCAATAGGTCACCTGAGTGACTCAGGTGACCTAAAAACGTACCCGAAGGTTCAAGATATTGGGGTTACAATAGAATAAGAAATTAGTTGTTGGATTTTTAAATCACTTTGACATATTCACTGTTTTCAAGATAACAGAGTTTGAGATCCAAAATTTTAATTCTAATTATTAACATTTTACCCTCAGTTACTTTATCCCTAAAAACTTCGTACATATTATGAATACATCACAAAAACCATAACTGAACACCTTGTTAATTTACTGTGGAATCATTTTTATTCGTGGTCAAGTCAATGTTCGTGGGAAAGCAAAATTTTACTTGTTTATGGGGACGTAATTTCATGGTTTACGCATTTACACAGTGGATTCAATGAATCAATGTGTTTAAAAAAATAAATGTTCGAGGAGATGTAAATTCGTGGGTTAGGGTGATCAATTCACAAAATTCACAGACATTGGTTCCCCATGAACATAGATGATTCCACTATTCTGGGCTATATTTTATCTTCCTTATTGATATACTAGCCACACCTGACAAGCTGATAAATTCACAAGTCACATTAGATGTCAGAAGGTATACCCCTAGACTAAATAGAGGTGAATAATGGTCATTGTGGTCATTTTGACTTATAATTATTATGATAACTGTTTTTTATTTGTTTGTTTTTATTAGGGCTTTTCGCTTTCGGGTGAAAAGCCCTATTGTTTTCGTCTTTTTTATTATTATTATTTTGTTATACTTAACACTTTTTTCGTTCAGCATTTAAGGAGTACCTTTGAAAATAGGTATTTTGTTTTATAATCACTGAAAAGCAAACATAAATGTCTCGCGTATGTAATGTTTTGAACTTCCGGTTTACTCACTTCTGGTTTCTACGAAAGAAAAACTGAAATTTCTAAAGAAGCTAAAATCGTTCTCATTTTCAATGACTAGACTCTCAAATTCAAGATATAAATTCTAGAGACCAATACCTACAAAAAAGTTAGCGAGGGTGATTTTTGACCACTGATACTTTCTGAGATATGACTTCAAACATTGAAGAAGGGGGGATGAAATTTTTAAAAGTCACAATTAATGTTAGCAAAATCATTTTGAGCATAGAAATACGTTAAGACTAATAAGTAAAACATATACTGTAAGTTTCATATCAATCCAAGCGGAACTTCCAGTTTTAGGGGTCTTTGAAAATTGTCTATGGGAGTTTCTATGTTAACTTGAAATCAGTCATGGCACGTTTTCTCTTAAAATAATCAAGATATTCTTGTGAGATTTTAAGTGTAGAATGATCTTGATACGGTTCCGACCTCAGTAGGTCAGTAAAAGGAAATTCAGAAAAATAAGGGATTTCTAGGGGCCAACATTGAAAACAGACTTTTTCCTGTAACTTTTGTATTTCTCAATGAATTTTTAAACAGTTTTCTATTCTGGGTTCAAGTTAAAGAGTACAACCTAAAAATTATGGTCCGTGGATCACTTTTTGACCCCTTAAAGGAGTTACAGAGGACTGAAATAACGTAATTTTTATTTATTTAAAAAATAATGGAGTAAGAGTTATCTCCCTTAGCACATCTGTTGACAGGCTAACATACTCTTTACGTTTCAAGTTTGGTATGCATATGACAAGTACTTCCGGTTTTATGAATCTCTGAAGTTGTCTATGGAAGTTCCCATGTTGAATGGAAAATTGGACATGTCAAGATATCTCTTAAAGCAAACAAGATATTCTTGTGAAAATTCAGTGATATAATGACTGTGATATTGTTTCAAATCCATTAGGGTTTAAAAATGAAATTCTGGAAAATAAGGGATTTCTAGGGACCAAAATTGAAAACTGACCTTTGCCCATAACTTTTTTATTTCTCAATGAATTTTTGAACAGTTTTCTATTCTGGGTTTAGCTTAAAGAGTACAACCTAAAAATTATGGTCTGACGGGGCACTTTTTGACCCCTTAAAGGAGTTACAGAGGACTGAAATAATGTAATTTTTATTTATTTAAAAAATAATGGAGTAAGAGTTATCTCCCTTTGCACATCTGTTGACAGGCTAACATACTCTTTACGTTTCAAGTTTGGGATGCATATGATAAGTACTTTCGGTTTTATGAATTTCTGAAATTGTCTATGGGAGTTCCCATGTTAAATGGAAAAATGCACATGTCGCGATATCTCCTAAACTAAATAAGATATTCTTGTGAAAATTGAGTGATATAATGACTTTGATATTGTTTCAACCCCATTAG